GGTCCCTTGTTTGGGTTACCGGTTGTTTGACGTTTGTTGTCTGTTGGTTTGTGACATTAGTCAGTGATGTATAGCCTGCCCTTGTATTGCATCTTGGCAGTGACTGGTCCCTTGTTTGAGTGACCGGTTGCTTGACGTTTGTTGTCCGTTGGTTAGTGACATTAGTCAGTGAGGTATAGCCTGCGCTTGTTGTATGACATCTTGGAAGTGACTGACGCCTTGTTTGGGTGACCGGTTGTTTTACGTTTGTTGTCCGTTGGTTAGTGACATTTGTCAGTGACGTGTAACCTGCCCTTGTTGTATGGCATCTTTGCAGTGACCGGCTCCTTGTTTGGGTGGCCGGTTGTTTGACGTTTGTTGTCTGTTGGTTTGTGACATTAGTCAGTGACGTATAACCTGCCCCTGTATGGCTTCTTGTAGCTTGTGTGGGGTCTTCATTGTTGGTCACTGCGTATGGCTGAAGCTGTGGCCCAGGGTCTTCATCGTGGGTCACTGCATATGGCTGAAGCTGTGGCCCTGGGTCTTCATCGTGGGTCACTGAATATGGCTGAAGCTGTGGCCCTGGGTCTTCATCATAGGTCACTGCATATGGCTGAAGCTGTGGCCCTGGGTCTTCATCGTAGGTCACTGAATATGGCTGAAGCTGTGGCCCTGGGTCTTCATTGTTGGTCACTGCGTATGGCTGAAGCTGTGGCCTAGGGTCTTCATCGTGGGTCACTGAATATGGCTGAAGCTGTGGCCCTGGGTCTTCATTGATTAAGGTTGTCGCATATGGAAAAAGCTTGCCATTTTTCCCCTTCCCTGACACATCAACATAGGACACGGCATATGGTTGGATGTCATCATCGTATGGCTCAATGTCATTGTCGTCTTCTGTTGTCTGGATGTGTGCAAAGGACGTTGTTGCGTACGGCGCGAGCTTGCCGTTTTTTCCTTTCCCCGACACATCCATGTATGACACAGCGTACGGCTCAATGTCATCGTTGTCTTCTGCTGTCTGGATATCGATGTTAGCAAAGGAGGTTGTTGCATATGGGGCAAGCTTGCCGTTTTTCCCTTTCCCTGACACATCCATGTATGACACAGCGTACGGCTCAATGTCATCGTTGTCTTCTGCTGTCTGGATATCGATGTTAGCAAAGGAGGTTGTTGCATATGGCGCAAGCTTGCCATTTTTCCCTTTCCCCGACACATCCATGTATGACACAGCGTACGGCTCAATGTCATCGTTACCCTCTAATGTCTGGTCCTGAGCAGGAGTGCCTGTGACTGAGTCTCTGTTCGATGCTCCAGATTGGGCCGAGTTTCCATCTGTTTCAGCAGGGGCGTTGTGCTGGGCCATACCTGTGTCATGACAGCGTTCGTACAAGTATACAACAACCACTGCTGCCAACACCATCAGGAGAGGCACAGCAACAGCCATGATGACGGCATTGACGTGGTAACTTTCGTCTTCCTCAGTGATGATTGTTCCGCCGTGAAGAGTGACAACGTCGGTCCCTGTGGTAGACTCTGAGCCTGGCCTGGTGTTTGTGTACGGCATCTCTGTGGGAATGGTGTGGTTGTACAGACTGGTGTGGTTGTGCAGACTGGTGTGGTTGTACAGACTGGTGCGGTTGTACAGACTAGTGTGGTGGGTATGCGGACCTGCTGTGGTGGACGTTTCATCACATCTCCCCTGTACATGTGGTGACCTGTCTGTGTTGGTCTGACTGATGTCCTTCCTCACGGTGGCTAGCAGAATGCCGCTCAGGTTGGCAGGTGATGCACACTTCAGGTATTCACGAGCAGAAATGTGGTCCAGCTTTGGTAGATTACAGATGAACCAGGTGAGATTTGAGTCACATTTCAGCTTGTTGTTTACTAACATCAGACGTAAGGTCTTGTTGTGACTCAGACGCAAGACTTGGCTGTCGATTGTGGTGATGCGGTTTGTTTCCAGGCTTACAAGCTTCATTGCTGGAAGCGGCAGGAGTGCGTCGACAGGCACGGAACACAGATGGTTCTTGTCCAACATCAACCATGCAAGGAGTGGTAGGCCACGGAATGCATGCTGGGATATGACGGAAATGGCGTTCCTTTGAAGGTTCAAGTCAGTTACCTTCTCAAGCCCAAGGAAGGTATCGGGTTCTGAGGATAAACAAAGCAGACACTACTGTCAATCATTTCAAATTTGCAGGGATTCGTTTTTATTATGAGATGGCGAAGACAAATACCCAAAACTTCAGAGTATCTAACACGATAGTTCATGATACCAATCCACAGTGGACAAACCTGGGCTTCATTGTTCCCATGTTTTTTAGAACCAAACTCTGTTCAATCATGGTGGATCAATTCTAACGAAACGTGTATTCCATTTGGGGTCTTCTGTGCCGTAATTTAGAATGAACCTGCACAGCCAGGCCCTTTTCCCCTCCATGCCTCACATAAGAAAAACACTTGTTCACAAAACTTACTGTATTCTTAACAATACATGCATGTAAATTAAGTAATATTATTTTGTTGTGTAGTGAAGCTAAATTTTCATATTTGTCAGCGACCTTGAATATTGTTAGAAATTATGCTGGTATCAATACATCCTACCCCCTCCCCAACATTACTTAATAAGATTGCAAGGAAGAAATATCCAACTTGCATAATTGCTCAAGATGACTGTAATAGTTTTCCCTAGAAACATGTTTTAGGGATTTTTTGTAGGAAATTGAGAGTGAAATATGAAAAAACAGTCATTAATTTTTATCACAGATAAATCTAAAAAATTAGGCATTTAACGTAAGAAGCTTGTGTGAAAAGTGTTACATGTAAGTTGCTAATGTCATTTTATTTTGACAAAATTTTCCTTTCCATACTAAACTAAATTTGTTTATTTTCAAAATTCTCAAGTAAATAAAAAAGAAATCTTTTACTGGCAGCCAAAATATTGCTTGATGAATGTTATTTGATTAAATATATTACATATAGTGTCAAACATGCCTAGCAACAGGAAAGAATATGCTGCTAACCCACGTACTAAAAAAATGATAATTTTGGATTGTGGAAGAAAGCCCATGTACGTAATACAATATTAGGAGTCCAAAATGCATTTTTTTTAACATACCAAGACTGGAGATGCGGTTGTCGTCAAGATACAGCTTGGAGACCAATGGGAGACCTCGGAAAGCTCCTGGCTGGACCCTGGAAACGTTGGACTTTCCGATTTTAAGTGTCTCTACTTCTGGGCTGTTGGGGAAAGACCGCTCGAAAACGGTAGGAGAACGAAGATGCTTGATGAAGATCGATACCGTAGCTTTGTGAAAGTCGGTTGGTATGGCGTCGAGACATGCGGGGAAGCTGTACGCTCCTCCATATCCAATCCAGCTGCAGGGGGACCCTGCCCAGTTTTTGCCTGGGCAGTGACAGATGACTTGCTTGGAAAATCCTTGCCGTAAACAGCTGTCAGGGCACCGTAAAGCAGGTGCAGACACGAGACGTAGCTGATTGGAAACCAGGATAAGGAACAAGAGCAGTGCCTTGTTTTTTGCCATTGTGGTTAGTAATAAATTTCTGCCTCCCTGCGTATACTATGAAGCCTTATGTTAATATGTTGCCAGATATAATTTAGGTCTGCTTGAATATACATTTTATATTTCACAATCATTATGCTATGTTTTAGAGTCTGAAGCGCATGCATTTTAATGGGATTGGCTGTTTGAAAATATTACGACCTGAAGTTTTACTTTTCATGAAGTTTTAACTTTACCATCGAATGGAATCTGACTTGTACATGTTTTTGGAAGTCTTAGGGTATTAAATTTTGGACATCATATAGTTACTGTTACAGTAGTAGTAATTCCTCAGTGGATTAAGTCCTGCTGGCATTTTTTACACAATATTTTTCAATAATTCATGTCTTAATCAGGTCATAGACCCCTGACTTTTTTTTTTGCCCTGCAGTGGCATAGTTACTTCAGAATCTGCATTCATTGCGTTTCGCTGCGTTGTGATGCGTTGTACCAGAAATACCCCGAAATCGTACCTATACAGGGTGCTATATGGATAGTACTGTATGTGCAACCCAACAATCGTTGGGCAACTCAGGACTAGGGTTTTGATATTCAACACTTCGGCAAAGCAGCCAGAAATTAAATTCTATCACGTTCTTTGATCCGATACGTGTAATGATGAAAAATATCAAAGGGATTCTTTCTCTACCTTGCCCATACGAGACTCATTTCCTGATACATTACAGCTTGCTTGTGATGTTTTTGGTTAAGACTTCTAGAGTAAATATAATTTCTTTTAAATCAGCATTTATTTACAAATAGACAAAATGCATATTTTGTGTCAACTTGCATATAAAAGTACATCCATTATTATACAGTTTGTTTAAAGTCATTAAAACAAAATCTGATGAGTTTTTTTAATCTAAATTGATGTAAACATAACTACCCTTCTTTGTAAAGTATCATACATGTAATAATCATCATATTATCATCATTATAATCATAATTGGTAACGACAGTTTGCAAAATCAGCAGTTTCAATTCTGCAATTCTAAGTGGAGTGAACTCGAAGGTCACAGAATCAGCGCTAGCAGAAACTGATTCCAAGTAAAGCACTACAATCTCCTTGGTTTTCATGAAAGTTTATCTGTGTTGGTAGTAACCATAGTAAAACATTGAACTTTATTCCAACACAAAGGTTACAGGGCGATCAAATTTTTGACGACCACTGTCGCCTTCATCAGGATAATTAATGACCAATCACTTCACAATGTGATCTCTTCACAATGTGATCTCACAATTTGATCTCTTACGGTTTACAAACACGTGACATATACAAACAATAACTCTCGCGAGATCACGTTGTGAAGTGATTCTTCATTAATAATCCTGATGAAGGCGACATCCTCGGTGGACATGATCTTTTTTTTTTAGAACAGGTGAAAATCAATGCGTGCGCGGATGTCATCCATAAAATCAATTAGTACATAAGTCGGTGTGGCCTTGTTGTTGTTTCAGGTTTGACCTTTGTTCTGACGGGAATTCTGGAGTCCATGGAACGTCACGAGGCCAAAGAGCTGGTGGAGCGATACGGCGGGAAGGTGACGGGGTCGGTCAGCAGGAAAACCAGCTACGTGGTGGTGGGGAGGGACGCTGGGGAGAGCAAACTCAACAAGGTGGGTGGGGGGTCCAATGTAAGTTAGGCCACGTTGACTTGATTTTATGGATGACATCCTCTGGAGATCCCCAAACTAGTGCGTGCGGGCGAATAAAAAAATTCCAGCTGAAAAATACTGCAGCTGGATGACAGGTATGATAAATTTGTACCTTTTTTTACATAGCGACTTTAACAACAAGTTCGGCACTGTACTAAGTTCTTGAGTTCCGTGGAGCGTCAATGTTGCATGGGTCAAATCTCACCCCCAGTAAGTTCCAATAGTTTTTGAGAAACACATTGGAGCAGTAGGTTGTTAATCCACTGTGTCTAGTGCATGTTATTGAACAGTGGAGCCCATCCCTCTTCTAAGTCCACTACCTTGTACCTCACCAACCAAAGTCAGGTGCCCATTTTACACCTGGGTGGAGTGAGGAAAGTCATGAAAAGGGTCTTTCCCGTGGGCACGTAATCATTAGTAATCATTGACAAAGTCTACAAAGATCATTAATTGGCAATATGCTGATTATTGGTCATTCGGCCTAATATAATTAGTTTTAAATTAGCAAACAGTCCATTGTAAGCACTCCTTAGTACTTCGCACTTTGGTGATAATGATTGATTAAACTTAGATTGATTAAACTTAAGATTGTTGTACTGAAACTGTTTTATTTTGTTGCATTGTCTTATTTATTTCCTTACAGGTTTCCCAGCTTGGGGTCAAAACCTTAGATGAAGATGGGCTGTTGGAGTTAGTACGGACATCACCTGGGAAACCGTATGATCTGCCTCCGGAGGTACAGTCTGCGAATTATCTGCTATCTTCAGTTCAAGGATAGATTCAAAGCCATGCAATTATCTGCTGATTTCAGGCTCACTAGATTCACATTACAGCCATCCAAATTATGTGCTCGCTTCAGGCAGGATAGGTCACAGCCAGACGAATTATCTGCTACATGTAACCAGACATCATACATAGTAGATTCACAGCCATACTTGAAATTATCTGCTAGCTTCCGCCAGGTTTGGATTCACAACCTTGCAAATTATCTGCTAACTTCAGACAGGATTTATTCACATCCATGTGAATTATCGGCTAGCTTCAGTGTAGATTCCCTAAGCTGGATTTAAAGAACTTCCATAAATTAAAACTTAATCAAAGCTCAATATTCATTGTTTGAACTGACCTGACATGTTTGTTTTTTTTCACTATTAAAGAAATTACACTTTTATCTTTCTATCATGTCAGGCAACAAGCAAGGGCAAAAAATCTCCACCTAAGAAAAGTCCAAACAAACCAGGTAAGAACGTTTTAAAATATGGTTTAGGGCAAAACTGATTATTCTCAAGCATGATTTACTTTATGTATAACCTGCAATATGTCATATAGCTAGTTTTAATAATACTGTTAGCTACATGTACTTAGTGTTAGCTCCTTATAGCTTTCATAAGCTTTAAATCCCAACCAAGGTACATGTATGAATTGGGCATTTAAAAAAATTATGCAATTCAAATGTCTAGATTGTCATCATTTTTTATGTGTTTGCCAGGCATTCCCACAGTTTGTTAAAAAATGAATATTTATGTAAATCAATGTGAAAAATTTGATAAACCTCCTCACAGAGCCAGCAGCCACATCCAGGAAACCAGCAGCTTCTAGTAGTCATGTGGGCAGTCCCAAGAAGCCTGCTGTAAGTCTAGATCCTACTGCAGGTAGCCCGGAACCCAGCCTCCTGTGGGTGGACAAGTACAAGCCTCAGACGACCAAGGCTATCATTGGCCAGCAGGGTGATCGCAGTAACGTGAAGAAACTGTTGAATTGGCTGAGAACGTGGCCGAAGCATCACTCAGGTTTGTTTGTTTGTTTGTTTGTTTGTTTGTTTAGGTCAGTTCTCTCTAGATCTTGTCTTCGGATAGACATGGACAGGTTTTTGGTGCCTCATCATTTTTTTCAGAAGACTAATATAAGATGGATTTATTTATTTGAATTCACCAGTAGATATATTAGTACTATATATATTATATAAATCACCTTAAACTTTTTTTAGAGAGAATTAGAGTTTACAGGTTGTCTCCCCACACAACATACAAAATATACAGTAAAAAAAATTATGATAAAGATATACAAGATATTCATGTTACAATGATAATCACTATAAAAATTGAAAAGGATTGAATGACTGAAAGCATGAATGAATGAAGACATGAATGAATGAACCAATGGCTAAGCAGATGAACATGTCTTGAATGAATTCTATGTTGACTACAAAACCACCGTTATAAAAAGAGCTCCATCCCATACTTTGTCACACTGTTGAACGACTCTGTATAGTAGGTAATCCGTACAGTCCTTTTGTGCTTACAGGTTGTATTTTAGTGTCCTTGTATTTAGTGTCCTTGTATATACTTTACTAGTTTTTAAAAGAAAATAAGCTAGGGTTTTAAATAGTTGCGGCATTATGATTTTAATAAGTGATATGTAATATGTGCACGCAATTCAGCCTGTGGTTGCGATGTGAAACATGCCAACTGTACTGTTTATTGTATTTCTGAAATAAACCAATATATATATATATATATAATAAAATCTTGAAGAAAAAAATGTTGTTCCCACAGGACGGCAGATGAAGGAGGATGGTTCAGGTTTCCGGGCGGCACTCCTGTCTGGTCCCCCAGGGGTGGGGAAAACAACGGCAGCCACCCTGTGCTGTCAGGTGTGTGTGTTTTATTTGATATTCATTAACATACAGTAACAGTATCATACTGAGGGGGATGGGGGGGGGGCAGAATCCACAAGACAGTCGATACCTATCATGATTTCATCTGTGCTGGTATTTACATGTTTAAAGTTAAAACTTGTCATCCAACACAAAGAATATTTCTCATTTAGAGCTTTTGACCAGTCACTCTCAGTCTTCCTCAGTAGACTGACCCAGTGAGACTTGTCACGTGACTTCTTTGAAGTGTGACGTCAACACTGGGTCAAAGGTATCTGGTAGACGATGTCAGCCCCGTTGTGGTTAAGTGAAGGGTGATGGGCCCTGATGTAAATATCCTCTTTAATCCCCCCCTTCAGGAAATAGTCTTGTTAATGTTAGGTGCCCAATATTCTCCCAGTACCACAGAATGTCCAGGTGACTCATTGTAATGTGTTCCTCACCTGTAGGAGCTGGGTTTCACATACATCGAGCTGAATGCCAGCGACACCCGCAGTAAACGCAGCCTGCAGGAGGAGGTGTCAGAGGCTCTCACCACACGCAGCATTGTGGGGTTTCAGAAACAAGGTACGAAGCCTCCCATCCATCCATCCTTCCATCCCTCCATCCTTCCCTCCATCTGCCCATGGAATCAATCCTCCTTTCCTTCCTATTTTCTTTTCTTCCCTCCTTCCATCCATATGCCCATCCTTCCTTCCTTCCTTGGTTCTTTCCTTCATTCCTTCCTTCACTCCTTTTTGATGATGATTCAGGGGAAGAGATATAAGAGGAGAACTCTTATATCTCTTCCCCTGAATCATCTATCCTTCCATCCTTCCTTCACAATTTTTTAAAAATTTCCAGGTACATGAAACTTTACATAAGTACTGTCCAATAAAACAAAGAAAATTTTTCTATTTGATAGTTTGACTAAGTTACAAGCAATTGTTGTGGTAGAAATGGCCTGCATTTTGACAAACCTTTACTCCAGAGCACGCCGGGACCATGCGTCAGGCGGTGATTATGGACGAGGTGGACGGCATGGCGGGAAACGAGGACCGCGGGGGGATCGCCGAGCTCATTAACCTCATCAAACACAGCAAGGTGCCGATCATCTGTATGTGCAACGACCGCGCCCACCAGAAAATGCGCTCACTCGTCAACTACTGCTTCGACCTGAGGTTCCAGAGACCACGGGTGGAACAGATCAGGGTGAGTGTTATGCAAAATATTCCCAAAAGGTGAAATGACGAATAAATACAAAGCAGGGCTTGAAATCCTTCTTTCTGCATACTTGCACTGGTACAGGTAACACTGAAAATTACCTGCACCAGACAAATTTTACCTGCACCACTCAGAATTTAGGAGCTTAGTGAAATTGTTCAGAAAGAATAGCCTTTTTTTTCTTTTGTGTTTCATAGATGGTAACAGTCAATGCACTAAATAAAAATCCACATATACATTTGTCCCTACATGGTATGTACATGTACGACTGCATTGGGCTATGTGTGCATAGGTGTATGTGGATTTTTATTTGTTTCATTGACTGTTACAACTTATGAAGTATACACTACGTTGGTAAAGAAATAATGGCATTGGTTTCTGAAGAGTTCCTGAATTCTGAGTGGTGCAGGTAAAATTTGTCTGGTGCAGTCATTTTTCAATCATGATGTTAATTGACTGTACCAGTGACTTTTGCATATTTTCTGCTGGACATGTGTAACTTTTTTCTAATGTCCACAGGCTGCCATGATGAGTATGGCCTTCAAGGAGGGCCTGAAGATCCCTCCTCCAGCTCTTAATCAGATTATCGAGGCGACCAATCACGACGTCCGGCAGGTCATCCACCAACTGTACATGTGGAGCGTGCAGGACAAGGGGCTGACCTTTGACCAGGCAAAGGAGGCCTCCAAACAGGCACACAAAGATATCAAACAGGTAAGGTTTATGCCAAAAAACAGTTACTCAAACAACTGGATATGATTTTGGAAACGGCCAGATGCTTCAGGCGTATATTAGTTTGTTTACATGGAAGGCGTTCAGCACCAAGGACAGGTTTAGTTTACTATACATGGAAGGTGTTCAGCACCAAGGACAGGTTTAGTTTACTATACATGGAAGGTGGTCAGTACCAAGGACAGCTTTGTTTCACTTTACGTGGAAGGCGTTCAGTACCGAGGACAGGCTTGTTTCACTTTACATGGAAGGCATTCAGTACCAAGGACAGGCTTGTTTCACTATACATGGAAGGTGTTCAGTACCAAGGACAGGCTTGTTTCACTTTACATGGAAGGTGTTCAGTACCAAGGACAGGTTTGTTTCACTATACATGGAAGGCGTTCAGTATCAAGGACAGGTTTGTTTCACTTTAAATGGAAGGCGTTCAGTACCAAGGACAGGCTTGTTTTGCTATACATGGAAGGTGTTCAGCACCAAGGACAGGTTTGTTTCACTATACATGGAAGGCGTTCAGCATCAAGGACAGGCTTGTTTTGCTATACATGGAAGGTGTTCAGCACCAAGGACAGGTTTGTTTCACTATACATGGAAGGCGTTCAGTATCAAGGACAGGTTTGTTTCACTTTAAATGGAAGGCGTTCAGTACCAAGGACAGGCTTGTTTCACTTTACATGGAAGGTGTTCAGCACCAAGGACAGGTTTGTTTCCTTTATATGGAAGGCGTTCAGTACCAAGGACAGGTTTGTTTCACTTGACATGGAAGGTGTTCAGTACCAAGGACAGGCTTGTTTTACTTTACAGAAGGCATTCTGTACCAAGGACAGGTTTAGTTCGCTAGACATGGAAGGTGTTCAGTGCCAAGGAAAGGCTTGTTTCACTATACGTGGAAGGTGTTCAGTACCAAGGACAGGCTTGTTTCACTATACGTGGAAGGCATTCAGCACCAAGGACAGGTTTGTTTCATTATACATGGAAGGCATTCAGTACCAAGGACAGGCTTGTTTCATTTGACATGGAAGGTGTTCAGTACCAAGGACAGGCTTGTTTCATTTGACATGGAAGGTGTTCAGTACCAAGGACAGGCTTGTTTTACTTTACATGGAAGGCATTCAGTACCAAGGACAGGTTTAGTTCGCTATACATGGAAGGTGTTCAGTGCCAAGGACAGGTTTAGTTCACTTTACATGGAAGGTGTTCAGTACCAAGGACAGGCTTGTTTCACTATACATGGAAGGCATTCAGCACCAAGGACAGGTTTGTTTCACTATACATGGAAGGTGTTCAGTACCAAGGACAGGTTTGTTTCACTATACATGGAAGGGGTTCAGCACCAAGGACAGGCTTGTTTCACTTTACATGGAAGGCGTTCAGTACCAAGGACACTTTCTGCTATAACATGGATGTGCAAGGTGAGGTTTGCACTGAAATTTTTGACCTCTATTTTTAGAATTTTTGTAGGATATGTAGGAGCTTATTTCAAATTTGTGGGTTGGGCGTACTAATCAACCTTTTCATGATAGTATAATCAACCATTACATGATATATACTGCTGTGCTGTTGTATGAATCAAGAAAAGTCAATTGTATGAAATTCAATATTTGTGCATTTGTGCAGGGTCCATTTGAAGTGACCAGGAAGGTGTTCAGCTCTGGTGAGGAGACGGCCAGGATGACCATTATGGACAAGAGTGACCTGTTCTTCCATGACTACAGCATGGTGCCCCTGTTTGTCCAGGAGAACTACCCCCATGCACAGCCTCACGCTGCCAGGTATGACATCAGGAAACTCACATGAATGTCAGTTAGTATGTGTATATTCGTCATCATGGTCAGGACAGCCAGTGTCCTCCCGACAAACCCCATGCACAGCCTCAAGCTGCCAGGTATGTTGGCGAAATAAACCTCTTGGTTCTGTAAAAAGTCTCTCTCTATTCAGTGACTTACCAACCTGATGAAACTATAACAAGTAGCCATAGGCGACAATCTTCCGTGAAGTTTTATGTATTTCAACAAAATCCCAAGCGTCAACGCCAGACCTACCGTGCAGACATTATAATTAGGCAACGGTTAATACAATGAGGGCGCGTCACAAGCATAAAACATACAAAGAGCTAAATCCATTACTGCTCCCAGGGCGTGTAAAGATACTGTGTTTCAAGTTCGAAGTTCATTTTAATTACACACACACACACAATCATTGCATTCACATAAAGATCGGACTATCATGGTCGTGTCTAGTAACAAAGGCAGTCCCACCGTCTTACCGTGCCTGTACCTAATTAAGCGCGCCTTTAACAGGCCAAATTCCAGCAACAGTTGCGGTAAGCACCGTGAGTGTTATTACCGCCGGCCAGATAACCAGGATATCTGCTTAGAGTACCTCTGCTACCAGACAACTGCCTAAACCTACGGCCTATTCCACAGGATTGTAAAAGTAGGGATGTTTCTAAAATATGCATTTACTTCAATATCAAAACAGCTACGGTAAAAATAAAAAGACGTGCATCATCCCGGACATAATGCCACACCACATGCGAAATTACACAGAAATGCGACGTACGGAAGAATGCGTTTTGGCTGCGAACATCTTCAAAAAAACTTGGCATCTCTTAACCATGGGCAAAAACATCTGGAACCACTTATAAAAACCACCCCGTATCTGCATGAACTTTTTCCCGTCCACTGCTATTCCAAACAACGCGTTTTTCTGGACCATTCCAATTCGCCTCGTAATTGTAGGGGTGCGTCTGCGATATTACATTGACCGCGAAAGCAGCAACGGCAAAAATACACATTCGTGCATCAACACGGGCATGCCCGCAGACGGCGTATAAAATTGCGTGCCGATTACACAAAGAGAACCCAGTGTTTTGACTGCGAACATGAAAAATCAGCCGATTACAACACTCCGTCCGGAGGTCCTGACCTCCTTCACGGAGTAATTATATAACCATGAGAGCTGGTGTCCTCCTGACTTCAAGGGGCTACTCAGGTACCCTGTACAGGCACTTGAATGTGTTATTGTGTCCCAAGCATTTGTTGGGCAAAAGTTAAAACAGTGGTAAACAGACCTGCAATTAAACAACTTTTTTTTTCAATGACCCAGAGGTGATGTTAAGAAGCACCTGTCCCTGCTGAGTCAAACTGCTGACAGTATCTGTGATGGAGACCTTGTGGACAGACTTATCCGCAGTCAGCAGTCATGGGGACTCCTACCAACTCAGGTCGGTACTGCAGTAGTGCTTCTGATGGATATACCTGTACATGAAGAACCATACAATTGTAAAGAGCAGACGTTTTACATCCAATGTTTTACTATTGGAATATTTTTTTTCATGGTTTGTTTGTGCCATTTTGCATGATGATTAGCATTTATTTTATCTTAAACAGTTTTCTGTCACCCTTCACAAGGGATTCAGTCAGCAAATTAATGGAAGAATAACACTTTTGAAATAACCCCTTGGATTAAACTACCCCAGTATTGAATATGAATAGGTCTGTCCATGTTCAAAATGTTTGCTGTCCTGAATATAAACCCAAATAAATTTTGTTAAGCATTCAGTGGTCATCAACCACATATATCAAACTTTAGGACCGATGAAAATGAAAACACACATTTTAAAACACACATTAATGAACCTGTGTATGTTAAGCCTGAACTTTAAACTTTGCCCTAAACTTTGACCCTCCAGGCCATCTATGCGTCCGTCCTGCCGGGTGAGTACATGCGAGGTCACCTGAGCGGGATGATCAACTTCCCCGGCTGGCTGGGACAGTTCTCCAAACAGAACCGACTCAAGAGGCTTCTACAGGAGCTGCACATGCACATGCACCTCAGGTAGGGTACAGCTGCACATGCACCTCAGGTGGGGTACAGCTGCACATGCGCCTCAGGTAGGGAACAGCTGCACATGCACCTCAGGTAGGGTACAGCTGCACATGCACATGCACCTCAGGTAGGGTACAGCTGCACATGCACCTCAGGTAGGGTACAGCTGCACATGCTCCTCAGGTAGGGTTCAGCTGCACATGCTCCTCAGGTAGGGAACAGCTGCACATGCACCTCAGGTAGGGAACAGCTGCACATGCACCTCAGGTAGGGTACAGCTGCACATGCACATGCTCCTCAGGTAGGGTACAGCTGCACATGCACCTCAGGTAGGGTTCAGCTGCACATGCACCTGCACCCCGGGTAGGGTACACTTGTCTGCTGGCAAGTACTATCAGCTTTCTTCAAGGATTAAATGACTCTTATTGTTACAACAGACTGACATGAAGGTGGAATGGTCTCCTAGTATAGGCTAGGAGGAAGAGAGGTTGATTTGGACTATATGGTCTCTTCGCAGACTAGGAGGAAGTGACAGTGGAACAATCACAGACAAATTAACAATAACTGTACAGTATAATTCACAGAGGTGATTTCCTGTTTGTCCATTGTTTCCATGCTTCCTTCAATATTCTTTGGGAATAATTATGGCTTATGTTTTTTTCCCATTGTTTTCCATTGGAACGAGCCTTACTGCAATCCTAATAGTAATTGTTTGAATGTCCATTGTTTCCATTCCAGAACTTCTTGTACCAAGAAGAGCCTACAGGAAGACTACCTAGATCCACTTCGAAGGAGAATTTTAAACCTACTGGTCAAAAAGGAGACAGAAGGGGTGCCTGAAGCTGTTGAGGTGACTGTTGTTCATTGTTTTCTTGCCTATCCTTTTTGTCACGTTATGAGAAATTTGTTGTAGGCTAATATATATAAAGGTAGGTAGTCCCATATAGTCTTTTTGAGGCTGTAGAGGCAGTGGATTGTTAGTCCACTATACATGTGTATGTCTAGGGCATGGTATTGGAAGGTGGAGCCCATCCCTCTCTTTCCACCACCTTTTACCTCCCCAACTGAAGACAGGTACCCATTTTACACCTTGGTGGAGTGAAGAAAGTTCTGTTAAGTGCCTTTTCCAAGCATACAACGTCTAGACAGGAATACCAGGGATCGAACCCATGACCTCTTGATCTCGTGTCCACTGTCCTAACCACTCGGACACATAATTATGTAGCTCTATTGATGAGACAAAACCTTTTTTTATGTTCCAGCTGCTGTCGGCCTATGACCTGATGAGAGAAGACTACGATGGTTTGCTGGAGCTCACAGAGTTCAAAGGTCGTCCTAACATGGCTGATAAAGTCAACAGTAAGGTGAGGGATTATGGGTATTGGATTTTTGAGTGTCTGTGTTTACTACCCTTGCAGTCTACAAGAAAACAGAAAATCGCAGACTAGCTCAATGAAGAGGGAATCCTCCACTGGCAATGATAGAAAAAAGGAAAACACCCTCAGCTAATGTTCCAACATCTTTTTCAGACACCCCCATGTTCGGAAGCCCTTTGTTCAGACACCCATATCCCAAATTATGCACCTATGCTCCGATGCACTTACTAGTATGCTCTGATGCACCTACAGTGTATGGGCTGACACCCTATGTTTTGATACCCCTATGTTCAGATACCCCAGACCTATACTCTTGACACCCCCTATGGTAGGGTTGAAAATACATGTATGTTGATGAGTTGTGTAGAGACTCCAGTGACTGCCAGATTACTAACTTTGCATTTAAAAGGAAAAAAGGTAGCTCAATGACTAGGACACTATATGCTTAGACACCCTTATTTTAAGGTTAGGGTGGTTGGAACAAGCATGTACTGCAGCTGCGCAAAACTGTTGTTATGTACATGCTCTTCTACCGCAGACTGTGAAATTTTAATTGCTACCATGAAGGGCAACAGCTTTCCAAAAGATCAGGTAACGACTAACACCCTGTGGAATCAGCAAGTGCATGCTGAATAGATGTAGGAATGGTTAATGACTTGGGACGAACTGAACCCAACCATTATAGCCATTAAAACCTGACAGACACAGACAAACACATGCACACACAAACACACCAGAAACAATACCTCAATTTTTCACGGAGGTAATTATAGTACCTTTTGTCTACCCCACCAGGTGAAGTCAGCCTTTACCCGTGCCTATAACAAAGAGGCCCACATGCAGCCGTACTCCACGTCTGTCGCCCCCAAGAAGAAGCGGGGAGGGGCAGCGGCGACCAGTGTGGACATGGAGGAGGGTGGGGAGGGGGGTGATGTGGAGGAGAGTGATGAAGAGAAGGAAGATCCCAAACTAGATCCTATGATCAAGGTATGGTGTAGATTTCAGGGTTTCATATCAGATTCGGCTTTTATTCATAGAATATAGGCCACACCAATTGGACTTGTTCTTAAGAGAGTGACAAAAGAAGGAAGATCCCAAACTAGATCCTATGATCAAGGTAAAGTTATCAGGATTTCATATCTGATACCATTTTTTATGTAGAGCATATGTTTAGGCCAAACCAATTTGCTTTGTTCTCAAATTTTTACTGGAAATCAAAAAAAGTGTTGGGATTATGTGATAGTGCCGAATGCTACCATAGGAACCAAGAAGTTGGTATACTAGTATACTGCTTTTTTTTAATAGTCAAGTCAATGCATTGATACATGGAAAAACTGTAACTACTACTTGTATGAAGACAAGTACTTTCTCTGGCTATTGGAGTCAAAATAGGTTGCAAAATGCATGGGGATTGATTCAGAACCTGGATGGTACATTTTCCACCCTTTTTGAATTATCAGAAAAAATTAAGTGAATCAGTCTTAGACTAATAACCAAGAAATTAAACTTAATAACTATATTTTGAGAGCAAATTCTTACCACCATATCTTGATATCTTGATATGGCTTATAACATGATATATAATGTTATATATCATTTTCAATCAACATGTCAACTATCACTAAATGTTATAACTTTAACATTCATGGTAACAGCAATATCACTAATTGTTTCTTTCAATCATCTCTTTCATTGTTTAGGTGAAGAAGCCTTCGGCAGCCAAGGGGAAAAGTGAGAGTGGGAAAGGGAAGGGGCGAGGCAAGGGGAGAGGGAAGAAATCTGCATGAGTCATAAGATGTTCTTCAAACTACAGAGTTAAGAGACAGCAAACCTATCTCAAGGTAGACTAGTTCTTCCCTTGTGGTCAGCATGGTCTACAATAAGATTTTCATGCTTAAAATCTGCAGTACAGATGAGTCTGCAGTACAGAAGGAAGCTGCATTGGGGAGTAACAAATAGAGTACACATGTATTGGTTGTTAATCCATCGATGTCAGATCGACATTTACATGTAAACTTTCAACCTCGGGTGACTATCATAAAAGATGGCACATTGAAAAAACAACGTTATTGAGGCCTTCTCAAGAGGTACTATTGTATTTCTAACCACATATTGGACTGCAGAAACTAGTCAGTGATAGTTAACATTTAACTTCTATGCTTGTGCTTCCATACATGTCAGAACATTATAATTGACTAATTGAGCCTTGACCAAAGTACAATGATTTCAGCAGTACAGTATCAGCAGCTATACTTGATACAGCAAGAACGCAACATACAAATAAAACAATATACTGTTTCTCAAAGTCAACAGTGAAATTGTGATTAATCTATAGCTACAGTATGCTGATTATTAGAAAAGCAAATTATCTGTAAATTAAAAGATAAGTAGTATTTAGAGAATGTAATTATAGCAACAGTCTAGTGAGTATTCATGGGATCTAACATGTTAGAGCATTACTACACAATAGCCACAGTAGTCTACGAAGCGTAACAAGTCCATTGGACATTAATCCCAAGGAAGTTGTAACACTTTTGGCAGAGAGGGCTAATTTGTATCGTGCCGACAAAATTGAAACAACAAGCAGAACAAACGCTTCAAGTGTGAAATAATGAAAATATGGGAAGCATTGGTAGTAATGTCAACTTCAGACAGATTTCCTCACTGAAGTTGCAATTTATGCCTTCGAACACCTTTGAACAGCTGTTCGGTCATCCGCCATGACGTTACTAGTACCGTGAATGAAACAGCCGGCACAAATCACCCAATATCTGCTTGGAAAACAGCTATATATTACCGCACACCTAGAAGGCCGCGGCATTAATGACCTGTTCAACAAGTCCATCAAAATTGGGGTGTCTTGTGAACTATTACATGACCCATGAAAACTGCTACGGTATGAAGAGAACAACGTGCATCATATCGCGCATACTATCAGACGACATGCCAAACTACATAACAATGCAACAAATAGATCGTGAGTTACAGCTGCGAACATACAGACACGACTTATGCCAATACTCCGAGGAGGTCACTGGCATTCACAATTACAACGCAGTCTCAATTTGAATGGCTTCGGGTGGGAGCAGTGCACGTCTCAGTTGCAGCAGTCTCTTCTCTATCCCTTCTGGAGTCGGTCTTGTAGCGGGAACGTCGCGCCAACACGCCCTCATCAGTCGGTACAGGTCCTCCGGACACTCCGGCGGCCTGTTCATCCTTATCCCTTGCCTCAGGACCCCTACCATCTGAAGAAAAGTGAGCTGCATTCTGCCATCGTAGCACGGATCTTGTCCCAGCGTGGCGATCTCCCACAGCAGCACGCCGAAGGACCAGACGTCACTCTGACAGGTGTACTCGCCGGTCTCGATGGACTCCAGCGCCATCCACTTCAGCGGCAGGAGTTCGTCAAGGCCTGGCCGGTTGGCTCGCACATACTGAGTGGTGGCGTACACATCTCTGGCCAGTCCAAAATCAGCCAACTTGGCCACGTCATCGGCAGTGATGAGGACGTTACGAGCGGCCACGTCACGATGGGCGATTCTCAGGCGCTCTAGCTCTTGCAGAGCTCGTGCTACATGAACTGCGTATCCTAGAAGATTTTCCAGTAGATACTCCTGATTGTTGTTCTTTATCCCTCGTAAGAAGCCTAAGAGATCGCCTTTTGGGGCATATTCTAGAAGGATGTACTTCTCCGCAGACTTGGTGATGAGCCCCACAAGTCGAACGATGTTGGACTCATTGCGATCGTTGTCGTCTTGTCCCTGCACTTGGTGCACGGCTACCAGTATGGCTGCTTCCCTGTAGAAGTCACGATAGGACTGCGCGTCCTCCACGCGAACTGCTTTGGCGGCGACGTCTAGATCTAGCTGTCCTCCAGCCGTGCGTAGCTGTGCCCTTCTGACTTTCCCAAACATCCCTTCCCCTATCAGGGGACCAGGAGTGAGATGGCGGGCCTTCTTCTCCCAACGCCCGAGCCAGCCCGGCTGTAGAGTCTGTGCTAGATCCTGCTCCATTCTCCTCAGCTCGAAAAGTATCTTTTCTTCCTCGCCTGTATCAGGTACGGAGTAAGCCAGAAATCCTGTTTTGAAGAGTATGGTCGTCACTATGGCAACCAGCAGGACTAAAGAGCCTAGCGGGATCAGGATTTCCAGCAATGGTTGATCTCTGCTTGTCTGCAATTGGTCACAGTACCGTCCCGTCCACGGTGTTACACATGTGCAGCTACCGTCCACGTTGTTGCATGTGGCGTTGTTCTTACAAACACAAGGCTGCTGGCATCTCCACCCGAAAAGACCGCTCGGGCACGGCTTGCCGCAGTTGTTTCCGTACCAGCCATCGGTGCAGTTACACCTTCCTCCGCTAGGACTGCAGCTCGCCTCATTCTGGCAGCTGCAGCGTTTTGTACAGTCTTTACCGTACGTGCCACGGGGACATTTTGTCTGACACCTGGTTCCCGTCCATCCCGGCGGACAGACACAACCGGCCCTCCGGTCACAGCTGGCACCTTGCAGGCAATCACACAATTCGTGACAATCGGCACCCTTGCGGTTCGATAGGCAATGCACATCAAGAGCCATTGATGCATTTAAAGTGAGTCCATCTTTGTCAAGAACCACGCAAATGTAATAACCACTATCTTCAAGTTGTATGTTTGCGACAAGTACAGACATGTGGTTCTCGCCACTAACCAGTTTCTCTGATCCATTTGGAAATCGCAGAGACATGACTTTGGTATCAAGGTTGTGTGCTCTACAGTGAAAAGCCACATTGCGGGAAGTGTAGATTTGACGAGGGTCGCTAGGTGTCGTGGTTATCGAAACGTCTGGCTTGGGAATGTCACAGGCCACTCCTTTCCAGCCGGGGGCACATTTGCAGGCGCCGTTAAACCCGTGGCAGCGGGCGCCGTTCTTACAGATACAGTTCTTATTACAGAAGAAGCCGTATTTTCCAATAGGGCAACCTATGGGACGTACTTCTATATCTGCATATTCAATGCTTGCTATTTCTATCCTGGCGTTGCCGTGGAAGGCCCTGACTGGAGGATGTAGAAATGTTGGAAAGTTGCAGGAATATAACTTCGCATCTCTCCCATGAAAAATGCACGTTAAAAACAGGATAAAGTTTTCTCTAGCTCTCATGTCGTTTACGATGGATCCGATCGACTTAGGGTATTTCTGGAGTCTTGATTCGTCGTCGCGTAATGTCCAAAACAACTCACCTAACAAATCGTGATTATCAGACCCCACACTACATGTCGGTTGACGTACGCCGTTATCGTATATATCTTTTAATGTTATAAGAGTATCAGCCCAAGTTGTGTATGTAGCTAAATGGAAAGTACAGTCACTGTTGTTTGTGTCAGCCCTCCAAGGATCATAGGTATTACCGTGAAAGAAGTCATCCTTCCAACGCTGTTTTATGTACAGGACATCGCCGTTAGTGGTCAGCACTTCCTCACTTGACGTAAAACTAAAGAGTAAATTTGATACTCGACCTTTAGGATTGGTAGGTGTTTCGCATGTTTCGTTGTACACAGGTGGATAGCCCATAACGTCAGTCAACTGCACCTCGACACTGGTGCTATACAATCCCCTGTGAATGTTGAGCAGATATGCCGACTCTACAGACCAGTCCAGAGGGTTGGCGACCAGAATGGTGCAGTTTTTGGTCACGTTGAAGCGAAAATGCGGATCCCCGTCCATTTTGGTACACGGAAGTTCCGCCTTGTCTCGAAGTTGGGTCCTAGGTAGGGTAAATATGGCCTGTCCGACAGCCACGTTTTCTGGTACGGAGACTCGAAACTCTTCTGTTGTAGCTGAGGTCTGGCGAGTAAATATCAGGTAAATAACAATCATGAGAGGCGTCGTCTGTAGGTAGTGCACCGCCATGATTCTGTCGTGAAGGAAACACAATAGGTACGTCAGACCCACTCTAAGAGCCACTCTACTTTTACGTTGGTAACACAACAGCTACAGGCCATTGGGAAGTTACACGTTGTATGTTGTTTTTCCACCTACGTTGTTGGTGCAAAATTGTCGCTCCAATTTTACTACTAGCATCAGCAAAATTTGGATGCCAACTCAACTTTAAACGTTGAAATTGAGTTCTAATAAGAAACGTTGTCAATAGTGCTAGTGTTAATCATGATCAACGCAGAATGCGTCCACCCACCTGCAAAATGTACGTCACGGCAAACTTTGGCAGTGTAGGCTTTTCACGTTAGCGAAGCAAAACTGAGCGTTTAATGTCCCTCTTAACAATTATCACCAACTTCCCCTGACAGGGAATAATCAATGAATACACACAACATGACAACACTGCCATGAGGTAGCCTGAAGTTTGACTGAGTAAACAGACCTCTGGCGTATTTTTTCTGACTCTGACAAAAAATAGGCAATGGATATGGACTGCTTTGTCCTATGATATTTCCTCTCTGTATCGAAATACCTTGAAGAAAGGGCAATGCCTTAGCTTGAAAGGAATACTGATGCATTGTATGGGCAAAGCTCCTAACATTCATTTATTTATTTGAACTTTGTCACAAAGACATGACAGGGGGAACAGGCAGATGCTTTTTCCTCGCCCCCTGTCCAGAATCAATATATTTGATACAATGGTATCATTTGTACCTGTATTTACAACCAAGAAAAGTGTTATGGAGAACACGGGGAACTGTCCCGAATGCAGAACTTTTGTTTAATTTCATCTTAGATGACTTTTTTATCCGTTATGCTACATATGTACGAATACCGGCAATTTCACAACATGTTTTTCTTTTGTATCACTCCACAGGCCAGGAGTAATGTTAACTTTGGCTAACCCGGCACCCCACAAGCTTGAGCTACTACCTTGCTTATGTGAATATTTTTCTGATCCCTATGTCCAGTTGATTATTGATAAGGGTCGACAAGGTACACAGGTACTCCAGAGGACACTAGAGGTTATCATTTGCAAAACAAATGTATAATGTTTTACCTAACGCTCTGTTCATCCTAACTCAAGCAAATCCAAATATATGGTGACACTAACCTCCCCTACAACTCGCAACAAAATATAATCCAACACCACAGGGCGTCTGGTCTATGTTATGAAGAAACATAGAGAAGAAGAAGAAACAACATATTCAAACAAATGTTTTCCTTAAAACTTCTACGAAGGTAAAACATAACTACCATGAAGTCAAACGGAGGTTAAGATTACCACCTCAATCTGCTCCATCTTTCTTGTTCTTCATTTTTGCAAAGTCCCTACAGTACCACCCAAAGCTACTCTTTTTGGTGTCAAGAAAGCAGTGACCAAACACGCCAAAGGGCAGGAATGTGCCTCTCCGCGCTCCCCTAATCCTGTCATCTGTGTCAACCCTGTAGCTGTCTATCACGTTTATGAAGTCCTCATCCAGTTCAAATCCAGACTTGCGCCAACCATATGCACTTAGGTAGTTCCATTGTAATCCGAAAGGGATGGAAACCTTTGATAGGGTAGCTGTTTGGGCATGGTAGGTGAACACATTGTTATAGCGGCTGTGATCTTCAGATAATAGGATATACAAATTGTCTTCCACAACGGTTGTCAGGGGTGTGACTCTCGTGTGTGGTTGTGCGTCGCAGTCCGAGCAGGTATACGTCCAGTTACCTGTTTCAACGTTAAAGGCGTGCACGCAGACCTTTCTGGATTTCAACCCTGAATAATCATAGCCCGACAACCCGTAGGAGAGATAGCCTGGTTTAACTTCCCGACGTTTTATTGTGTTCTTTAACACCTGCAAGAGAACAAGGCTACCCCCAAAGGCTGTCACCGTTAAGTCTGACCATGTGTCTATTGTTGGTAGCGTAACCGGTGTTGTCCAAAGCCCCTTTTCAAGGTCGAAGCAATCCATGCACATTTGAGACGTATCTTCAACGTCACCCCCAACTAGGAAGAGTTTCCCGTCAACGACCGCGGACTGATGTCCTGCCCTGCCGCCAGGCATGTCGGGTAGCTTCGTCCAGGTGTCTGTTGGGACGTCATACTGAAAGGCTTGTCTGGATGTTTCAGTATGAGGAACATCACCGTCACCGACGAGATGCAGAGGATGGGCGCGTCCGCCGGTCACGTACAGGCGTCTTCCTGCACGCGTGACACTCATGTACCCAGGAGCAGTCGTAGGTAGGTCTGTGATGTGGTAGCACTGCTCAGTGTCGGGGTCGAAGCAAATTATACTTTGCAGCGGCATCGGTTGTGTGTACGCTTCATCACTAGACTGTTCTTTCGTGACATCTTTCCAACCACCGACAATTATTGCCAAGTCGTCCGATAAACCGATTCTGAGTCTACTTCTAGTCATACCGAGGAGGTTTATAACTTCCTCGGTCGCACCTCCTTCTGCCTGCAGTTCCTGTGCACCGCGGAGATGTTCTTCCTTGGCTGCTCTGATGCTTGCCAGACATTCAGAAGACTGTCGTACAACAGGGTGAGACTCTAGTATCTCTAGCACTCTGACCTTGACACATGATAAGTGAATTGTTCGCAAAATCCGCGCCACTGCTGTCTTGCGACCTTCGGGATCATGGTCGAGCCACCGTATTACAGAAGTGACAACGTCCGCTTCGTCGCCAACTGGCAGCTCCTCGTTAATGAGAAGACGCAACAGATTCTGCGTTGAAAGGGTCAAAAACTCTTCACCTTGTCTGACCTGTCTAAAATGTGACACTGCCAGGGACGTTGCTTGCTTTTCCAGTGCGGAAAATCCGTACATATCGGCAAGCTGCATGACACCGACACAGTTTGAAGGGCAGAGGTTGCTTTGGATGAACTCACGGCAATATTCGGAGATCTTGTCAAACTGCAGCATGTGTGATGCCTGCAGAATGTCTTGTACATCGTCTTCACAGATGCAAATCTCTCCCGTATACAAGAAGTCCAGGATCTTGGAGAAGCTGTTTGGGGTTATCCCGCGCAGTCGCACCACCCTTGACTTCCGTTCGGCGAGTTTTGAGGAGAACATGGCTTTGAAGTACGGTGTGGAGGCCAACACGGCACGATGACAAGGAAACCTCCTGTTTTCTACCTTCACTACAACATCAACGAATTCACCGGTCTCACGTTGACTGGCAAGCTCAGCAAGGAGCTGATGACTGTGGGCAGCCTGTCGAAAGCGTCGGGAGTTATAGGATTTTCCGTCGTCCTTTCTTACGTCATCAGCAGGATCACAGTCATGGTCACTTTGGGATCCTCCGTAGTCAGCATTTTCATAATCATCATAATCATGGCTTTCATAATCATAGTCATCATGATCATTGTAGTCCCCATAATCATCATAGTCCCCATAATCATCATAGTCCCCACAAGCACCATAGTCCCCAAAATAAGAACCAGGATGAAGACCATGGGATTCACAATAATCAATATGCGATTCAGCCCAGGACATCGTGGTTGTTCTTCCCCTAAAGATCAGATGAAGAAAATAAGAACAATTAGTCCACGGGATAGACCTCCAAATTACACATGTTGGTCCCACCTGAGGTGGCAAATTCTCATTGTGGTCTGTGGAATACATTTTGATATGGCAGGCTTCTCAGTGTAGTAGCTTTGACCTTGCTGACATTGGATTTTGACCCCATATGGACCACGCCCTAACGGAGTGGCAAATATATATATTACATAATTTTTTCTATGTAACTTCATGGTTTGATAAAACAGGAAAGACGGATTACAAAGATGATAATTCTGTTTCAATATACCAGTTCTATGAAAAGCCTTTAAAATTCGTTTTTCTCGTCGATTCTTAATGACATTTAACAAACGTTCACCGATTTTATATTCACAACTTTGTAACAAAAATTCAAAACAACACCAGCATCTGCCTTAGACTGTGCCTCCAAGCTGCTCCGTCGACTATGTTCTAATGTACGTCACACCCATTCTGCAAGAGCCACGTTTACTTTGGTAACACAACACCTACAGGCCATTGCCAAGTTAAACATTGTATGTTGTTTTTTCTCACCTACGTTGTTGGTGGGAAATTGTCACCCCAATTTTGCTACTAGTACTAGTGAAATTGGTGTACCAGCTGGAGCTCAACTTCAAACTTTGAAATTGTGTTCTAATAAGAAAAGTTATCCGTAGTGCTAGTGTTAATCATAATCAACACAGAATTTAATGGTCCACCCACCTGCAAAGAGTCAGGCACGGTAATCTTTGGGAGGGTAAACCGTTCGGCGCGGCGACGACGTCGGCGAAGCAAAACAGAGCATACAACGTTCCCCCTTTACAGTTCTAATTAACTTCCCCTGACAGGGAACAGTTATGAAAGGTTACAACAGTACTGTCGTCGTTGAAAGGTCCGTAGGTACGAGTGTCGCTGCCTCAAGCATGACTGAGTAAACAGATCTGGCGTACTAGTATTTTTTCTGTCTCTGACAGACAAAAAGGCAATATGATATGGACTGCTTTCAAGTGTGTTCTTTGTCCTTTGATATTTTCTCTCTGTATCAAAATACCTTGAAGAAAGGACAATACTTTGAATGGAATTCTGATGCATTGTACGGGGAAAGCTCACAATAATATCATTTGTACCTGTATGTACTACCAAAACATGGGGAACTGTCCCAAATGCAGAACTTTTTTAAATTAAATTTTATTTTAGATCATTTTTTTATCCTTCATGCTAAATATGCACGAATGCCGGCAATTTCACAACATTTTTTCTTTTGTATCACTCCACAGGCCAGGAGTAATATTGACTATGGGTAACCCAGCACCCAACAAAAGGCGCCTGGTAGAACAAACAAAAATAACAAAATAAGTTGTCGGCAATGTGTAGGACTTTTGTTCAGCATACCTCCCAGTGATTGCATTAGCCACTTGCATTTGTTTATTGAACGCACCATCCCGGCGATCAGGCAAAAAGGCTACACAACCATCCGCGCGCGAACTAATACCAGAAAGTCTTCGATGGACTATCAACATTACGCAACCCATAAAGACTACAATTAACAGGCTTTTCAGAAAATATAAAGATACAGTATCTATACAGTTAGTACGATATAGGGTATATCGCGACCGTAAAGCATAAACAAAACAAAATCACGTTTCCGGCGATTTACTGCGCAGTTATTCAGACTCTGGTCAGATTTAAGGAACCATATAGACGTTTCTTCCTGACTATTGTGTTTCCTTCACGACAGAATCATGGCTGTGCACTACCTACATTTAAGGAACTATATAGACGTTTACGACATATTTGGACATTTTCGCTGGTTAACCACTGTCGGTGGGTAACGAAATTTCTTCTTTTTCCTTTTTTAGAAAATTGATACGCGCGCTCACGCTTGTCATCCACATAATATACTTGCTGTGACCTTAACGGCAAATACTAAACGGAACCAGGTGTCAGACAAAATGTCCCCATGGCACGTACGGTAAAGACTGGTCAGATTTAAACTCCAAACTGGAACCATACATACGTTTGTTCCTCATATTGTGCTTCCTTCACGACAGAATCATGGCGGTGCACTACCTACAGACGACGCCTGTGATGATTGTTATGTACCTGATATTAACTCGCCAGACCACAGCTACAACAGAAGAGTTTCGAGTCTCCGTACCAGAAAACGTGGCTGTCGGACAGGCCATATTTACCCTACCTAGGACCCAACTTCGAGACAAAGCGGAACTTCCGTGTGCCAAAATGGACGGGGATCCGCATTTTCGCTTCAACATGACCGAAAACTGCACCATTATGGTCGCCAACCCTCTGGACTGGTCTGTAGAGTCGGCATATCTGCTCAACATTCACAGGGGATTGTATAGCACCAGTGTCAAAGTGCAGTTGACTGACGTTGTAGGCTACCCTCCTGTGTACAACGAAACATGCGAAACACCTACCAATCCTAAAGGTGGAGTATCGAATTTACTCTTTAGTTTTACGTTAAGTACGGAAGTGCTGACCACTAACGGTGATGTTCTGTACACAAGACAGCGTTGGAACGATGACGCATTCCACGGTACTACCTATGATCCTTGGAGGGCTAACACAAACAACGGTGACTGCACTTTCCATTTAGCTACATACACAACTTGGGCTGATGATCTCATTACATTACAAGATATATATGATAACGGCATACGTCAAATGACATGTAGTGTGGGGTCTGGTGATCACGATTTGTTAGGTGAGTTGTTTTTTAGAGGACGCGAGAACGAATCAAGACTTCAGAAATTAAGAAAGTTTGTTCCTAACTCTATCGTAGAGGACAAGAATATCAAGTATTTCGTATTGTCCACGTGCATTTTTCCTGCGAAAGAAGCGAAGTTATATTCCTGCAACTTTCCAACATCTCTTAATCCCCCAGTCAGGTCCTTGATCAACCCTGGTACCAGGATAGAAATAGCAAGCATTGGATATGCAGATATAGAAGTACGACCAATAGGCTGCCCTGTTGGAAAATACGGCTTCTTCTGTAATAAGAACTGTATTTGTAAGAACGGCGCCCGCTGCCACGGGTTTAACGGCGCCTGCAAATGTGCCCCCGGCTGGAAAGGTGTGGCCTGTGACATTCCCAAGCCAGACGTCTCGATAACCACGACACCTAGCGACCCTCAACGAATCTACACTTCCCGCAATGTGGCTTTACATTGTAGGGCACACAACATTGATGTTGAAGTCATGTCTCTGCGATTTCCAAATGGATCGAAGAAACTGGTTAGTGGAGAGAACCACATGACTGTACTTGTCGCAAACATACAACTTGAAGATAGTGGATATTACATTTGCATGGTTCTTGACAAAGATGGACTTGCTCTAAATGCATCAATGGTTCTTGATGTGAATTGCCCACCGAACCGCAAGGGTGTTGATTGTGATGAAGTGTGTGATTGCCTGCAAGGTGCCAGCTGTGACCGGATGGCCGGTTGTGTCTGTCCGCCGGGATGGACGGGAACCTGGTGTCAGACAAGGTGTCCCCGTGGCACGTACGGTAAAGACTGTACAAAACGCTGCAGCTGCCAGAATGAGGCGAGCTGCAGTCCTAGCGGAGGCAGGTGTAACTGCACCGACGGCTGGTACGGAAACGACTGCGGCAAACCGTGTCCGAGCGGTCTTTTCGGGTGGAGATGCCAGCAGCGTTGTGTTTGTAAGAACAACGCCACATGCAATATCGTGGACGGTAGCTGCACATGTGTAACACCGTGGACGGGACGGTACTGTGACCAATTGCAGACAACCAGAGATCAACCATTGCCGGAAATCCTGATCCCGATAGGCTCCTTAGTCCTGCTGGTTGCCATAGTGATGGCCATACTCTTTAAATCAGGATTTCTGGCTTACTCCGTGCCTGAAACAGGCGAGGAAGAAAAGATACTTTTCGAGCTGAGGAGAATGGAGCAGGACCTAGCACAGACTCTACAGCCGGGCTGGCTCGGGCGTTGGGAGAAGAAGGCCCGCCATCTCACTCCTGGTCCCCTGATAGGGGAAGGAATGTTTGGGAAAGTCAGAAGGGCACAGCTACGCACGGCTGGAGGGCGGCTAGACGTCGCCGCCAAAGCAGTTCGCGTGGAGGACGCGCAGTCCTATCGTGACTTCTACAGGGAAGCAGCCATACTGGTAGCCGTGCACCAAGTGCGGGAACAAGCCGGCAACGATCTCGAGTCCAACATCGTTCGACTTGTGGGGCTCATCACCAAGTCTGCGGAGAAGTACATCCTTCTAGAATATGCCCCAAAAGGCGATCTCTTAGGCTTCTTACGAGGGATAAAGAACAACAATCAGGAGTACCAACTTGAAAATCTTCTAGGATACGCAGTTCATATAGCACGTGCTCTGCAAGAGCTAGAGCGCCTGAGAATCGCCCATCGTGACGTGGCCGCTCGTAACGTCCTCATCACTGCCGATGACGTGGCCAAGTTGGCAGATTTTGGACTGGCCAGAGATGTGTACGCCACCACTCAGTATGTACGAGCCAACCGGCCAGGCCTTGACGAACTCCTGCCGCTGAAGTGGATGGCGCTGGAGTCCATCGAGACCGGCGAGTACACCTGTCAGAGTGACGTCTGGTCCTTCGGCGTGCTGCTGTGGGAGATCGCCACGCTGGGACAAGATCCGTGCTACGATGGCAGAATGCAACTCACTTTTCTCCAGATGGTGGGGATTCTGAGGCAAGGAACACGGATGAACAGGCCGCCGGAGTGTCCGGAGGACCTGTACCGACTGATGAGGGCGTGTTGGCGCGACGTTCCTGATACAAGACCGACTCCAGAAGGGATAGAAAAGAAACTGATGCAACTGAGACGTGCACTGATCCCACCCGAAGCCATTCAAATGGAGACAGCCTTGTAACTTGTAATCATTGTGAATGTCACTTGGAAGCAAAACTTTATAGTACGAACTTTTGTTACCTCCTGAATGAGGTCAGTGACCTCCGCATACTATAAGAAAAAGTCGCGTCTGTATGTTCGCAGCTGTAACTCACTATCCCTTTGATGCATTGATATGTAGTTTGGCGTGTCGTCCGCTAGTATGTGCGACATCGACATAATGCACTTTTTTTTACCGTAGCAGCTACATTGGTCATTTCATATTTCACAAAACACCTCTATTTTGATGGACTTGTGGAACAGGTCAATAATTTTGTCGGCCTTCGTGGGTGTGCGGTAATAGCGATTTTCCAAGCAGATATTGGGTGGTTTGTGACAACTATTTTGTTCACGGTAGTAGGGTCATGGCGGATGGCTGAAGAGCTATCGGTGTTTTAACTAGTGCAAATTTGTCTGATATTGACATTTACTGCCGTTACTTAGCACATTTTTCGTTATCATTTCATGCTTCAAGTGTTTGTTATGATTCTATGAAGTTGTTTCAATTTTGTCGGCACGATACACCTTCGCTCACTCCGCCAAGTGATACAACTTCACGTATGTCCAATGGACACTTGTTACACCTTCGTAGTGCCTATTGTGTTGTGATACTCTATAATGTTAGATTAGATCCGATGAATGCTCAGTAGACTGTTACATTACTGTTACATTATATTACTGTTACATTTCCAAAGACTACTTCTTTTTTTTAACAGGAAAAATTTGATTTGCTGAAAATCTGTAGCATTCATTGGATGATCCATTTATCTGTACTGTAGCTATAGCTAAAATACAATTCCACTTGTAACTAAGAAACAGTACGTTTGAGTAGTTAACAGTATTATCTGTCCTTAATTGTAGATGAGTATGTCCCTCGATGAACTAGGTTGAAATCTAAATAAAACAATTATAGCAAAACGGGTTGTCGTACCATCTTGAGCTGCTACTACACTTGACTTTACACTGCATATTCATATGCAATGTGTTAACACTAAAATAGAGCAATGCCATCCAACGCGAGCAACTGTGTCTCAAATTTGCTTGATTCCCGATGATAACCCAACTGGCAGACGTTTACGACGTATCTGCCCATTTTCGGTAAGTTGACCACCGTCACAGTCTTTTTAAATCAGACGAAAATTGATGCACGCGCTGATGCGACGTCATCTATAAAAATGACTTGCTGTGGCCTTAACAACATATAATGAACAACTCATGATTGCAAGCAGTCAATCAGGCATGAAGTTGCAAAACCAGTTATACTACGTAACAATTAAGGTCAAAGGACGAAGACAGTTGCCTTCGGGGGTGACAACTTGGCACATATTTATGGTACGAAACATACAGACGTTTCTTCTTTAAATTGTGTTTCGTTCACGACAGAATCATGGCCGTGCACTACCTACAGACGACACCTGTCATGATTGTTATTTACCTGATATTAACTCGCCAGACCACAGCTACAACAGAAGAGCTTCGAGTCTCCGTATCAGAAAACGTGGCTGTCGGACAGGCCATATTTACCCTACCTAGGACCCAACTTGGAGACAAAGCGGAACTCCCATGTGCCAAAATGGACGGGGATCCGCATTTTCGCTTCAACGTGACCAAAAACTGCACCATTCTGGTCGCCAACCCTCTGGACTGGTCTGTAGAGTCGGCATATCTGCTCAACATTCACAGGGAAATGTACAACACCAGTGTCAAAGTGCAGTTGACTGACGTTGTGGGCTATCCACCTGTGTACAACGAAACATGCGAAACTCCTACCAATCCTAAAGGTCGAGTATCAGATTTACTCTTTAGTTTTACGTTAAGTACGCAAGTGCTGACCACAAACGGTGATGTTCTGTACACAAGACAGCTTTGGAAGGATATCCCCTACACCCGCACTACTCACGATCCTTGGAGGACTGACACAAACAACAGTGACTGTACTTTCCATTTAGCTACCTACACAACTTGGGCTGATGATCTCATTACAATAAAAGATATATATGATAACGGTCTACGTCAAATTGCATGTAGTGTGGGATCTGATAATCACGATTTGTTAGGTGAGTTATTTTTAATAGGACTCGAGGATGAATCAAGACTTCAGAAATTAAGAAAGTTTGTTCCTAACTCCTTCGTAGACGACAGGAAAGAGAACTTTATCGTGTTTATAACATGTATTTTTCCTGTGAAAGAAGCGAAGTTATATTCCTGCAACGTACCATCATTTCTACAACCCACAATCAGGACCCAAGTGGCTGGCACCAGGGTAGAAATAACAAGCATTGAATATGCAGATATAGAACTACGCCCCACAGGCTGCCCTGTTGGAAAATACGGCTTCTTCTGTGATAAGAACTGTATCTGTAAGAACGGCGCCCGCTGCCACGGGTTTAACGGCGCCTGCAAATGTGCCCCCGGCTGGAAAGGTGTGGCCTGTGACATTCCCAAGCCAGACGTGTCGATAACCACGGCACCTAGCAACCCTCAACGAATCTACACTTCCCGCAATGTGAGTTTACATTGTAGGGCACACAACCTTGATGCCAAAGTCATGTCTCTGCGATTTCCAAATGGATCAGAGATTATGAAACTGGTTAGTGGCGAGAACCACATGACTGTACTTGTCGCAAACATACAACTTGAAGATAGTGGTTATTACATTTGCATGGTTCTTGACAAAGATGGACTTGCTCTAAATGCATCAATGGTTCTTAATGTGCATTGCCCACCGAACCGCAAGGGTGCCGATTGTGATGAAGTGTGTGATTGCCTGCAAGGTGCCAGCTGTGACCGGAGGGCCGGTTGTGTCTGTCCGCCGGGATGGACGGGAACCAGGTGTCAGACAAAATGTCCCCGTGGCACGTACGGTAAAGACTGTACAAAACGCTGCAGCTGTCAGAATGAGGCGAGCTGCAGCCCTAGTGGAGGCAGGTGTAACTGCACCGACGGCTGGTACGGAAACAACTGCGGCAAACCGTGCCCGAGCGGTCTTTTCGGGTGGAGATGCCAGCAGCGTTGTGTTTGTAAGAACAACGCCACATGCAACAGCGTGGACGGTAGCTGCACATGTGTAAAACCGTGGACGGGACGGTACTGTGACCAATTGCAGACAAGCAGAGATCAACCATTGATGGAAATCCTGATCCCGCTAGGCTCCTTAGTCCTGCTGGTTGCCATTGTGATGGTCATACTCTTTAAATCAGGATTTCTGGCTTGCTCCGTGCCTGAAACAGGCGAGGAAGAAAAGATACTTTTCGAGCTGAGGAGAATGGAGCAGGACCTAGCACAAACTCTACAGCCGGGCTGGCTCGGGCGTTGGGAGAAGAAGGCACGCCATCTCGCTCCTGGTCCCCTGATAGGGGAAGGAATGTTTGGGAAAGTCAGAAAGGCACAGCTACGCACGGCTGGAGGGCGGCTAGACGTCGCCGCCAAAGCAGTTCGCGTGGAGGACGCGCAGTCCTATCGTGACTTCTACAGGGAAGCAGCCATACTGGTAGCCGTGCACCAAGTGCAGGGACAAGACGACAACAATCGCAATGAGTCCAACATCGTTCGACTTGTGGGGCTCATTACCAAGTCTGCGGAGAAGTACATCCTTCTAGAATATGCCCCAAAAGGCGATCTCTTAGGCTTCTTACGAGGAATAAAGAACAACAATCAGGAGTACCAACTTGAAAATCTTCTATTATACGCAGTTCATATAGCACGAGCTCTGCAAGAGCTAGAGCGCCTGAGAATCGCCCATCGCGACGTGGCCGCTCGTAACGTCCTCATCACTGCCGATGACGTGGCCAAGTTGGCTGATTTTGGACTGGCCAGAGATGTGTACGCCACCACTCAGTATGTACGAGCCAACCGGCCAGGCCTTGACGAACTCCTGCCGCTGAAGTGGATGGCGCTGGAGTCCATCGAGACCGGCGAGTACACCTGTCAGAGTGACGTCTGGTCCTTCGGCGTGCTGCTGTGGGAGATCGCCACGCTGGGACAAGATCCGTGCTACGATGGCAGGGTTCATCTGACTTTTTCTCCAGATGGTGGGGATTCTGAGGCAAGGGATAAGGATGAATATGCCGCCGGAGTGTCCGGAGGACCTGTACCGACTGATGAGGGCGTGTTGGCGCGACGTTCCTGATACAAGACCGACTCCAGAAGGGATAGAGAAGAGACTGATGCAACTGAGACGTGCACTGCTCCCACCCGAAGCCATTCAAATGGAAACTGCGTTGTAATCATGGCAAATATCTACTTGAATGAAAACGTTTTAAGTGTTGCGAACTGTAATTACGCTTTCGTAGTGGCTGTTGTGTTGTAATGCTTTATCATGTTAGAGGCAATGAATGCTTACTAGAGTTATATGAATTGTATTGTATTGTATTCAACGATATTTATTTACCAGAACCTTAACCCTCTATAGGATCCGGCGCTATACACATATGAAAAGCAAGAGATGAAACTGTCGTCATTTCTGACTTTTTAAGATTTTAATTGTTGTTAAATGTTGTCTGTAATTTTGAGTATTTTAGAGTTATAAAAAATTGTGATTCTAAGTACATGTAAAGGAATGTGTTATTCAGTCGGCGGACGTTGAAAAGCTTTTTGTTTTTTTTCTTCTACATAATAATAATGATAATGATAATAATAATGACTGCTTGAGTTGCTTAGTAACTGTCTTTGAGGCCACAGCAAGTAATTTTAATGGCGGTACCAAAAACAAGGACGCCTCACGTTGCTTCTTTCTGAGCTATTTCAAAAGCCTCAAGTATGAAATAACGAAAATGTGATAAGAAATGGCAGGAAATGTCAATATCAGACAGATTTCCTCATCTATGATATTGTTTATTTTGGCACCCCGAAATTTTTTTTTTTTTAAATTCCAATATGTAATCACAAGACGTGGTGACGACACACTCAAGTTTTTTCAACTTATATTAATGCCGCCACCAACACAGGGGACAAATACATGACAGGACAATGCTCATTTACACCTGAGCTAAGTGAGGAAAGTCGTGTAAAGTGCCTTTCCCAAGGGCACAAGATCGGTGGCATGTCAGGACTCGAACCCGGGACTCAAAGTTCCGAGTCGCGCACTCTGCCGCTACGCCACACGACCCCGAAATTGCAGTGGATGCCTTTAAGTACACTACTAGTATGTGATTGACACGAGCGTACTTATAGTGCGTGGGTCGCGCATACTCTAGTGGCACGTCTAGTGGTGTCTAGTTGTACCATTTACGTCACCCGTGCTGAAAGCTAGCGTGAAGGTAAACACCAGCCTGCATATCTGTATAAACCCAAGCACTGGGCCGGAATCTACCGCAGAAAGGACTGAACAACCATCGGTGTCACCACTCTGCTGACTTCCAGGTAAATATCTTGAATAACGGCGGAGTTGTGAATGTTTCAGACGATGCATTTCTTTAGTTTCAGATGCAATGCTTCTTTGCTATTATTTGAAACTAGAATACATCTTGCTGACTTTCATAATAATCACTTTAATGACGGTGCAGTTTTGAATGTTTCAGACGATGTATTTTAGTTTCAGATGAAAGGCGTATTTGCTATCCTTTCATCTGAAACTAAAATACATCCTATAGGCCTACTGAGATTCAGGTAAATTACTAGAGATGACAGTGTGCAGTTTTGAATGTTTTATACGATGTATTTTAGTTTCAGATAAAATGCTTCTTCAATTGCTACCTTTTCATCTGAAACTAAAATATTGCTGACTTTCAGGTAAGCTTCTAGAATGGCCGTGTACCTTTTTGAATGTTTCAGACGTGTTTTAGTTTCAGATGAAACGCTTTGATGTCCTTTCATCTGAAACTAAAATACATCCCTGCTGACTTTCAAGTAAATCTCTAGAATGGTTTCTAGATATGACAATATACTTTTGAATGTTTTAGACGATATATTTTAGATGAAATGCTTCTTTGCTAAAATAACAAAAACCAATAATAATAATTGATAATAATCAGACGTCCATTGTTTATTCCATTGTTTTCAGACATCAACATGAAGATAGTGTTTCTTCTGATAACGCTTCTGGCGGCCACTCAGGCACGAGAGGACCTGGTGCAGCAGTTAACAGCCAGGGCTACGAACCATCTGTCAGGTATACATGTATTCCTATAGCTTCATAGACTTCAGAGTTTATTAAAATATAAGCGGTGTACGCGAGGGCGCACCACTAGTCTTCTAATAATAATAACATACGATTACATACATTTATTACATTCTTCCATCAATATTATTACTTCCTAACCACCATTATCATTACTTAAACAATCAGTCCATTGCTAGTTGTAAAATGTTACTGCTAGAACAGTCGGAATCATTGCAATTCCATTGAGAGGTCAGTTTGTAGAACGTTAACGATTGGATGGTCTGTTAGGCTAGTGGTAAAAGAGTCCATACTTTGACGCTTCTATATCGCCAAACAAAGTATACAAAAGACGAAGACCTGTATGTCTTTTCTTTTTTGTTTTGAGTTGTCGTAAACCTATCCTACGACAAAACGCGTCTGCGGTCACATTCGCCAAGAACGTCGTACGAATTTGACGCCGTAGTATCAATTCAAATAAGCTGTGATAGCACCAACCGTCGAGCTGACTTTCTACAACTGGCGACAGTTTTACGACAGGTGCACAACTATCCCAAGAGTCCCAATTTGCGATCGTACGATGACCATACGATGTATGCACGTGTGTGACCTGGTTCTTAGCCGACAAACATACACGATATCCACATAACATGAAGTCCTTTAAGCATGCCAAAGCAAATTAAAAGACACGGGTTAAAACACATCTAGGTCGGAAATGTTTACAAAAGACAGTCGAGAAGCACTTTGACGCATCCCTACTGTCTTAGTATTTGTTTATTCTTTAATTAACTGCTTTTATACTGATCCCTTTCACTGACCGTACAGGATTATCTCTAAGATAACTGGAGAAAAGTAGGTATCACACACTGCAAAGATTCTGATAGAAAGCACGCGAGCTATCATAAATGCCAGAATACAAAGAACTCATTGTGCCATGACCCAAAAACAACAGCAAGTTGTCTGAAAGTAAAGGCAAGAAGTTCTTGTACCTTCTTTGTGATTAGGTTTTGATTTGTGACAAAACAGTTAACATTTCTGATACAAATTCTTGAGAATTTTCATTGCACTAAGTTATCATAATTGTCTTTACAGGTTTCAGAGTGTATCTTCACAACTTTTTTAATTTCAGTAGCTTTATAAATCACTCTCATATGACGTTTTTGTTGATTTTAGATTTATTTCTCTATTCATCTATCTATCTATGTATCCATCCATCATATATAGCCATCTATCTATCTATCTCTATCTACTAACTGTATACCTATTTCATTTTTCACACATTCACACATTCACACAGCAAAAAGCATACGCAGAACCTACAAGAAACATCGCTAATACGATCATCACACACACATAGAAACACACACACACACACACACAGCGAGGGAAGAGGGAGAGAGAGAAAGGGAGAGAAATATACCAACAACATCTCCATTTTTCGTGGAGGCAATAAGAAAAAACAGAACCCTGCTAACGGAAAATAATTTATCTTTACTTGCAGCCAGGACTGCTGCTGCAGAGGTCCTGGAGGATAACATCCGACCCCGGCACGACGGCAACCACATCCCCGCCGGTCTCCCCGACGACATCGCGGAAGAAATTAACGAGATCGGTCAACTCCTGGCCAACAACGACAAGGAGAAAGATGGCTCCGGCGACGACGAAGCCAACTTTCTTCCCGATAAACCGGAGAAGCCGGCAAAACCTGCCAAGAAGCAAGGAAAGGGTTCTAAGAAGGCCGGCAAAGGTTCCAAGAAGACGTCCGATGAGGCCGCGTCCGACCGCTTCATAGCAGACCGTGCTCCACCGCAGCAAAAGGGGGAGCCTGAGCGGGCTACCGGAGAGCTGGGCCCGGCAGATCTGGAGGCCATCCCGGCGTCCCTGCGGCGTTACATTCAGGCTCTGGAAGACCGTGAGCAGGTCCGTAAGCGGGAGGAGAAGGAGAAAGCTGCCGCTACCGCTGAAATCCGCAGCCTGCTTCTCGGGCTGACCCGCAAACGCCAGCAATAAGAAAGCACCTGTCAGTACTAGCCTGGTACCTTTCCGTTTTCAGCCATCTGGTCCCTATCAAAAAAATAATATTTTCGAAAGGGTACGAGATAGGGCTACCACGGTGAGAGAATATGGAAGGATTCCGGGCTAGTCTGTTACCACTCAAGATCTAGGTTACCGTTGACTCATATAATCATCGAAGATAACTTCAACTTTGATCTAGTAGATTCATTGATTTTTAACCTTCTTCCTACTGCCTATCCCTTAACCAACAGAGAAGGGCTAGCTACTTCAGTGTACTAAAGGTTAAGCCACGGGCAAAGCTCCCTTTATACTATACTAGCAAGAGAAAACTCACATTATTTCTAACATCTTGAAAAACATCTCTTTGTAACTCCGAATGAATATGTTGTACGTAAACGCGCTGTTCCATTTTCTCGCTAATATAAGCTAAGATGCTATTCATATCTACACGTACATTATAAACATGGACAATTGACTTCAAAGTTATCTTTTAGACAAAGGCTTTCGTAGCTTCACGAGCTAGCTATATATTTCTAAACACAGTGTAGATTGAAATACGCGGCACACTCATTTTGTGTCACCACAAACTACCGGAATGTAAGACAATACAATATTTATCTTTTAAGTTTGAACTAACACTTCGAAGCTGTACGTGATAATGTAACTCATAATGTAACTTAAAATCACATTTCGTATTACTGTATCTCATAAAATAACTACCAACTTAAAGCACTTGTACTTAATGCACTTGAGCTTGATCATCTCAAACTTAATGATCTCAATCTTAATGATCTCAATCTTAATGATCTCTACCTGTTCGACCAATAAAGTTAGACTACAAAGTTAAACTTATTTTTGACATACGATTCTATTACTAAGTGGACCTAAGTATTAGCCAGTTACCACTTATCCAGTTGCATGAGTGACATTTGTACTTTGGTTCTATGTATTATAAACCTGGATTATTACTCGCCAGAAGCAGTCGATCATTCAACTGTACTAAATTCCACCCCTATACCAGGTGTGGTTGTAGGTGCCTTCCACCCATCCGTACTATGTGTGCTATCCGTACTATGTGTACCGGACTGTGATGTTAGAGCATGCCGTATGCGACAGTTAGAAGATTAGGGTCAGAGTACTGGACTGGCAGCTGCCGGGCCATGTTGTACAGGCACGTGCAGCGACAGTAAAGGTCTGTCAGCTAGCATGGCCGTGGGGGGGGGGGGAGGGTCATCAACCCTGGCCAGAGGACCGTCCATTAACTTACCGATTGCAAGCCAAGACAGTATCCAAGAAAAGGAAAACCTAAGAAAGTGCGTACGTTTTAAGACAAGCCAATCAGGAAGGTTAGAATAATACAGTAGGACCCCTAAAAATAATTTCCATCTTCGTATGCTCGGTTGGTAAGAAGCTTTACAGGTTCAGCGGTTGTATTGCTTCAACTTGCCTGTCATCAGGCTGTACAGGTCAAAGGTCGGCAAGATGGCCGTTCAAGAATGAGTGTGGTGAGATTTTAGCATAATTTTTTCCCGCTTTTCCTTGACGTTTTCACCTCTAAAGAACGAGTCAAACTGTGCTTCTAGGAAGGAGAGCGTCTAGGACTGTTTTCAGCTCACAAGGGGTTGTAAGCAGCGGTTCAGGTACGTATTGCAACATTTATAAACAGAACATGAACATAGTAATACTAGTAAGTAAATTTTTAGTATGGCCTGTGAAACCCAAGTGGTTTGGTGCAACGCATCAAAACAAGGAGGTTTAAAATGCAAATAACACTGCTGTTTTCTAGAATATTTAATATATAACAGCATGTTGCAACCTGTTCATTGTTAATATTCTTTATATTGCAGTGTTATACTGGCAAAATTTAGACATAATTTCAACCAGGTACAAATGGGGGAGGGGGGCAATATTTTTGTGTAGCACATGCACGTAATTTAATACTACTGCCAATGATGGCTTAAATTGTTTAAAGTGTTTTAAATATCACAGGTTGCCATACCTTGCATTTTATTGAGCAGTACAATACGAGTGGTAGCTGTTTTTGTTTCCATCATATATGCAAATTATTTGAAGACAAATGCAAATTATTTTTAGGCAATTCAGCCAACTGTCACCCGCTTTTTGCCTACCACTCACTGGCTGTGACGTCACAGCGATCACTTGTAACATTACTGATATGATTTTCATGTTCATCAGATGGCTGAAGTGGTAACCATGGTAACAGACCGTGTGAGCGAGTACCCTGCCCTGCCCACGCGGTTACAGCAACACCTGGACGTCCAGCGCAGGGCGGGGCAGTTCTGTGATGTCACACTGTCGGTACAGGACGCAAAGTTCAACCTACACAGGTATAGACTATAGTATGCTGTTAGTTCTTTTTTTGGCAATGCCTCAGGAGTGGAGCCATTTTTCTGCATGTTTATAGGGAAATTATAGAAGTACTGCACTGTCATAGTCATACTAAATTCATGCTGTACAATTTTCAGTACAGTTCTGTGATGTCACACTGTACAGGACACAAAGTTCAACCTACACATGTACAGTGTGGTAGTGTTTTTTTTGCAACAGCTCAGGAGTGGAGCCATTTTGCTAAGAATAATTTGGGGATCGATCTCAGACCTGCATGAAATATTTAAATCTTGTGTGATGGTGACTATGTCCTCTTCTCATTTGTGGTAAAGACTTCCTTTATCATGCAAGGGAAACAACACCAGCTGTCAAGGAGGTCATGTAACAAAAACTGTGTAAACAGTGAGCATGGGATTGATAAATTTGGCCCTCATTTGAGTTAATTGAGGAAAGAAGCATAAAGTACTTTCCCATGCAAGGGCATAACATTTGGGCCTACCAGAGATTCAAACCAAGAACCTTTAGAGTCTTAAGTTAATATCCTTAAGCACCAGACCACCTTGCCTCCTTGTTGTAAGTGTCGTTGTTCTGTGTTGCCAAGATGCGTGCTGTCTGCTTTCTCCCCTCATCTGACGGGGATGCTGAACTCAGCTGGGTCACAAGGGGGAGCTGCTAGTAGGTAAGTTGCAGAAATGTTTGTCTATATTTGATATGTTTGTCTTTTTTTAAACCATACCTAACAAAGACATCAGTGAATATGATTACATTACTATAGATTCTAATGTTATCAATTGCAGGAAACTAAATTTTGAAAAGGAAATTCAAAGTTAAGTGATAAATTTGACTGATGTTGACTAAAGGACTATGATGAGTGTAACATTTACACAGTGCACCCCCTTGTTCTAGTGGTACAGCCCGGGCCACACAGCTTGACCTTCCAGAGCTGACCCGGGAGGGTGTGACCCCAGTCATCAATTTCATGTACACGTCGAAGCTCGTCCTCACCAGGGACAACATCTTCGCCGTTTCATTGGCCGCTGGCTACTTTCAGATCCGAGAGCTGATCCAAGAGTGTCAGCATTACTTCCAGGAGATGCAGCAAGGTCAGGGTCAAGGTCATCAAGGTCAGTCCCATCCAGGGGGGAGGGTACACGCAGATCCAGGAATGAGAGACCTGCGGGGGCAATTTCAAACCGTTTCAGGATCAAGAACGACATCACAGCAGCATCACACTGTCCTGGGAACAAGGGTGTCACCAGAGCAGAATCAGACTGCTCTGGGAACAAGGGTGTCGCCAGAGCAGCAACAAACTGCTCTGGGAACAAGAATTTTATCACTGCAGCATCACACTACCCTAGGAACAAGGATGCCTTCAGAGCAGCACCATAATACCCTGGGAACAAGGATGCAGCAGTCAGAACAGCATCAGACTACCGTGGGAACAAGAAGTTCCTCTGGTAGCATGGAAGTGTTGTCTTTAGACTCGTCCCCGGGTTTACAGTCGCCCACTTCTACCTCACAGCAGATTTACTCATCAGAAACAGGGAGGAATGATCATCCAGGAGCAACAGGAAATCATAGGTCTGAAGCCACTTTGACCACTCCTGCTAATGAAGAGACCACAACACACCCTGCGAACTTTCCTACCGCAGATTTCAGTAGTAGAGTAGAAAGTAGTGACGAGTTTTCCAGTGAAGCTACTGTCCATCAGACAAACATGAACTCAGAAGCAATCGTTGTGAAACAAGAACCTGCGGGAAACCCATGGGTGGACTTTTCGGAAGGTGTAAGAAATAACCAGCAAGAAATGGACAGTTATGATATGTGGAGCGGAGGGAACCCTGTATTAGACGATTTAGACAAGCCGTTTCAGTGTATGTTCTGTCCAAAACGTCTGCGTACAAAGTCGTTACTCGCGAGTCACGTCAGGCGACACACGGGTGAGCGCCCTCACGCCTGTCCACTGTGCTTCACCAAGTTCCCCGAGAAGTGGAGGCTGACGAAACACATGCGAGTTCACACGGGGGAGAAACCGTACAAGTGTACGCAGTGTCCCGCTACGTTCGCGGACGCGTCCAATCGCAACAAGCACCGGAAACGGATGCACGGTACGAGAGGTTCAAACGCTGCATACAGCACTCCCGAGAAAGATTATCCCGTAAACCATACAGAACAGATTGGTATGCGAGCAAACCAATTGTTCAGCGTTCCCAACAACGATGAAACTGCGGACTTACATGTAGGTACACAGGAGAATTGTGTGGAATGAACATCACTTTGTTCATCTCTGAGTGTAATAGAATATTTGAAAGTCTACAGTGTTAATAATTTAAATCCACGGCTGAGGGCTAATTGCAGAACCATATATTACATGTAACGTTATGTGTAGTACATGTAGTTAATTAGTACATATACCAGTAGAATAGAGGGTGAAGTGGAATACACCAGACTTGTATTATGTAATATCCACCCAAGAAAACGTGTCTCAATGCAAAATGTGTCAGAAGTTGAGAAAATTTTGTGTCCGTAAACAAAAAATTGTCAATTCAGAGTCCAGTATTTGAATTTTTTAAAGCGACACAGGTGGCACACGCATAACACATTTGAATTATTCTGTGGAACTTTTGGAAGCATGTGTGATAACCATTAGAACCTTATGTGATACAGGTAGTTATCACATGGGCTGGAACACCTGTATCAGACTTTATCAGGGCCCAGGTATAATGTAAAGTGTGGTTGAAAATACTTTCTTTAAGTTACATCAAACCTTACAACAAGTAAGTTTAATGTCATAGATGAGTGCAACTCCAAACATGTCTCCTGAAACATTTTTATTACACATTTGCATAGGACAATTGTTCTTTTCAGTGTTTCTCCTTCAAGCTGAATCCATCAGCAAATCACATACATCATATAATATCTTCTATTTGTTTTGTCACATGCTCTATTACCATAGATGAAAGCTATATGACAAAAAAATATTGTACAATGTATCATGACGTTACCACACCCGTATACTAAACAATCGTCCTACCAAATGTTGCACATTCAAAAAAAAAAATCAAATATTGCTAAGTGCATGACAGAAAGCTGAGCCCACCAATGCAGGCTCACCAAGACCCCTCCCTCCATAAATGGTATGTTCCAATAGAACAGTTTAAACATTGGCTTACTAGTAGGTGGAATATACCATCTGTGAATACAGGGAATAACATCATACAAGACGTGTAAGTTTTTCAAATTGGATGATAATTACTACAAATGTACATTGTATGTGATTGTGCCTCGTAACCAACTTTGGCCATGTCAACTTAGATTATATAAATTATACATAATGTGCAAAGGCTATGCAATCAGTTTTTTATTTGAATCACTATAATAAGGAATACTGTTTCTTATCAATAAACTTAAGTATCTACTTTAATCTGAAGCCGATTTTAGAAACGTTGATCACATCCTTGCTTTTACCAACAAAAATTGAATTTATTGCCAAAGCATTAAATTTTCTATGCCACCACCAAAACCTTTTGACAATTTTCATCCCATTTAATACATTATCAAAGTTACCATAACTTGCTATCATCACAATCTGTTGTCTCCTTCAAATACTACTAATAATTAACACCATCAAATGTTCGTGAATAAAGGACCAACCAGCAATCCACTAAACAACAAATTCTATGTTGAAACATAGATCATCTAATCATATATAGTAAGCCATGTTCTACATGTATATACCGTGGATAGAATTGAAAAAAAAAATTTACCCTCTGTACATTATGGATTTCATATCAAATGCCATAGTATACACGAAGATCTTTTTTTACCAAACAATTTTTCATATCATAATGATTTTATGACTCATAAACATTGCCTCTTGTTACTATCACAACGTAGAGAACTATTATACTTCACTTAATAATGTATAACTATCCCAAAGGTATCCCCCCAAAAACTCCCGACATTATCCTGCACCACTTCCCCTTAAGTTTGCATTGGTAAGTGCATTTAATATCATTTATATCAAAGATACAGAAGACCTATCCACCAAAAACATTGTAGTACCAATATAAGGTTAGGCACTTTATGCAGTGTGCTAATTATATAAGTTTTCAATATCACATTTATTAGAACGGTTCTACAAAGCTGCAACTGTAGTTATGATAAATGCATTTGTGGTTCTTGCATTGCACCTAGATTTTTTGTTCACTATAGCGGTAGTATCGATGAAAAATGCAGGAAATAGCATGTCAGAAGCTCAAGGTTTCTGGCGCTCAACATAATGTTACATCAAACAAAATGGAGAAGACAAAAGAAATTTCAGACTGTCTAGAACACTGGGTCATACACAAATTGCACCCTGGTAAATGTACATTTTCACAAAATGAAAAATTTCTCATTGTTCTTTGACAGCATCTAATTTGATTTGAAGGCACATTAACATTTACAGTAGCATAGTATGGAAGTAGCTATTTGGGTATTAATTACAAGGTTAGGCATCAGAGGGCTTAGGTTTAGCAATGAAACTAACAATGGCTTTTTTTTAAAGTTCTTGCATGCTCAACACTTCAGCTTATATTCTGTCAGTCTGTGGCAGCTGGTTTTGTATCTCTGGCATTTGATAATTGCTTTCCAGTTTTTAATTTACAAACATTTAACTTAGATTTTTGGTCACCATAACTCAAGAAGTATGGCTTCTAGCAAGTTGTGTTGTCTTTACAACCAAGGTCATCCTGCGACCTTCGGTGGCCATCTTTTTTTCTAATGACGCCTCAAAATGTTTCTAATTTTGTGACATATTTTGGTAAATTTATGACAAGTAAATGTGCCAGCAGCAAATGCATCTAATGACCAACAATTCTATCAGTGGGTACCACCTTGTGCAAGTTAAAAAAACTCAATGTTTTAAACTCTAGAAGTATGTTAAGTGTAGCCAAGTCTTTTCAACCAAGGTCATCTTGTACCCTACAGGTAAAATAGTGGCCATCTTTTTTGGCGATGTTTCTGGGGCGGAGATTATTTCCTTTCGGTAGCCTCCAAATGTGCCTAATTTTACTACATATTTTTGTATACATTTGTATCTAGGAGATGTCAGCAGCCAATTATTCTCAACATTTCAACCAGCGGCTATCTTGTACAAGTCCTATGACCAAAACACTCAGTTTGTAAATTTGCAGACTACGGAATGACATGCTGTGTTGAAGTAGTAGTAGTAGTATTGCAGTTTACGAGATGTAAACTGTTTCGTTTGTAGCGGGACGACCGACAGGTTGTATTTGGTTGTTCAGAAATCTAGCGTACGGATCGCTGCCCCTTCGTTCCAGATGCGGGTGCACGATTTCCAGTCTGCCCTGGCTGCGTAGCCGGCGTTGAAACCTCCGCCTTTTCTTCTGCGCCCGCACAGCTTTGTACTTCTTGAAGAGCCGGTAGCCTCCGTAGACTGGAAGCACAAACGTGCCGACTCCGACCAATAGGCTCCCAGCGCCCACCGCTAGACCAGCCAGCACGGGAGCGGCGACAAGTTGTCCACCTGTTAACATAGAACAAGGTATGGTTAGGTGCTCCATCTTACAGAATTTATCAGTACTGCAGGCTCCCTGCTAGATTGGACAACATGGGAGCTGCGACAAGTTATCCACCTGTTTAGGGCCAATATAAAACAAGTTGTGGTATTAGACTATGTATGTGCTCCCTCTTACAGAAATAACCTGTACTACATGCTCCCACAATTAGACAGCCAGCACTGGAGCAGCTACAATTTGCCCACCCAAGGAGATTAAACTTTAAAGGGAAAACCTTTTAATCTCCTTGGCCCATCTGAACATAAGACACCACGTGTTCAAAGAATGAGCTCCACCTTACAGAATTGTTTAGTACTGCAAGGAAAAAGAAAACAGGTCTCATCTCCCAAAACATGATAGCACCAACAATTTATACACCTGTATGTGTATAGTAAAAATGAAAGACAGTCATACTATTGTAAGCAGTACATGTGCTCCCTCCTGCAGAATCATGTGGTACTGAAGCTTTCTGAAGCGAACAGTATCTTTTTTTAAAGAACAGTTGAACACTTACCGAGCACTGCTCCACGGATCATCTTACGCTGCACAGGCTTCTCTGCCTTGTAGAGGTATTTGCAGCCGAACACGCTCAGTTTGGTGTAGTGGTTCCCCATGAAGCGAATGTCGCGGAAACGGTCTCCGCAGCGGTAGCAGAACTCCGTCTTACACCGCGTACAGGTCATGTGATCACAGCCTGACGTCCTCTGGATGTAAATCTGGAGAAGAAATTGATAACAAAGAGTCATAAATAATTATGTTCACTGAATTCGAAGGAAAACATATTGTTTTTGCTCAGTTTCTTCTTCTCCAAGCAAACAAGGTCAATGACCTGAGCCAGATGTCTGTCACCATGGTAACTAGTGTTGGGTTGCAACATGTTGCAATTTTAAAGCAAGAGGGATTGAGACTCCTGTCTAACCATATACTAGTACATGTATCTGAAATGTATTTGAGTAAGACTTAAGAGCAGACCATATGCGAAGGAAAACATGCATTTACTTTTCTAGTTATTATTTCATAAGCAGTAAGGGAAATGTGCAAATATCTTTTAACTTTTAAGACTAGTTTTAAGTAGCTCTATCTTTTTTTCTATAATGTAAGAGGTACTGTACTGAGGATCTTTTCTAAATTGCTTTGAGTCCTAAAATAAAGATGGCGGCGTGCTCTTTCAAAGATGGCGGTGCCCATGCACATGAAGGGTAAAACAAAACATATTTTTCACTTCCTTACCTTACATTTGGGGCATCTCTGTGCATTGACCTGTCCCTGACACTGCTCCTTGGCCCAAACCTTCAACAGTTTGTCTCCCTTCTGGTACAGCCTGCAGTTCACCCCTACGTGCCAGGGGGCGTGACAGGGGAAACACCACACCAAGTTGCACTCGGTACACCTTACCTGATCATCAAAAAAAGCAAAAAAGTATTATAGCATGCACATATTCTTTTGAGCAAACTTTTACAATATTCTAACTTTCTAACACCAAGTTGCACTCCTAATCATCAAAAAAGCATAACATTAAATTTAACATTTTTCCTCAGAAATCTTTTACAGTATTCTAACTTTTTTACCACAAAAATGTCATAGATCAAAAGAATTAATCAAAGATTAATCTTAAAACCATTCACCAAAATACTAGATGGTTTCAAAATCAAAATGCCATAATAATTGCAAAATGACTTGAAATTCATTTAGTCATAGTCTAAAACATACACAATTTCCCCTGCTCTAGCCTCAAGTGTACAAAGTTCCCCCTACCATAGCCTCCTCAGCTGGCCAATCCTTCCTAGCGGCCATGTGCTTCTCAACCGTCATTGGTTCACTGCAGCGTGGGCATGTTTTAACATGGGGCTCTCCTAAACATGGCAGAAAACAACATATGCTCATTATCATATGCAAATGTCAGAAAACACAGAATGTATCTGTATAGCCGGTATAACCGCCTTTCGGCGTAACACACCAGCTTCGCAGGCACGCGGCGCGGCGGCAGCTGGCTATATTACACCGATCGACTTGTTACACCTAACCCTTGAACTTCTAGCTCTAGACATTGTTTAAAGCTATCTATTGACAATGCCCCTACTGTACTTGGTGACAGTGAGTTCCACTCTGCGATAGTTCTAGGAAAGAATGAATTCTTGAACACCTCAATCCTTGGTTGATAACTCTGGTACTTGAATGCATGGCTATTTTGTCAATGGATGAGATTCAGCAATTGATCAATATGAAGAAACTGATACTGGAACAAAAAATTCATATACATGTACAAACATTGAAACAATTATTTTTTTTAACCATTCGATATACATTTGTACATACATGTATGAAATGTTATGAAACAGAACTTACATGTACAGTACTTATGTTTTGGTCTCACATTTCATGCAAAAATCATGATCATACACTAGCAAAGTCAGAACGCATGAAAAAAAAATATCCTGCTGCAGTACCTAAGAAAGCCACTAGGGGCCCCAGTCCTACCCATTTCTTTGACAGTTCAAGACTGAATAAATTTATACATCATTTAACAACATAATAAAATTATACCACCCTTTGCTTCTTCAGTTATGCTATTAATACACACGACACAATCATATAACCACTCACTACTGAAAACTTATGAAGCCTATATATATTGACAATAAAGGATACTAAGGCCACACCAATTTAATTTGTTGGTTCTCGGATTCGCCTCTTCATTTTTTTCTGATTTGCAAAAAAAAAAAAAAATTGATTCTGGTCCTGAATCAACTGAAAAATGCTCATATTTTGCCCCCAACAGTTGAGGAAAGTCCTTTTCTTCCTAGTTGTTACAGTTTTCCCATCTATCATTGCAGTGGTTTGATTAAAAGTTCAAAATTCAATGTTTAAATTTTAACCCAGCCTTTTGTGTTGACTTCATGGCTCATTCCGTAGCATTTAAGCCTATAATGGGATGCCAAGACCTGTTTTTATTTTTATTTTTTTTCGCCCTGTCGCTTCATATTTTTTCTGAAAAAATCCGAGAACCAACAAATTAAATTGGTGTGGCCTAAGTCTAGTAATACTTACTGTTGGCTTCCAGTAGATATCGGTGGAACTTGACTCGAGCGTCTTCGTCAAGCCTGAAGATGATTTCCTCACGTGAAACAGTACTCTGACACTTACTACTGCAACAGTACAGTTTCACTATACCCTGGAGGACCTAAGTCAACAAAACAGAAAATGTTTGTTTGTTTGTTTGTTTGAACCATTCTTTATTCATGACAAGCTCAAATGGGATCGTGTGGAGTAATGGTAGCATGTTCGGCTCAGACCCAAGAGGTACCGGGTTCGAATCCTAACTGATGCCACCAATCTTGTGCCCCTGGGAAAGACACTTTGCAGGACTTTCCTCACTTCACTCTGTAAATGAATATCTAGCTTCGGTCAGGGACGTCCCTCGGATAGGACATTAAATGGAGGTCCCGTGTTTGGGGAGGGACACCCCACACACGTTAAAGAACCCACCAAACTTATCAGAAAGAGTAGGGGACCTTCCCGGTGTAAGTGGTTCAAACCTTACAGTCAGGTCTCAGGGTTGACATCTTGAAGTGGTGATAGTCACCTGTTATGTCAATCCTTCCACAAATGTGGTAAAATCTTCATAAATAAATTAAAAAATCAGCCTGCAGGCCACTTTTCATAAGGCAAGGAGGGAAGAGGTAAGGGTCAGACAAAATATATCAAAAAGAAAACATTTATATCATTCAAAATATATTATGATACATTTAACACTTGATGGAATTCATCCGGATGTTTCTTAGACATAAAATTACACACATGCGTCATCTCATAAGTTATGATGTGATGCATATGTAATTTAATGTATCTAAGGCAACCAGACTAATATTAAAATAGATAACGTTTGCAGACGATTGCTTCTGATTGCTCTTTCAGGATATTGGTATCTATGACGCAATTTGTTCTCTTTCAGAATTCTACTGGGACAAATCAGATTGCAAATGTAAAGTTTTTAAAGCATTTTTTACACTAAAACATCAAACTTTTGTCAAGATAGTTCAACGAAAAGGCATATGAAGTACTGTCCATTTGATCCTGTTTATGAACACTAAAAGAACTGCGTTTCCCAGAACAGTCTTCTTTTTTAAAAGACAATGTATTTGATCTGCTTTTTCAAAAGCTCTGTGTCTCATGTGATCCCTTCCATACCACATTGGGCCTTTGTTAGCATTTTATTTGTTATTCCCTCTCAATCCAAACAGTCACAAGACCGGCCATTTTATTCCCATATGGGCTCATGTGAGAGAAACAGAAAATAAACCAAATGTTGCGTCTGGAGCAGGAACTGGCCCGTGTAGGCCCTGGAAACAGTCTGGTACCCAGGCTAGGTACACATACACGTACAGTATTCATTTTTAAGGGGGCCATTTAGCTGTTGGTCCATTTAAGTCTGTATAATACTCAAACAGCAAAAACTGCAGATCACCCAAATTACAATTCCCAAGGGGACCCCAGCTACAGGTGGCTACATAGCAGCAACATGGTTAACATCTCAAAAACATTTTATTAATAATTAATTAGTCCTTATCTAATTGATTACAATGTTTACTAACATGGGGTAGGATGCCTTGGGTAGGATCACTTGATCCTCCTTGATTACAACTTAATTTCAATTTTGATGAAAAACATTTGCCACTAGATATATTAACAAAAGACTTCAAAATACTTCACCCAAAGTAGTAAGGTTGCATGAGGTAACAAATATGCATACCTATTGTACAGCATGAAACTTTTTTGATGGTTTTATTATTTTTGCAACATGTGTCCAACATGAATTCACAACAATGGAAATACATGTATGTCTTCTTGTACAAATGTATTTAGATTCAGTTATATCAACCAAGAATTTAAAACACTGTTAAAAAGTCCCTTTCCTTCCTACCACCAAATTAAACTACTGCAAATGTTTCAAAATTTATAGTAGTTTGCATGAAGCACAAAAATAGTTTTGACTCAAAATAGGTAAATCTAAATTTGAGGCTGTTAATTATGGTGATACTGCAAGCTAAGTGATCCACTAAAATTAGAAAAGGTTTCTATATTTGAACTGAGAAAATGAATCCAAATAAATACAGATCAGAAGAATTTCACGTCAACCAAAAAAGTAAATGTTGGACCAGTGCTCTAGGCAGCATCCATCTTTTAACAAAATTTTCTCCAATCTGTTATCCTTGGGGAACAAAAATCTGGTGTGTAAAGGTATAGAAAGAGTATGTAGATTTTTGTTTGCTGCAATAAATGCCACCACCTATGAAGAAATTAAGTCAATGGTTTCTAAACAGTTTTTAGTATGATCATCTCTTTTTCTACCTCCATGGTATGATCCATACTTCCTATTAAGTTGTGAGTAGTGCAGGTAAAATTTATCTGGTGGATATAATTTTAAAAGTTTAACGTGTGCCAGTGCATGCATGCGGAAAGAAGTATTTCAAGCCCAATATGTGCTTTTTAAATGTTTATAGAAAAACGACATGTATCCACCTAATTCATTCCATGTTACATGTGTACATACTCGTTGTCAGCCTCAGGGTTATATTTAGAGTATGGGTGTAACTTTAGTACAAAGTAAACATTGGTGATGTGGCCTGTGTGACATATGGTGTGAGTCAGTGACAGTGAGTCATCACTTATCGGGTCACCGAGTTTGTTTACCTTTCAGCCAGGTGAGTCTAGACAATACTGTAGTTCACTTATGTTCACGTTAGCAAAAGTTCGCGGTCTGAGAAATATGGAGGTGTCCACGTACGGAACTATATATGTTTACGGTGGCGACAGGTGCAGGAAAAAGAAAGTTGGCGAATTACTTGTTAACAGTAATGATTTTAAAGTTTGTGGTACAGAAGTGACTGTGAAAACTGTAAAAATAAAAGTACACTGAAAAAAATCAGGAATTACAGTATATTCTGGGGACAAACCATTGTCTATTTGGGGGGTTCCATTAGGAACCATTACATATTGTGCTTTCAAGTACAATGTAATTGTTTTGTTGTGATAAGAAAAAAGTCATTGTGGACTTAGTAGTTTCTCTTTCTTCTGTACACCCCCCTCCAAAATGTTGATGGTTTGCCCCTACATGCATTGCCTACTAAGTACATGTATTAGGAAGTGCCCATTCTAAATTAGGGGTAAACTTAGGGGAATTCTATATGGAAACCACCTACTAGATGATTTAACCATGTGAAATAAATGAAAGAAATACTAAAAGTATCATAGAAAGAACCCTTGCTACATTTCTAATGTATACACAGATACACTGATACAATGATAGGGCACTTATTCCATGCCCCCCTCCCGCTTTCACCACATTGCGTGAAATCTTAGGTGTGCCTCTTTTCAAGGTCATGACCCCGATTGTCTGAAATGCCAAAGTCCTTATGTCCGCAGTCACGAGAGGTTAACTACACATAAACGTCATTCTGTTCAGCGAAAGAAAACAGAACTGACTCAACATTTCCTAACGTAAACAAATGAATCACAATAGTCGTATTGTTTTCAAAAGGAGAACTAGCCAACTTTCACATTTCTGTAATTGTGAAAAATGAAGTCTTAAAACTATGAAAGATATTCTATATTTTTTCATTCATGTCTTTCAGTGTAAAAATCAGTTTAGCCATTGACCAATGAATGAGCAGTATGTTAATTACTTTAGTTAGCACCTGTTGCCTACGCACTAATGATCAACCCCAGCCCCAGGCAAGCTTTACGCAAAAGTGAAAATTACTAGTACATGTACATTGCATAACCAAACCAAAAGCTTTGGGTTTAAGGTTTACAAATCAATGTTTTTGTTGAGTCACATTATGACAGTTATCAAAATAAACTTAAAACAATCAATATTGCGTAAATGTTTTTTTTTCTCTTTCAAGATTTTTAAAGGCCTGCCAGGGGCTGGATATGAAAAAAGAGATATAAAACAACATAAGAAAACAAATAAACAAATATTAGACTGTACATTACCTGTGTTGTAAAGTACTGTTTCAAACAGGCATCGCACACGGGGAAGTTACAGCACGTCCGCCGGTGCAGGGCCTGCGTTTCGAGGCACACCCCGCACTCTGTCACGGTGAACTCTCCGATCAGGGCCGCAGAAAGTCTCGGAGAATCTCTAGCCTCGTCCTCTTCAAGCTCGATGAAAAACTCTGGGTCATCCACGATCTCAGCAAACTGTTGTATCTGCTCTTCGTCCAGTTCTTCTTCTATAGTCTCGTTCGAGGCCGCTTCTTCGGGGTTTTGGGTGGAGTTAGCCTCGAGAGGGCCGTTTCGAGTGCGCCGTCTTCGGAGTAAGTTTTCGAGCAGAAGTCTATGCTCGGGTGTGAGCTGTATTTTACCGTCTCTTGTTGGTTTGTTGTCCGGGAATTCCGGTGGATCTTCGTCGGCGAAAAGGTCGACTCTTCCCCAGGCGATGCCATCGTCTTCTAGGGTATCGCTCGAGCCGAAGTTGGTTTCTTCGCAGCGTAAAATGGTGGACTCTCCATCGGCAAGGTCGGCTACTGAAGCCCGCCGAGACTCCTGTGGCGTACCGGTGAAGTCATCGGTAGTCGTACCTACTACATCCATGAAAAGATCGACAGCGATTGCGAAAATAAAGTCTTCTTCGTTATCCCTGTTCCCGTTTTGTTGTTCTTCTTCTGATGTGTATGGTTGTTCCCCTTGTCCAGCAAGAGATTCGGCCATGTTGGAGACCCCTTCGTTAGCAGGCATATTTTTCCAAGGGTTCGATCCCCGGATTTTTCTGCCCTGTTCACTCGATCGCTGGCCCGAGAATCTCACGAATGCTTGCTCCGAGAGTAAAGTCAACAACGGACCGCTGCCAGGAGTTAACTCTGTCCCCAACCGCCAGCAGTTGGGAATATTTGAAGCACGGTCTCACTGACTCAAGAATCAAAATAGAAACATGACCCTTAGTTACTTCGCAGCTCTTTATATACGAGGACCTATTTCCGGGTTTTGCGTCATCGACATGTCCAAACATCCTCCCTACGAGCGCGCTGATTGGCTGGCTGGGAAAGGTGAAAGGTGAAGATTTGGCGCGAAATTGGCAGGGGTAATAGACTTACGTTGCACTAATTTTAGCTCACCAGGTCATGCTATAAAAGCAAAACCTGTGCACTTTTGAATCATAGTCAGCAGAAGACTAGCGTGAAACTGACAACATGTTTGTTTGAAAACAATGCATTACAAATGGACAATATTATGTACCAAAACACAATACACGTACTTTAAATAACTTGCTCATTTAATTCAGCTAGCACAGTGTACGTTTTTCTACGTATCTAAAGAGTCAAATGTTCACTTAATTAGTCTGCTTATTCGACGATGATTATGGATTCGCCTAATCATCATGCTTGCACAGTCTTTATATTTTACTTAGGAGGTCATGTTATATCAAGGTTTATTGAATGAATGAATGAATGAATGAATGAACTTTATTGCTCGACAATCGTATATGGTGCAATATGTGGCATTAATACAACAATACTACCTTATTACATTTCTTACTACAAACTACTATCTATACAGTATATGAGTTACAATATGGTCATGTATTGATGATATGGTCACGCTTATGAAATAAAGTGTACAGAAATTGGCCTACGTAAGCAGATATGGTAGTTGGACATGACAATAATTCATGGAATGTATCGTACTGTGTACCAGATTTATTTGTGGGAACGTATTGGTTTGCTTGTGAAAGCGAAATAGCGCCCCTAGCGCTTCTCATGTGTAATACAGGACAAAGGTACAGACGAATCGGGAACGTATCTAGCTGTTGATACGACGCCCTATGGGTTGGTGTTCTTTAATTAATCACTAGTAGCTATATATGCCTATGGGGGTCAAGGCCAGAATGAACTGTTATTGTATCACCAGTTTTTCATTCATTCATTCATTCATTCATTCACTCACTCACTCACTCACTCACTCACTCACTCACTCACTCACTCACTCACTCACTCACTCACTCACTCACTCAAACGTTCCTTTATTCGAAAAAGCGTCTTCAAGAAAAACAATCATGGCGCAGTTTTCTGTATTTGTGCTCAAATTATATAAAGTTATATTTCTTAATTTTGTGACATATTTATATACATGTATAAGTTACAAAATTAGTCATTAGCATTCGTTTATAAAACATTACATTATATGGCCGTAGCACACTTTTTCTCTACCTATGGCTGACATACAAAATTCACAAATTCTATAGGCTGTTGTAGGAATATATACGATCTCAAAGTGGTGATTCATAAAGTTTCACGTATTTTCCACAAAATCTTCGGCAGTCATTCTCTTACTTCTTTGTTAGATATACTAGTATTTAAACCGCACTTAGCCACGAATGCAGTTGTCATCAAATACGATAGGGAGCGCTTCATTGGACACAGTTGTTGAGAGAAGTATCGCTACATCACAAAGTCCACAAGCTATCGTCGATAGTTTTAAGTTAACTATAATATCACACTCATTACGGCTAAATAAAAGCAGCTTCCCTACTATCGGCTACTTTGACAAATCTTTATAAGGGATCTAGTAGTGTACGTGTGGTTGTGTTTGAGTATGAATTAACAGAGCAGACCATATGCAAAAGTAAACATTATGCATTTGCTTTGCAAATGTTACCTTTCTAGTTAAAGATTGAAATTCTTGTAGTGTGGATGTCACATTTACTACTAGAATTCCTCCACCTCGGAAGCCTCTTCAACCTCATCATCTACTATTTCTTCCTCTTCCACGACTTGTTCCTGGTTAGAAAACGACATGGCGGCAAATTCGTCCTCGCTGGCCAGCAGGGTCTCCGTCCACTGTCGGCACGCGTCGTCCAATGGCGGCCCAGTTCCGCCATATTCCGGCGGCAAAGCATCACGGTCCACGTACTGATGAAGAGTCTCTGTCTTGGGTCCGTGAAGGTGTATCTGGGAACAAGGTAAAATCATATTGCTTTAGCTTATATATAGTATAATATTAGTGTTTTACTACCTTCACCAAGAAGGTTATGTTTTCGGTAGCGTTTGTATGTATGCATGTGGTTTAGCACGATAACTCAAGAAGCTTTGGCTGTATTGTCATGAAACTTAATAGGTGGATAGGTCTGGATGAGAGCTCGACATAGATTTTAGAGCCCCTGGCGGCTCGTTATGGTAATGCAGCGGAACCTAAACAATTCAAATTTGATTTCTCACCCTATTTCTCATTTTCTCGGACATGAATGGCTTAATGATGGCAAAGATGGCGTCGAACAACATCGGTTCATTTAACAGGTGGATCTCCTTAACCCGGATAGGAAAGGCGTCCTGTAAACAAACAAACAAACAAATAAACAAACAAGAAAAAAACAATTGTAAACACAACTGGCATGTGTTTAGAATGAATAGGAAAGTAAGCAAGGATGAATCAAACATTGAAAAACATTTTAAAAAGCTGTCATATTTGATATCTTTACCGTTGTTATTGAGCCGATTTTTTTGGCCACTCGCGGTCCGATTTGACAGGCGTGGGAAAATGAGAGTCCGGCCAGGTCCGCAATCATAACGATCCCATGAACCTATGCGGGAGGAAACAGGTGTCAGCTTCCGGTTAACGGAATTATGGGTAACGCAAAGGAGCAAGCGAGACATTACCATGATCACATGTACTAATCCACTACATACTCTAATCCATCGATAGATTATCCTCTATCTAACCTGGGTGTCCTCGTCTTGGATGATTTTCTCTGAGCTGATTAGGCTCACTCGAAAAACCTCGTATGCAGAATATTGGTTGGGGTCCCATTTTCCTACAGAGGAAAAGTATATGCTGTGTTAATGCTACTCAAACAAGAAATGCCGTAAATATAACTATTGAGTTCAAACAAATGGTCATCACGCTTCACTCAACCGCGACGGGGGCCGACATCATCTACCAGATACCTTTTTTTTCTCTGGGTGAGAGATTTTCTTAATTCGTGTTGGACCAAAAGTTTTAACTTTAAAACATGTTCAGTTTTCTTACTTGCGAATACCAGAGAAAAGTACTCACCTATTCTGTAAAACATGACTTTCCTGCCGTCCTGGTCCCTCCCCGGTAAGGCGGCGTGGTAGCCGGCCTCCAGTAGTCCCTGTACGCTGGAGGGCCGCATGTTACTGCAGATCTCTGGACTCTGAGCTCGCCATACGTGGTATTTCTCTAACAACTGTATCAGTAAAAATATAATTTGTATATTAGAAAGGTAACATTTGCAGAGCAAATGCATAATGTTTACCTTCGCATATGGTCTGCTCTGTTAATTTTTACTCTAACGTTAACACATTCATATACATGGTCGGACAGGAGACTAAATCCCTCCTGCTGTAAAATTGCAACATGATGTAACCCAACACTAGTTACCATGGTAACAGACAGCCTGGTCATTGACTTTATTGGTTTGGAGAAGAGGAAGAAACTGAGCAAAAGCAATTTTTGGTGTTAAAAGTCATTAATTTTAGCAGTACGTGGTGTTTAGCAAAAAAGGTCTTTTAAATTGTTATTATATCATAACACATCAAAATGATTATGTATATAAAAGAGAAGTGTGAAGTCTCTAAGACATCCAATGCAATTTCATGGCGGCAAAACTGAATGAAAACTGTAAATTTTCTGGTCATTGTCGTCAACAAAATCCTTAGTATATACCGTTTGGAAAAAAATATAAAACGTGATGAGGGAACATGATAATCATTCTTTTCTATCATAAATAATACCTTGAATGCTTGTTCAACGTCGAAATATCTCACTCGAAGGAATCTTAAGAGGATGTGATCATCGTCTTGTACGCAGAGATCGGGTCTTTGCTGGATTCTTTCCCTGAGAGCTTCTACCATGGCCAGTCTTGTGTCTGGATCTTCGTTCAGTTCTTCCCGGGCCTTCTTCAGAGCCTCTGCGCTGAGCTTACACGAGTAACCGCTAGGTGGCGTTACAGTCTGGTCCATTGTTGACCTCATATGCTGATGTGAAAAATAATTCTGTAAAACACACGTCAAACATATGAACGAAACCAAGAGACAACGACAGTCTCTATGTATGTTGGGGGTTTCGAAACTGTCTATATCTAGGTTGAATGTAGCCTGGATGCCAGACCCAAAGCACACTGGACACAAAATATCTCTATATATTTTGTGTCCAGTGTGCTTTGGGTCTGGCATCCAGGCTAGGTTGAATGTCATATCATGTAACTTGAGCTGTATATGTACGAAATGTGAAAGACATTTTCGTATATAAAGCCTTTCTGAACTTTGTCCTTTTGCAATACAATACATCGTGGCCCGACGTTTCTATAGCAATGATTTACAGCTTGAGGGTTTGTTTGTCATAACCTTAAACTGCATAACAAACATAGAGCTTCTTTTCGTCCGTCCTTTTAAAAACGGGTTACAGTACAATGTGTGTAGGACGAACATTAGTTTTAGCTGTCATTTTAATGTGTCTACTGAAGGCGTAACAATGTATAAGAGGTTATTTCGCTTCATAGCTAGCTACAGTGTTATTCTATTCCACCACTTGCACACAATGGTCTTACTGAGGATAAAAGACGACCTTTGAATCTAGTTACTTAGTTACGAAAACACTGAACACATGATAAATTGCGACATTACGTAACAACGTGTACAATTCAAGGTTGTTAATAAAGTTGAAAATTTAGAATTCTTAAAATGCTCTTAAAACGTTAACCTCTATACACAGATTAAAAAGACAATTAAAAAGACAGTTTAAAATTGTGTTGGAATGTCACACATGTATAAAAGGTCAAGGACACACATATATTACATAGGGAATAGGGAACGATTTTGGTTGTTTTATAAAAAACTAAAATGGATTCACAATGACACAGCTATTTTACGAAGGTTATAGTTACACCCAAACAATCGTGCAGGCAAAACTATACAGGTAGGCCATAGACCGTAGTACAGGTGCTAGTACAAAACTCACGTGAAACGCCCACGGCACAGACACAAATGTAACCCGGTAAGGTTGGGGCCTGGTAAGGGGGTTCCACTCACATGGGCTTTCCCTTAAACAACCTAAGCCAGATTCGCGACCTTTTAAGTACATAAAAGGCACTACACGATCAGACAGCATGCACTTATAACGTTGTCTGACTTTCTTCTGATCTTCAAGTTTAAAATGGCTGCCACAGTGTGCTCTTGAAACAACGTAGTGCCAAGTGAACTGTTATCTAACATATACATGACCCACAAATATTCTGACCCAAGTTAATTGCATAGTTAGTGTTAAACTTACCTTAGAATCGATGTCTTCAAGTTCTAACTGCAAAGACGTACCCGTAGCTTGTTGTGTTGAGAAGTAAGTCGGCTGGTTTCTTGGCGATTGGTACAAGACGATCACTGGAGTTCTTTAAGTACGTCTCCAGTCAGAAGCTAAAAAGAAGGGTCTGTCTCGAAATCTAGAAGCTCTAGCGACATTTTAGGATATGTAGAAGAAAGGACTAGGGTTAGAAGGATTAGAATAAGGCTGTCAGGATGTGAGTAACAATGCCACTACTACGAAAAGAGGTGTAACTTCCGCAGTGTGTACATACGTAAGGCACGAGGCACAACACATGAACCGTGACCGGGTTTGACCCGAATATACGCTACTTCCATATATGGTGAAGGGGCGTGGCTTTACAAAGTAGACAAAACACCTGTTGCGTAATACGGTCTACTTCTGCACGGTTTTGAAGGGAAAAGTGGGTGATTTGAACAGAATCTAGACAGAGATTGTTCGAATACAGAAATTGGAACTTTATTGGGGAGGTTTTGAGATGAAATTGGACAAAAAATTTGACCCCAAAAAGCATGCAGCGCAAATCAAAAGATTGGAACAATAATCAATGTGACAGTGGTATACAGTGGTAATTTAAGTACATGCATAAACTACACATTTTGTAGCGTTTTCCTACAGATTTCTACAGCTTCAATATTATTGCTTTTGAAGGTCTATAGACGAAGATGGTTTACTAATAATGCAATATTTTGCTGGAGTAAACAGCCAGGACTTTTCATACCTACTTCGCATCATTATCAAAACATATTAACAAAAAAATGAGATACTAGTACTCCCATTAGGAAAATATACAAGACACCTTCAAACGATTTTCTCCAAGTGAAGAAAAAACAGTCATAAGAAACAAACCTTTCACTGGTGCATTGGAGTTCGATGAGTTGTCTGTTACCTGTTCTGATACGATCAGTAATTTGTAGCGTACTTTTGTGACGTCAGTCGTCTATATCCTGTCAATTAAAGAACCCCTTGAGGGAGACATTCAGTGGTTCAAGATAAAGCATAATTTCCTAGAGCCATTTGTTAGTCAAACTCACAGCTTTCATCATGACGTCATCAATAGCTACATGACGCTGTAGTAGACTCGCCATTTTCATGACGTCATGCTCCCGTCATGCTAATTTACACCTTATACAATCTGATTGGTCGTAATTACTTGGCACCAGGGCGTTGTTAAATACATTTTGTACTACAGCTTTTGTCAACTTTTGTTGGTGAAATTTAAAGGTTGCAACGAATAAAAAAAATGTACCCTGCTCACGTATCATACGAACCGACCCGCCTATTGTGTGGATACGAGATTTTATATTTTTTTATTCTTAGATTTTAGATCTTCTTACATTTTATACTACCTTTACTTAGTAGGGTACTAGTAGTGACTAATATTTCCTGTACATCTAAATGACGCAAGCCACCAATTTTTAATGCCAAGTCCATGTTTAATTTCAAGACACAGCAACTGTACAGTTTTTCTTTTAGATATGTAGAATTATTAGCACCCTATTGAATTTAATTTGGCAAAATTACTTTTAAGTACAACATGTAAATAACTACATGTACCTTACTTATAAAGTTCTCTTAAATAATGGACGTTAAGAACAGAGATCAAGTACCTGTATAACCATACCAGACATTCTATTAATACCTATTCGAATTCCATTCAGTTAATCGAAAGAAAAAATTCCTAACGCAGAAACTGATATTAATATTACACACATCATGCAAAATAGAATAGTTACAATGAACTCCATATACAAACAATATGTTTGAACAGTTGCTAGATAGCGCATGTAGGGTAATATAAGTGAAATCTCAGTTTGGAGCTATCAAAAATAAGCCCCATTTTGTAATGCATTACCCAAGTTACAGTGAAGAAAAACTTGTAAGCAAATGATATACTCTTAACTAGGACCGATTTCAGCTTACCATGTGCTTCATATCTTGTACAACCGTTGTGCAATCAAGTCCATTCATTAATTTAAAACATTACTGTAATGCTTTGTATTTTAGGCCTTTTTGACGTTGTCCACGTTACGTTTTTTTACAATATCTCTCTCATTGGTCGAATCGTTTAATCGACAGTCTCTCATTGGTTGGGCTGTTAATTGAAATAGACAGCCACGATCGGTCTTTTGAAAGATAATCTGGTCACAGTCTTTTCATTCCTTTATAAGGGGATCTTTCATCCCATCTTCAAAATGTTCCTCATCTTCTAATGCCCCACGTATTAGTTTCATAGGGATTGTCTCCGCAGCATTTGGTGCCAGTGCGTTAACGTTTAGCTCCTGAGCGTCCATTTCCTGATCTACAGGACGCTGACCTTGATCTTGTGGCTGCTGCTCAAGTTCGTGATCCTCTGGATCAGGATCGAAAGATATAGGAGGACCTAGAGCTTCTCGCATCTTCTTCCAGAAATCTGCCTCTGTATCTGTATCTGCGTCTGGCCACTCGAGGTACGTTTCCGTCATCATTATATCGTACACGTCAGTATTGAGCTGTTCTACTTCTTCTGGTGGAATCTTTTTAGGGAAGACCAGAATGGGTCGACGACCTCTACGTCCTATCTGCTTACACCTGGCTTTACTGAGCTCCTCCCGACACCAGTCACTCTTCAAAAAGTTCATGGTGACAATACAGATGACTCGCCGACTTTCTGTCAGGGCAATGTCAATATTTTTATGGATGGGTAATCCTCCTGTAAAGTCCCTTTTATGAAGGTTCAGTTTATACCCCGCGTCGTCATTTTCCAAATTCATTACCAGTTTATTGTAGACCCAGTCCGAATCATTTTCGCTGTACATAACAAACACGTCGTGCATGTACGAGCCGTCTGTTTCAGGATCCTCTTTAAGTCTTTTCCTCGATTTATACCACATCAATGCAGCTATGCCTACAATGAGGAGAATTCCTGCAAGCGAGAGCAGTCCAACCAATAGGGTGTTATATTTAAGTTGAACTTCGTCACAGTCCTTGTTGAAGAATATACTTCTTGAAGACACTTCTTCGTCCTTTTGCTGTGTGAATCCTTCTATTACTTGACGACCGTGCAGGTGACTAGGCCGGGCACATTGGTAGCTTTGCAAAGGATATGGGTTGTACCAGTTCAGTACGATGTCGTATACACGTATTTCCATGGCCCACTGCACAAACCACAGTAAGTCACAGTCACAAAGAAACGGGTTACCTGATAGGTCAATACTCTCAACCTGCTTTAGAACAGGGCTTACGGTTGGTTGATCTAGTACAGCTAACGCATTGCTGCTCAAACTCACTATCCTTAGTGCATGAAGCTCGTCAAAGGCGTTGGCAAAGTCGACAATTTCGTTTGCTGCTAGGTTTAGCTCTGTCAGGTTACCTAAACTTTCAAACGTTAGCGCTGTTATCTGTTGGATGCTATTGTGACTTAGGTCTAGATGTTTAAGATTTGACAACCAATGAAAGGCTGACAATGCAATGGTGGTGATTTTGTTGTTGCTAAGATCAAGATGCGTCAATTTGCTCATCCACTGAAACGTCCCCTTTTCAATGACTTGGAGTTGGTTATAAGAAAGACTGAGTGTCGTGAGTTTGACAAGTCCTTCCATAAACCTTCCTTCTATCGCTTTTATTGCATTATGATCCAGTTTGAGTGTTTCTAAACTTGATGTTTTTGCAGGTGAAGCGACAATCAATGTTTGGATGTTGTTGTGAGATACGTCGAGGTAGTTTACATGCGGGATGAACAAGACAGAATTGTAAATGTACGATCCAATATTGTTGTGCTGAACATTTAGAGCATCCAAACTTTCAGGTAGCCCCTCTGTCGGTACGTGAGTTAATCTGTTAAAACCAAGATTCAGACGACTGAGGTTTTTAAAAGACGTGAAATCAAACGAGGCATCATATCCAAGGCCATGCCTGGAACTCTCTAAATGATTGTTACTCAAATCAAGATCAGTCAGTGAAATCAAACCTTTGAACACATCGATTGGTAAAGTCGAGATATCATTGGAGCTAAGGTCAAGTTCAAGAAGTGACGTCATTCCGGTAAATGAATTATTATCTAGATTTTCTAAAGCACCTCCTCTCATATTGAGCTTCTCTAAACGGGCGAACCCTTCAAATGCATGTGCGTGTATGGCCCTACAACCTCGCGTGTCTATAGCCATCGTTCGTAATTCCAACAGACCTTCCAATGCATTTAGAGTACTTGACGTTATAGCGTCAGTTCCCAAACTAAACGCAAGCTCCTGTATTTGTGTATTGTTCAGTTCCGGCAGCACCCTAGCAAGATCTGAGAATGAACCTAAGGTAGCATCTCTGAGTTCCAAGCTCTTTAGACTACTAAGTGACTTCAGCAGGCCTCTCTCTATGTGATACATCGTGTAACTGGACAAACTTAAGTGTTTCAGAGTTGATTTTAGAGACATGAACATGTCAACAGTAAGATTAATTTGATGTGTCCCATAATGTGACAGTTGTAGCGTCTCTAGTCTGGAAAAGTTTTGGAATACAGAGCCAAAATGGAAGTTATTGTTGTCATTTGCTTGATCATCAGTGAAAATGAGGACTAGTGTTTTGAGTTGATTCAGAGGTGCCCAAAGGACGTCCCTTTGAAAGAGGCCTTTCGCCCTATCACAGTGTATCGTCAGGTTTTCTAGTGCTGACAGAGGATAAAAGATTTGGTCAGGAAGGTTGGATGCATCTGTCAGTCTTAGACTCAACTCCCTCAATTGAGTTAAACCACTAAAGACATGTTCGCCAAACTGTGCAGATGTTTCAAGTGTTAGATACGTGAGATTGACAAGGTTCTCGAAAAGGCCGTCTCTCAGATGCCTAGTTTCTCTGCTGAAAGTTATATCCAACGATGTCAAGTTAGCCAACGCTTCCAAAGCTCCTACCTCTATCGTTTGAATACGTGTCTTGGACAAATCTAGGCGTTTCAGATTCGTCAACCCTTCAAAGGAATCGTTGTAAAGTGTAGTGATATTATTTCCTTTTAGATTTAGGGTGGTTATAGTCTTTGGGATTCCGGGTGGTACCTGGTTAAGAGGTTGACGGATTTGAACCCGGGTACATGTTACTGTTGTTGAATTCCATGTCTGGCACAAGGGGGGAGATTCTCCTCCAATAGGTCCTAACAGCAAACTCAGGACAATGTAGACGCAGGAAGCAACGTTCATAGACCCCATGTTGGTTCGTTGACGACTTCTCCTCACCACACTGTTATGACAACCAGCAGAACATGAGAAATTAGTAAAATGATAAATAACTTGAAAAATACAAACCAAAGGACTAATCATAGATAAACAATAACACAATGAATGTGATTAATTTCTAGCGCTTAAATGTTTAATTCTCCTCGAAATTTCGACGAAATTCTGCAACTGGCACAGTTTCGTCGAAATTCCAGGAACTTGTCAACAGTAGCATGCATAGGGTACTTTCTCCTGTCAATTGTGCTTGCATTTGGAACATGCCCTGCTATATGCTTCTGTAGCTGCGTTCATGCTAACAAGCCATATGTGTAGACCCCTCCCCCCAGCAACTTATGAAAGCTTACTCAGACTCAAACATAACACTCACACTTCCCTCACACTTAAACAGAACACACAGCAGCCCCCCTGCCCAAACTACCAGTGACTATCATCGTTAATACATATACAATTATTCATCTATTCACGCGTGCGCGCACACACGCACACGCACGCACGCACACTCACACACACTTGCACACACACACACACACACACACTTACACACACACACACACACACACACACACACACACTCTCTCTCTCTCTCTCTCTCTCTCTCTCTCTCTCTCTCTCTCTCTCTCACCAAAATACCAAAGATTGATTACACAGAACGAACTGGAATCACAACGTTTATTAACACCCAGCCATTGAAATCCAGTCTACAAACTGCAGAAAATCTGCGACACAGACAGGGCAAGAGTCCTAAACAATATTCCCCATTTACTGGATTTGTGTTATTATAAACTAGAACAAACGAATTTTTTTTTTTTTCAAATAAGAATCTGTCATTGGTAGAATAGCAACTAAATTCATTTAAGTAATGGTTTCTCAATATTGATGTTAGGACATGCTAAATCAAAACATCCTTATCAGTTCAGATATAAATGTTTCACAATCGTGAGTAACGTTAGCACAATTAGTGGGATTACTCCTGTCGTTACACTTCATGAATGAATCGCTAGAGGTCCAATGCGTTCTTCATGGTGGTGAGGAAGGTCACAGTTGCCATGGCAACCAGACTGACTCTCAGGGTTGTAGCACCGCCTCCACCTCCTACACAACCATTGGCGTTGCAGCAAGATACACAAGTGTAGGTTTTGGACCCTAGGTTGCAGAGTCTGTCGTTGTCTTCTTTTTCTGTAAGAAAAATGAACATTTTTACTACCGCAATCCAGTCACGTGACCTATGTGACCTGTAACATGCAGGTCACGTGACTAAGTGCATGATAACTTTACAACTTTGGCACGCGTTAATGTCTCGCCTTATCCTCATGTATATGTTGTGATAAAGCCTTGCTAGTTGCTATAACCATCGAAGGAAACAAGCTCGTTCGCTACGCTCACTCAGTTATTTTATTAGGTGGTTATAGCAACTGCAAGGCCTTATCCCACCATTAACACCCTAGGGCGGGTCATTAACCCATAATTCAAGTTCAAGCTTCTGAAAATTTATAACGAACTTTGAAACACATGTATCAAGATACATACACGATGCTGACTCTTAATATTGCTTTCAGGTGTAACTTAAAATGAAACTGGAAGTTAAGATATAGTAGCGATGCAAAAGATTATTAGTACCTCACCTTGAAGACATGTTTCCTTCGATTCACAACGGTTGGTCCAGGCTTCGTCAAGATCAGCGAGCTCTGAAAACATTATTATAATGAAATGATAAGTACATAGTACGATTTTAAAATCGAGAGTAGCCCTCTCTAGTAGCACCAGAAACCATTGGTTATACATTGCATGTGGCATTCATAATTAATATACGTACCATAGAAAAGCCGCAAGGCCCTTATGATTATCGATGTTGTCCTTTTGTTTCGTTTTTTTGACACCTACCCACATATCAAATTTCGTAACAATCCATCTTAAGTAAAGTTTAGATACAACCACAGCTACAAACCGATAAATTAAGAAATAAACCACAAACGCCAACAAAACACAACGAGTCTTCTTGGCAAAGGTAGATAATCACTATACATCGTAATTCATTGTCCTTATTAATGTGAAAGTTGCCTTACTCAAAACGGTTGTCACACAGTAGCTCTCCGTAAGATTGGCACAAAGTTGTAATGGAGCCTGAAGACACTCTTCCCTGGTGTTCACAGAAACGCAGGCCGGACAAAAAAGAGTTTGATCTGCAAAACAGAAGATGCTAAATTAGCTTTGACATTACAATGCAAGATTTGAAATATTTTACTGTACACTTACAAAGATGCAAAAATACTCGTTTTATTTGATGTGCAAGTCAAAGCCATTTTTGTGTTTATTTCCATTCCATAACATATGCAGGGCACAGGAGGAAAATCTTTCTTTCTTTAGTCATGAATTTTTAAGGTAGTCCCTTCAGTTATTGAATAGCTATTTTGTAACGGGGCCCTTGCTTAATAAATCAACAAATCAAGCCCAACTCATTTATTTTCCTTAGTTTCTTGACAAATAAATACAAGACAAACGTTACCTGCATGTTCAGGTAAAATATCGCTGTTTTTCTTCATCGCAGATATCTTCACGGGTGCGCGGATGAAAAAATTAGACGTCTTTTTTTTTCATTTCCGCCATTTTGAATTTCCCGGGCGACCGCGCCAAAACGAGGCTAGCTGAGGCGGATACTCTCTATAACTCTCTATTACCGTCAAAGATATGCTATCTATAACTGTAATATGATGAGTTAAATTATGCCCATGTTGTAAGTGTGATTTTAGGCATACATACATAACGTTACATGTATGTTCTCTGCACGGTGGCGACGAGGGTTCATATCGCAAACTGTTGGGATATTCCATTACACTTACGGGGGCCATGGCCCCTGAAACAGGATTTGGGACTCCTGTGCCATGCTGAACAAAGACTACGGGGGTTGAACCAATTCCCATGTACTCACACACGCACACATTCATACACACACACACGCGCGCGCGCACACACACACACACACTCACGCACACACACTCACGCACACATCACACACACAAAACGCACACACACACACACATACACACACACACGCGCGCTCACACACACGCACACACACACACACACACACACATTCATACACACACACACACACACACACACACATAAACACATTCATACACACACGGCGCTCACACATGCACACGCAAACACATATATACACACAAATATAAGTATAAGAATCTAAGATGTCACATACCAGTAACCTCGCTGCCGGCCGCCGGTACGTTACAACAGGCTGGGTCCCACCTCGAGGTGTTGAAATAGCACGGGCAGCCCAACGGTGCAGTTGTGTTCTCAGTTACTAGGGCAGAAAATGTTTAAGATGAAACAAAGGACACAACAGTTATTTCTATTACGTCTAGGCTCTAAAGGAGTAGCTTTTTATTTGGTTTAGGCCATGTTGATTTGATAATATGGATGACATCCGCGCGCGCGCATGCATTTTCGCCCCCCCCCAGTAAAGTTCTCGACCATACTGTAAATCGTACTAACAGCTGCAAAATAAGCAAACATATGCCGTTAACTGAGAAAAATGTTGCAAAAAAAAAACATACACTAATGTTGTGGAATTCCAGAATCAATTCCAAAGGCAAATTGGAAAATGTTAAGAAAGGACAATGAAGAGTCCGGATGTCATCCATATTATGAATATGGCCTTGCAAATTCAGTAAGAGCAACGTAACATTACTTGAGCTTCACTTACTTTGCATGGGGTAAATGTGAGCTACGCTTGACACCCCAAACCAAAGTCAGTTGACTTGTTTGGGTTCACCTTTTCTTCACAAAGACCTACTGCTCACTCTACGGTTAGCTCTAGCATTGGATTTGTTTGCTGTGCAGAAACGAGCGGATTCATTCTTTCCTCATGAAACTCGATAATCCTCGTACTATAAACTCCATCCGTTCTTACATTTGCAACTGTCTTTAAGAAGCGAGAAGAAGCAGAACCTGTACATATGTAGTTTTACTATAGATATACTTTAGTCTACCATCGCTGTTTACCATGACCTGTACTAGTTCGCAAAGAGCAAAAGTGTACAATAAAGGTCTTTCGTTCTTTCTTTGTATGCAAACAAAGCACCAATGCGCCTAGCTAGCTCGGATTTCACCCATTTCAGACCAGTAAAGGCCGATACACCTGTACACCAATACACGCCTTATGTTCAAAGTACGTAGTTAAGACCCTCCCCCACGCAAACAAATACTTTACCTACCTAGCAACCATGCACATTTTGTATAATGTAATTAGTGGACTTGACTGGCTACAGCCATGGGTACCAAGTCTAACTTTAATTGCCGTGCACTAACCGTGAAATGCACGTCTACCTCACTGTGAAGTCATTTTTTCTTCTTTTTAAAGAAGCAGATAACACTAAGACTATACATGTAGCTTCTCAAAAGATGTCTAGAAAGATATAATCAGGGCAATCGGGCAATGGGACTTTACATTTGTCCAACCCTGCCTGTAAATTGAAGCCATTTTGTTCTCTTTTGTTCGAAAGTGAAAACAGCTAACACTAAGAATATAGATTATCAAAAGATGTTTAGAAAGCACCTTAAGAAGATATACATACCTTGCGCGTTGTTAACGATCGCCAAGGCGACAAGTACAGCTAAAATCGGCAAGAAGGACTGTAGTTTCATGTTGCACAGAGTTGCCAATGCCTGGACTACGCCCTGTACAGGTACACCTCACAACGACGTCACCCCACGTGACCAATAGCCAATGTTTTCACTTGACTGCCTTTGTGTCACATACCATATAAGGTTATGGAAGCGTCACAAGACTGAACAAGATGGCTTACTTTTTGAACACGTCAAAATTTCAGGGGTGCCAGAACTCGAAAAAATGCAACAGGTGGGATCCTACAGTGAGATTTTTATAGAGAACTGAACCTAATGATTTACTGGCTTTATTTAGCATCGGGTAATATTGTCTTCAGTTTCTTTCTTTCATGTAAAATGTTTTCATGGCTCCTCCTTTAATTAGGAGTTGGACAGTCTTAGTTATGCATATTCTTCTCGTGCAAAGCAAATGACGCCACCTTGCGGGCTAGGTACGAAATGGATCAAAATAATACAACGTTTTCTTACCTCAAATAACTTGACTTCCCGACGTTTCTAGACAGTAAGACTGGTACTAGTATTTGGTGGTAAAGAATACAGTGTATAGAATTTTCTAGTTTTGGACTACAGGAACACTTTGTAGTACCCGCCAATGTGTGTTTTTCAAGGTCTAGAACTCGGGTAGATTACTTTTGATCGGTTTATTTCTTATATAATTCCCATACATTAAAAGATTGAGCCTATTAGTGGTCTCAACTAGCTCTAAAGCAGTTCAAGGCACTGCCTATTTCACTTCTATTTCATTTGTATTACATGTATCCACTCAGTCAGAATGAAACACAATTGGTTTCTATCATGTATAAAAACACTAAATCATATATCCAAACACAATCCCAGATCCACGATTTATTGCAAAGAAACAAACGTGCAAATATTACATAAAAAAGTAAGCATCCGTGTGAAATCATATCTAAAATAAATCAGTGACAAAATAGAACTAGATATAATCCAAAATTGCATCTGGTAAGGCCATCAAGTAACATTATATGAAACATTGGGTGAAAATTATCTATTTTATAATTCGTTTCTGTCCGGTTTTGGTTCTGGTAGATTTTCTTTAACATACTGAATGCCATCAGTGAGATGCTGGTTGATGTTATGAGCGATAAATTTTAGTTTCGTTCCAGCAGACGCAAATAAAGTTTTCATCACACCACCCTGTTTTTCCTTAGACAATTGACTCATATCTGGTAATCTTGCAGGACCCCCTATAAGCAAGTCACCTATCCACCTAGCGACTTCTAGAACAACGTCAGGCAACGATTCGGGTTTCCATTGGCTGAGATCAGGAAATTTAGCGCTCCAACTCTGAATCAAACCGGGAAGGCCGTTCTCAACTTGTGCTAGCAAACTTTTAACTTCTGATTGCAATTTTTGTTCGTCTAATTTTACAGATTTCATGTTAGGTAAGGTTTCCACAGCTTGTTTAACTAAAACTGGTAAGTGGACTCGAATCATTTTGCCAGTGATGGTAACATCGCTCATATCTGGAAACTTTCTTTGCAACGTCGCCAAAGCTTGGGAAGTAGCCTTCACTATATCTGTTAACGCATCTGGTGCGTGTTTTTGAAAGTCTTTCAAATGACTGAAGATATCTTGTGTTTTGTAGGCTTCTAGATTGGGTAGTTTTGCTTCAATGGTGGTCAGCAGAGAGTATAGGATTTGTCTCACTTGCTTTTCATCTGGAAGAATCCTCTGTAAGACTTTAGTATCAGTGACTAGCGCCTTAGGCATCTTCCTTTGTATACTCTTCCACAGTTTGGGTAGATCCTTTTTGATTTTGCTGACTGCCTCCGCTACATCTTTCTCCAAGTCGACATCTTTGATTTGTGGGAGTTTACTCCGGGTGGATGAAATCTCGTTCTCAAGTCTCGCGAGACCTGACAATCCCATCAGTAACTTCTTGACGTCACCTTCTACTTCCTCCCATGGCGGTAACCATCCTTCTTCTATCAGATTGCTCACGAAGTCCATGAATCCGAGGCCAACCATCTTAAAGATTTCGACAGGGTTTTGTAGGAAGGAGTTTTTAGACTTCAGAAGATTCTCGAAGAATTTGGGCGCCTTGAAAACCAGCATGGAAGCCGGAGCCTGCAAATCTCGCGGGAGTTTGCGGATGATCTTGTGTACTTCTCCGAGGATTTTTGTCCACTTGACGTTGTTACTTTTCTTGACCTTGGCGACGTCATTGGACAAGGCGGTGGTTAACAGGATAAACAACAGCACGATGCATAACACCCTCATTGTGACCTGCAACGAAAAAACACATAAAACGTCAGTGTGACTTACGTCTGACCGAGGAGGTTATAGTTTGACATCTTGGAATTTGTGGGTTAATCTAACCCCCGGGCCTGTTTGAAAATCTCGTTTCTAAGTCTCGCGAGATCTGGCGATTAGGCACTGAAGATGAATTGATGGGATTTTTTGACACGATGAAAAGAGTCAGTCACAACCGGTTTGACAAGACAAGACTACAGGCAAAGTACTACTAGTAAATCGCCCCCAAGAGCTTTAAGCACTAATCACTATTGTCTGACCTAGCTACATCGGCACCTACAGATTATCCAAGCTAATCATGACCAAGAAAACCCAGAAATTGTCACACCCTCTCTTACACAAGTATCATCTGTGCTGTATACCAACAGTTAACGATGAAGTTTGATACTTTCATTTAGCACAGGCAAAAGTAGCTCCGAGACGGGGGCCGATATCGCCTACCAATTACGATTAATTACTCTAGTTGCTTGCTCAGAGTAACCACTCATGAAGAAGGTAGTGACCAAAAATTGGAGGTGAGCTACTTTCGCGTGTGTTGAATAAAGGTATCAAATTTCATCACATAATGTAAAATCATTGGCACAAGGTACTATCGACGTTGAGGATGGTTTGCACATGTACAGAGCATAGTACATGGACATGTAGTAAACTGAGATTTCCTTGTAAGAAAATTACGGAGGATACGGGGGGGGGGGCAAGGTAAAACCAGATAGATTAATCGCCACCAGGCCTGACAATATTTTGGACCGACAATACACGCTACATTTTGAATTTTATTTCTTTCTTTCTAAGTCTGCCAAATAGAATGACCTGCCCCTTTTCTATGCCTATATGCCTAGCGTGTGACACAGCAAAACCTTTCTTTGCACGGTGAGTCAATTGGCTCTTATAACAGACGGTGTGCTTTACAAAGGCATCTTGACAAGTGCAAAGAAGGACCAAACGCCTTCTGCACACTTAAACCTACAGAAAGCAAACACATCTACAGCCTACCCCCTCCCCCTTTAGCACAACGATGGCAAGTGCCTGTTTTAATACAAAAATGTATATTGCAATTGGATTAAGGATCTGTACAATTTGCATGTTGTGTGTGTCTTTGTAGTTAAGCATTACAATGTTGTTACGTTAGTAGTAAGTAGTTAAATGTGCATAACGACTCCAGGAAGAATAGTGTGTATGGAAACTCAGTCTGTACAAACTAATGGAGATCGGCCAGTTTTAAACAAACAATAAACGATTTGGCGTAAATACTAGTATGTGTATGTTAGTGTATACATGAAATGCTTTCGAAAAATGTAGTACTGACATTGCCAAAACAGTGATTTAGGTGTTGCTATGCCCTTCCCTGACTTTTATCTGTAGTATTAGCTTGTACAGTGTGTCAAAAGCATTATAGGTTAAACGATCGCGATGTAAAAGACCAGTAAAGAATATAATGATATCGTTGTCTGCCATAAGCCCTGACCTATTTTACATCACAATGCTTGCAACAAATTCCACATCTTTTCAATACAAAAGACTCAATACCACCAACATACACGTACATGAATGTACCTTCGTGTCAACCACTGACCTACTGTCACGTAATCCAGTCACGAAATGCCTTTCTGTATAACCAATGAGCTTTAAAATTCTAAAAGCTACTTGGTATAACCCATCCAAGGTAAAGTTGTCTAGCCTCTCGTCGTATTTCAAGAAAACGATCGCCTTTAAGCTTTAAATTTTCCTTCTCTACTGCTGAAATAAATTGACAGAATATGCCTTAGCGACCGACTGACTAGAGGGAAAAACAACCAACCTGTTGGCAAAAAGACCCCACCTTTGTTGAGGATTTTGTCGGTTTTTGGTGTAACAGGTATGGTGGCTACTACAGGTGGACTGTAGGTCGAGTGACGTCTGGGACACGGTGACGGGTCATCGGAGGCCACGCCCTTCCGAGCGTGACGCGTCCTAATTTGCATAAGCTTTCGCGGGTTTGAGTCATCACCTAGTGGTAAGGTTGGGTTACTGAAATAGGTTAAACCAAATTGTTCGGAGGGGGGTGTAATATACATGTAGTCTGTATATTCTACGTATTATATAGTCTGTATAGGATTATTGGACTAAAGATGTATGGAATAAACATGTACATGTATATCAAGTCAAAACCAATGGACAAGGATAGACCTCAAGGACGAAACATAAAGTAGGTATTTTATTTTAGTGTTTTGTACGAGTCTTCTTAAGAATATTGGTACAGATTTTAAAGCAAAGGAAAATTGTTCTACCACAGGAAATACTATACTTTGCATATATCTTTAAAATCACATCTAAAATTTTCCCCTCATCCAAAATCTAACTAGATAGAAGAAAAGTGAAATTCTTTCGTAATTCTTTGTCAAAACTGATTATTGGGTTAAATGATGTAAACTAATGAATTGAATTTGCCTAGTCAGCCTACCAGTATCCTAGTTGCCCGTAAGGTCACAGAAAAAGTATTTTACTTCTATAACACATTGCGTGCTGATCAGCTATTGTGTCTATTGTTCAATGAACGTGTGAGGGTGAATCATGATCATTCTGAACAACGAGTAGTAAAGAAGGGTCACATTGAGGAAAATATGGTGGTGGCTTCATTTTCAAGCAGATACTCATACTTTTGACAAATCAAACTCTACCACTGGATAAATTTCGGAGATAACTTCCGAATGTTTCAAGTGATGACATCCATCACTCTTCTTCAGCGTCACTTTTAACTAACAGAACTAGTCAAGACTTATACATGTACATGTATATGAGCATACATGTACATGTATATGAGCAACTGAAAAGAAGGTTGAACATGACAAAGACTCGAAATTGTCATTGATATAATGCAAACCCAAGCAGATGTTGGAATATTACAACACCTACGTAAATCCAAATATAGGTGGCTTAAGCACTTTCATACAAAATAAGGTAGTAACATCATTCATTGTTTAGAAGTAACGACGTTAGATCCATAAGTTTAAACCCATGAGGTGCACATTGTTATTAAAAACCCCTAGTAAAAACTCCAGTGCCAACTATGCGCTGTGCATGTGTGAAAATGCCAAACTCTACACCGGGTCATTGACCGCTCGGACACTAAAGTATGGCGGCCGAGGGGTCACGTTGCCACCGGCTCAATACGTAAACACCACGGCAGCCAAGACCTAATGAATTTCACCATACCCCAACAATACCCTCACTTTTCTGTAGATAAGTCGTTGATATACTTTCAAATTGTTAAAAAATATAGTATTGGAAATTGAAAGTTTCCAAGTTTGAATTGTTTAATCTGCTCAACTAATGAACAAATGATTATGTTAATCATTTACTTAACCTAGAGGTCAATCTGGTGCTATATAAGGTAAACGCTTGTTGTTTCAAGGTGCATTCAAGATGGCGGGTGTTCTATGGATGGTGGTGTTGTCGGCCGTGTTGCCGATGATCTCCCGAGCGGACGATCGGCCCAACTTCGTGTTCTTCGTGGCCGACGACTTGGGAATCGGAGACGTCGGCTGCTTCGGAAACGATACACTTCGGTAAGAGCTTAAGAGTTCACCTTTTGTCGTACTTTTTAAAGTGATCCTTGTTGCAGTGACACTTATAAAACCACTTTTGTATACAAAATTTCTGCTTAGAAATGTAATGATGCATTTTTTGACCTGATTAGTCTAGTTCAATCGAGTTATCAGTAATACTAGTGTAAAAATTATATAGTACGTGCGTCGATGAAGGTTAGACATCCAGGTAATACAGTACGCCAAAAAGCAGTTACTCAAGCAACTGGATATGATTTTGGAAACGCAGACGTTTCCACTGACGAAACCTAGTGCTAGTGGATACTAGCTGAAACGTCTGACGTTTCCAAAATCATATCCAGTTGCTTGAGTAAATGCTTTTTGGCGTATATAGTACGTGGCCTTGACAGAACTTTTAACTTTTGAAACAAGCTGGAGGTCAATGACCGTTCGTGCAAATACACGTCTGGACAGAACAAATGGTGGGTCAACTTTTGAAACCTCCCCTAAATACGAAAATTAATACTTGTAATTAACCTAAATCTGATAAAACATGGAAGTTGAAAGCATGATTTTTTTCGAACATTGTGATAACATGAAATGTTGGCAACGTTTAGAAACCCACGTATTTCACTTTTCTGTAGCTATAGTATTTTTTATATCTTTCTACCGTAATGCATGCGAATCAGGAAAGATACATAAACTTTAACTTATGGGAACACACTATGTCTATTCGAAATTCGCTGCAACTATAGGCGTAAAAAGACTGTTCATCGGTATCGTCTGCTTCCGAAAAAGTACGACCACGTCTGGTTCAAATTTTGTATCGACCAGGACTCAATTTTTTGGCCCGTTGTGCCAAATTAAGCACTCGTTCAATTAAACTTTCAAACCGTGACAGTCAGGGTCACTGACCGCTCGTACAAGTTGACCACTCCTCAAACCCTTCATAGTCAGGGTCACAGACCGCTCGTACAAACACGTCGTCCTAGTATACCATGAGCGATCGCCTAGACGTCACGGTCAGCGATTGATCGGCAAACACCGAATGACGGTTGGCTGATTTGCATAATGTCTTCAAATAATTTGCATGTACAGGACAGCTCAAATGCCGACACGTAGTTTTTGGGGTGGCCGACAAATCATGGTTGTGAAGTATACTGTTGATTTCGAGGTGAATACAATACGCATTATCCATTCTGTACATGAAAATATTCCTTTTGAACTGGCGACCAAATCATATACAGACTCTCCTTGACTCTTGAGTTCACCTTTGACACAGTTTTAGCTCATTAACATATTTCCCATGGGGTCTAGTTATGACGTAATTTTATTTCTTAACAACGTTGGGAATCTTTCTGTCAATATATCTCTTAAAGTTTCAAATCTAACCATGAGCTATGTAGTGTCATAAAACAGAGTTAATGTTAAAGTTTCTGTACCCAATGAGTTCGAATTTCTTTAAAGATCAAGATTTTATGAGAGTTACTGATATGATGTGGCGTTTAAACCACAGAAGGAATGTGTTAGTATTCAGTAGTGGTGATACTACGTGCGGGTGGGAAATTATTCACCTTCCACTCAAACCGTGTGGGTGGCATCCGAAAATATTTTTGTCTTCGCCCTGCCTTGTGCGGGGCCGTTCATTAACCAAAGAAGTCACAATTCACATGTATCTAGTGCCCTTGAGATAGGCACTTAACAGGGTAACTTAACACGTCAGTTACTTACTTGTAGTAGCCCGATAGAGCTTAAATGTACCAAAAAGGCTATCCATTGTTATCTGTAAAGTTCATCTGTGTTGGTACAAGTCATTATGAAAGAAGTTTGAACTGCAATATCTAACACAAGAAATCGGACTCACCCAAATTTTCGACTGTACAACTCCAGTCTTTGTCAAGGAATGAGCAATCCACCGCTTCTGTGACGTCAAGCAGATAACACACGTGACTCCGTAAGCAATGTACCCTTTTGCCACTATAGGAATGTGGCGCCCCCCGTCTCTGTTGAGGGATGGTTGTAATGCCCTGATGGAGATGGCCTCTTTAGTCCCTCGTGCGAAAAAGACCGATCCTGTGTCCAAAATTTTTAGTTGTTCATAATGCTATCCATTCTTATTGATATCATTATGTTTACACATTTTTTACTTCCGATATTTTTCAGGACTCCGAATATCGACCGAATCGCTGCTAACGGTGCCAAGTTGACCCAGCACCTGGCGGCCGCTGCCGTCTGCACCCCCAGTAGATCAGCGTTTCTAACCGGACGCCTGCCCGTCAGATTTGGTAAGAACGCGTGCATTCCCCTTTCTTTCCGCCAGGTGTCGTAGGTTCAGTAGGGCGTAATGTGCAATGGGGCAATGCAATGGGGCAATGTCAATCAAATGTTTCTTACATGCCAATCTTAATGCTTGTAAAGTATTTTATATTAATACTAGAAAGGTTGTTTACCTTCGCATATGGTCTGTTCTGTTAATTCTTACTCACAAATATATTCAATTATATGGGCAGACAGGAGTCTAAATCCCTCCTGCTATGAAATTGCAGCATGATGTAAGCCAACACTAGTTACCATGGTGACAGACGCCTGGTTAGGCGAGAAGAAGAAGAGGATACAGGCCAAAACCATGTTTTCCGATATAAATAATGATTATTTATATCGAAATATATACTTTTATGTATTCGCAAAGGAATGGCGGGGACGGACCGACCTCTGGCTTACATCTTTCTGGCTGCTCCATCCGGGCTACCGAGGTCAGAGGTCACTTTCCCTCAGATGGCAAAGGATCATGGGTACCAGACAGCACTGATAGGTGAGATAAAATATTATTGTTTAGATACGTAGTATCGTTTTTTTTTGTTTGAAACATTCATTATTCGAGCTATGCTGATCTCCGAGCCTCCAATGAGACGGAGGACGATATAGACTCACTGGCACGTTTGATCAATTTCTGACGTGAGGTATCCGCAAAATCTCGTGTGAATAAGGTCACCGTAAACTCTCGCGAGTTTACGTTTAAGCTTAACATTCTATTGTGATCTTCGAGATATTTAAGTTGAATATTTTGGGACGTTTCCTTCTTTTGATAGGAAAATGGCATCTTGGTCTGAATTGCAAATGGGTAGGGGATCACTGCCACCATCCTAACAAGTTCGGGTTTGATTACTTTTACGGCTTTCCCGGTTCAAACGCGCCCGAGTGTGACCCGGACAATGTGACCGCGGGAGCGACGGGGAAGTTCGCCGCCGATAGGATCTACACCCGCTTCCGCGTCTGGGAGGTAGCGCTCAGCGTCTTCCTCGGTCTTCTGGCACTCAAGTATTTCCGTTACGTTCAATGGAAAACCGTTATCGTGTTCTCGGTTGTTGGTTGGTCGACGGTGATATGTACGTACGCATTTTGGGCCAATGGGAGACAGTTTAACTGCGTCATGATGAGAGACGATGACGTCATAGAGCAACCATACGACGTTTCTACCATGACTCCCAGAATGACTCTTGAAGCCACAAGATTCCTTGAAGAAAGGAAAGCGAAAAAAGAACCCTTCTTGTTGGAAGTCTCTTACTGGAACGCGCACACAGCCCTTTTACCTTATAAGGAATTCCGCGGGAAAAGCCGGCACGGTCTCTATGGCGACACGGTGGAGGAGATGGACTGGAGCATCGGGGTTGTCATGGCAACGTTAGAACGCCTGGGTCTGACGAACAACACGTTTGTGTACTTCACATCTGACAACGGCGCGCACATGGAAATAGGAGATGCCGGAGGGTGGAACGGCAAATATAAAGGTAAGGATGTTTGCAGTCACGTGACCATGACGTAACTTTGCATCCGCCATATTGGTGTGTTACACCAGCGTGTCGATTCGAGACAAATGTTTAGTTTAACTGTTGAATTCTTAGTTTACCATGATTGCCTTTTGCCTTTGGCTATACAGAGAGCAGTACACTTTTAATGGTATGTTTTATAAAATAAATCTGTTTCTATCAACTGGTCGCCATCTTTGGTCTATCCACATTTTCGTTATGTTGGTGGTGATTATTTCCAAATTCTAAAATCACGTGAAATTTCATGTGTTTTTTGCCATTTTCAACATCAGATGTTTTCCCCTTTTTTCCGCACAGGTAGTAAAGGGCAAGGAGGATCCGAAGGAGGAATCCGCATGCCAACACTTGTGCAGTGGCCAAGGTATGAAACCCCATCGCTTTCAACTCTCGCACTTTCTCGTCCAACTGTGCTCTCGATCGCGTGAGCACATTCCAAAATGGCGCGCGATCGCGAGATTTGGCATAGTTCTATTGGTTCACTTTTGCTTTGAGCAATTTAAACTGTTGATTCGTGGACAATATTTGCGTGCCAATTTTCATGAAAAGTTACATACATCTTTATCCTTTAGACAGGATTTAATATACTTTTCTTTCTGCCTTCTATAGAAAAATCAAGCCCGGAACTGTAGTTACGGAGGCGACAAGTCAGATGGACATCTTCCCTACGTTAGCAGAGATCCTGAAGGCCCCACTTCCCCAGGACAGGGTGATGGACGGACGGAACATCCTGCCGTTGCTAGGCGGGGCCAAGAAGCCGTCTCCACACGACTTCCTGTTCCACTACTGTGGGGATAGGTTGCATGCTGTAAGGTACAGGCCTAGGAAAGGTGAGGTCTGCTAAGTAAATATTAAATGAAATTTGAATAAGAAAATACGGTAAAAGAAAACAGTGAATAGATTTTTGATTTCAGGCAAACGATTCTTAGATGATCGATGGGCTTTTTTTTACACGTTTATCGTCTTTATTTGGTTCTTGAGCACTACGTAGAACCAAGTAATTTCCAGGTTTAACCATCCAATATGGCCGCCATACTTACGTCATCAAAGTCACGTGACTGCAAACACTACACTACACTACACAGTTGTTATCCACAATCCGTTCTATTCGGAAGCAGATCGCCTTTACACTTGTAATTCTGCTGTTTTTCTGTTTTGCTTGTAGGGAAGGTGACCTGGAAAGCCCACTATGCTTCCTACAACTGGGAACCTGGCACAACACGTTGCGGTGTCGACCGACTTGTCTGCTTCTGTGACGTGCCGTTTGTCACCTGGAACGATCCGCCATTGCTGTATGACGTCACTAACGACCCCACCGAGGACCGACCAATCAGCGCCGACTCAAACCCGAAGTACCGAGAAGTGCTTGACGTCATCATGAAGGCTGTTGCGGAACACAGACAGAACTTGACTGAAGTACCTAACCAGTTTAGAATACCCCTGTTTTTTCCTAGGCCTTGGCTGCAGCCATGTTGCAACTTTCCATATTGCAATTGTCAGGAAAAAGTCGATTTATCCCCTCTAAAAATCACCGCCCAATGAACAAAGAAATGCTAGTACAATACAATACATGTAAATGTAAGTACAGTGGCCGACAAGTACACAAGCAGATGTGTACATTTGTACTTGTCGGCCACAGTATGTGAGAATTTTTCACAGGCTGCTGCATTCTAAAGCGTGCTCTAATCTATTACACGAAGAATTGCTGTTTACTATTAAATAGTATACTATAATTTTCCTGATTTCCATTTTTGTACCAAGTGAACTTAAAAAAGCAAGCTGCTAGGGGGAAAACTTACGAGCACAAGAACTATTTGCCTTCTAAAATCAGTGACCGCTGCAGTACCATATCAAGCCGCCAGAGAGCGCAAAATGTGATCATCAAAACACTACAAAATGTACCAAGTCTGATGACAATCCATCCATATAGCGTCTCAAGTTATCGTGCCAAACCACATACATACATACAAATAAACGCTACCAGAAACATTACCTTCTTGGCGAATGTAATAAACATCTAAACCACATGTCTCTTTCCATCCTGTGGGATTACAATGTATGTGTAGCGCAATAAAGCTTGATTGTTTGAAAGCTGATGGACGTACAACATGCAGGTAAACATTGGATTTAATTGTACATTCTTTCGGTAATCACCTGAGGTACGGGTGGATGATTAGTTAGCATAATATATGCAGTGGCGTCCGATTGGTTTGAGCAACCATGACGTCACGACTTAATCAGGTACACGGTACAGGGTCCGTGTAAGGTGACTTGACCAGTCTTCACGTAGAAATATCGCAAAGGTATGTGGTTAGTTATTAATCGTTGTTGCGTTATCTAGATCGTATGTATGATATCATAAAAGCCGTGTTATATATTTATGCTAAGCAAACCCTAGCTATTTGGCCACTAAGCTACCTTTCAACCACGTACAGTACGTTGGGTGGTCTACACTATATAGCTCGAAACAACGCTCGTGCAGTTAAATATGTAAAGATTAGGTGTGGCAGGTCGTTCTGTGTAATATACTAGTAACCACTTGATGTTGTGCCGCGTGCCTGCGAAGCTGTAACGTTACTTTTTGTGTTACGTCGATTTACCCGTACCGGCTATACAGATGCAAATCGCCTAAATACATAGCAAAAGAAATTTCTGCATAATAGTTCAGAAAATCCTGAAGATTTGTCTGACTTCTCATATGCCTTAAAAGTGGTTTGCATTATTATTATTATTTAGATTGTTTTGCATTTCGCCATTGCTGAGAGATGTGTGAAGCAGCTTTTGTGCTATCGAGAACTGCCTTCTAAGAAACGATCATTTGTGCTTCTCGGCATTAAAAATCCGGTATCGTCCGTATTTGTGTGTAAATTCGCTTTTGTTTGTAATAATTATAATTGGTCTGTGGTAGGTGATAGTATGGTGTGATGGGGTACATGGAATAGTTTTAAAGATGCCCCATAAGGCAGAGCGCGGGTGTTTAAATCAGGCAGTCGGGGTCCAGGTTTGAGAGAGAAAGGTCCGGTTGTCATGGGTACTGGGGCAGGAGACTTGCATTAAACTGAGTTTTATTTACTGAGTTCTTGGAGTTCAACTCCGGCTCATATTTCCTGACAAGTGGTATGCAGAGGTTGGGTCATTCACCGAGGGTAAAAACACCGGTAGGTGAAGACCCGACGGACGGACAGTACAGATTATATAGTAATGAGAGAGATTCCCTATATTCGTATATACTAGATAAGTTCCCCAGCTTTGGACATTTAAATGAAGTAGAAAAATTCTCATTTCTTATGAAACTTGACAAATCATGTATTATCAGTTCTATATGCTCGTTCATCTATAACTGCGTCAAGAAGCGAGAAGAAGTTGAACATGGAAATAGTAGATCACATTAGTATGTATAGTTTAAGTGCAATTGCTGTATCCTTTTTCCTTGTCTATCCATGACCTGTACTTAGCTTGTTAGAGCACAAATGTACTATAAAGGTCTTTCACTCATTCAATCATTAAGGAGCTTGGTGCAGCCAAAGCGGATCCAAAAGAAGCAAGATCAAGCACGATCTTAAGAGCCAGACTAATTTTGCCAAGACGAAAAAAGGAACCATGAGTAACAATGAGTGCTGTTTACAGTTTGGACGCACGAGTACATTCTTCGTGAATATAAAATATGTGAGTTGTTGGCTTGAAGTTGGCAGGAAGTCGGTAAGAAGAGACTGGTCCTGTGTGTGGGAACATCTGGAATGGATACAAGAAGGTTTTATAGTTCCATGTGCAGAGTGATATCAGTAGGACTCTCTAGTGTTACGTAGGATCGTAGGCCTTTATGGTTGTTAGAAAAATGTTTCTGCGCGTTAAGTTGTCGTTGTTACTAATGATTATGTAGTGTTAATTCATTCATAGAAGTTGTTAATGTTGTCGTTGCTTAAGATGGAGTGCCTGGTAGTGAGTCTGTTTGGTTCGTTCAAGTTCAAGTTTTATTGATAAAATCAGCCTTGCAGCCAGTTCACAAGTCAACCAAGCTGAATAACACTGATTTTTACAATTTTGTACATAGCAATAAATACCAATACACATTTAACATTACAATACATATACAGACACGCAAACAAACATGTTACAAAGCCACACATGGGCACGGAAATAAAGTCCAGAGAGTCTTGAAAGTCATTACTGCAAGGACTCGTTGTACAGGCATATTTCCTTGTGTAAGAAAGAGTTTTTCAGTCTTTTTGTACGGGCCGCTGGTACTGTGAGTGCAGTTCCATTTCTTAAGGTCCTCCCAGTGGCCGTTGTCCTGGCCGGTGGAACCAGGTCATGGAGGTCCCGAGGACAGTTCTAGAAGCAGTTGGCATCCAATCATGAAAAGGACTGACGACCATGTACATGGACTTTAGTGAAGTGACATATAGATAGATATATATACAGGTTCACATGCATTACCTTATATACAAAACTATAAAAAGAAAACGGATCCTACATGATCTTATAAGTATTACTTTAGATCATGTAGGATCCGTTTTCTTTTTATAGTTTTGTATATAAGGTAATGCATGTGAACCACCAGACCTGGGTTACAAATACTGAGAACGTAGAGCTAGAGTTTTGTGATTAAAAGCAGTGTTTCAATCAAGAGAAAAAGGGGCAGTGATGGGGTACATAGAATAGTTTTAAAGATGCCCCATAAGGCAGAGCGTGGGTGCTTAGATCAGGCAGTCGGGGTCCAGGCTTGAGAGAGAAAGGTCCGGTTGTCATGGGTACTAGGGCAGGAGACTTGCCATAAACTGAGTTTTATTTACTGAGTTCTTGGAGTTCAACTCCGGCTCATTTCCTGACATAACCTAAGGTTTTAGCCTGGTATCCAGTCTGATTCGTGGTCGGGGCTGAAAGAGCTCTGTCCCGCCCGCCTCACATAGGTTTCCCGGTGTGTATTTCACGAGAGATTGATCGTGTTGGGGAAAACCAAATCCCCAAGCATACTGTCTCTTATTAACGTAACTCTCCTACCGGGACGGCCTGTTGCACTGGGCGGGGGAAGCTATTAGAGCCCCCGAAGGCACCACCTGCCTGAACACCCCAACACCCCAATCACGTAAGACTGGATACCAGGCTAGGTTTTACCACACATTTTGGTGCAATGCTGTGTTAATAAAGGCGCAATGGGATAATCATTTGTACAATTGACCTTTTGTATAGGATGTTTCATTCTATGGATTGAAGACGTACATTAAATTTTAGTAACGTTATTAGAATAACAAACGTAATTACCAAACAGATGCTCAAAGACTAATCGCAAAGGAACACATTCATACGATAACGTAGCGTAAAAAGTTTTGGATGATATCCTCTGGGAACCCCAAAATTGATGCGAGCGAGCGAATAGAAAAGGTTGGCAAAAAAGGTGACTTCATTATGAAATCTACGTGGTCATGAAGGTTGAACAAATGACTAAACACAGTATGGTATGGCTAATATTAGACTCTTTATCTATTTTCATTCCTTAACACTTTCTTCCTTTTCTTTGGAAGGGACTTTGCCATTCTACAACATTACTATCGTTTTCCATTGTTTTTGTCCTTGCAATTTACGGCATGTATGCATATTTACTCATTTTGCGGCTGCTTCGAACAACTTACAGTATGGTTGAAAACTTTGGTTGGGGGGGGGGCGCAAATTCATGCGCGCGGATGTCATCCATATGATCATATTAACATGGTCATACGATGTTTGTGCACGTGTGTGACCTTTTCAAATCTACTTTAGCTCTGCCTTCATTCCAAACGTATCCCATTTCACATGGAATTCCATTCAACAAGTGTACAAACACACATATTAATAATTTACCGAATAGTGCTACTTTGTATTATGATACTGAAGAAAATAAACTGAATTAAAAAAATGTTACATGTTGGACATTTTTAGACAGCAAACTGATATTTGTATTTTCTCTGTAGTCATATGCTGAGGTTCTGGTATGTAGGCTAATATATGTGGCGTGCTATTGGTCAGAGCAACCATGACATCACGAGTTTCCCATCCCCAGAATGCATTGCGAAAACAGGGGTCTAATCCTCATTTCATAGGACAGGAAGGCATCGGAATGATCCTGTTGACGTTAAACAACTTGTTTTTCAGTGTGTTTTGAGGTGTTGGCCAATGTTAACTACTAGTAAATTACTATGGGCTGAATCTGACAATAAATAGAGAATGATATTTTGGAATATGTGGTTTGTAACGTTATAGTGGTAACGCTAATGCTGTAACGTTACAAACCACATGTTCCATGTTGAAAAGAACACAAAAAACTTCATTCTCTATTTGTTGTCAGATTCGACCCATATTAATTAATGTTGAGCATGAAATGCCCCAACACCTCAAAACGCACTGAAAAACAAGCTATTTAACGTCAACAGGATCATTCCGATGCCTTCCTGTCCTATGCAAATGGGTTTACACCCTTGTTTTCGCAATGCATTCTGGGGATGGGAAACTCGTGAATACCTAGCATTGAAGTACGCCAACACGTTGCATTGTAAAGTATAGTACAGTGAAGCTGTGCTCATTCAGGGTCTCTGTAACTAAACTCTGTGTGGAAGATTGAATCTTTTTTATCACACAGAAATCGCTCAGGTATGTGATTACTTTTTCAATCTCTTTAGCATTCTTCCAACTTAATTGCGTATGTGTATCATAAAAGCTGTGTGTTCTTAGCCGCGGCGACTGTTGCAGGGCTTCTCTTGCTTGCAGTCTTTTACATTAGCCCTAAAAAATGGCGCCCAACTGTTTTCTTGTACATGGGGACTGACTTGATATATGTCGAGTCCTGGTGTCCCTGGCCTCGAGTCAAAATAGGGACACATGGGGACGATCGCAAATAGTGGCGGTACGAGTCGCGCAGGGGCCGGTTGACGCGCAAAACACCCCGGCACGTTAGGTAAGGCTGTTAGGAATCCAGGGTCGTGCAGAGTTCGCGCCCAAAGTATTTCGGCAGAGAGGATCGCATTTTATTCATTTGGCCCAATGCCCGCTCCGAGACTGATGTTAGGGCTATTAAATGTGAAATACTGCAAGCAAGAGAAGCCCTGCAACAGTCGCCGCGGCTAGGGTACTAGTATAGACTATACTACAAACTTTAGTTATCTAACCAAGCTACATGTAACAAGTTAGTATCTAATCCGTAACTAGTTTCCCCAGGTTCAACTGAACAAAGGGCTCTTGTTTACACACTGTGACAAGATGTTTATTCAGCCGATGTTTTGGTCAATTGCAAGTTCTAGGGTAAAGTTTCCAATTTGGGGAGGGGGTAACAGGTACAAAGGGCTCTTGTTTACACACTGTAACAAGATGCTTATTCAGCCGATGTTTTGGTCAATTGCAAGTTCTAGGGTAAAGTTTCCAATTTGGGGAGGGGGTAACAGGTTCAAGGGCCGCGGAGCCAGTCTACAATACCTAATGTTGGGGCCACAATTCCCACACGGGACCCGGCCGGGCAGCTAGCGCTTTTGGGAACGAAATATACGATATAAAAGACGTAAGTAAGTAAGTAAAAGACAACAAAGCACGGAAAAGTTGCTAATAACAATCAGGGGCACTATTTCTCTATATTCTTGATATGAATTCTTAATTTTTCGTTCATACAAACAGTCCGACCTGGCCCCGGGTTGGAAATGTAATCTAAGCATAATAGTAGAGTGCAACTCGTTCCCACATTCATTACACAGCATTACGCTAATGCAGTTAACTGTGCAGGGGTTAGGTCAATAAGTGTGACAGGATGTGACAAGGGTTAGGCAGTTGAGGGTTAGGTGTGACAGGACGTAACAGGTTGACAAAACAAACCAGGCAAATCAAAGCAGGCAAATAGTGGGAAACACGACTTTCCTCACTTCGCTCAGGTGAAAATGAGTATTGTCCTGTCATGTATTTGCCCCATGTGTTGGTGGTGGCATTGATATAAGTTTATAAAACGTGAGTGTGCCGTCACCACGTCTGGTGATTACATGTTGGAATAAAAAAAAAAACATTTGTGGGAAGTCATTGCGTTTCGACACCGCAAAACCAGAACTCGATCCAAGTAATAGACTAATAAGTAGTAGTAAGTAAGTTGTAGCAGTGACACAGTGTAACGTAACCGAATGTTGTTGCAGCATTGTTAGCTTGCCCGGAAAGCCTAGTTTTGTTCCGCCGAATTGCGGTTATGCAGACTGTACAGATACAGATAACCTAACCACATACGATGTACCATCACCCTGACCCTACCAGGGACGAAGTAGGTCGAGATGAGGTTTCGGGCTGGGGCGGGCAGACCTGCAGCCTGGTATGGAACGATTTAACACATGAAGTCACAATTGTGAAAGGCAGGGCATGAGAATGAGTATTTGGCACATCTTTTCTATCTAGGGTATAGCTAGGGTGCTCCCTTTTATGGGCTGCTGATATCCATTGTAATTTCAGGGAGGCAACAACATTCTCGATGAGGAAATTTGCCTGATACTGACATTTACCAGTTGCAAGAAAAGAATTGTTCAGATACTGCCCATAAGAATTTGCTTACAGCCAGAAAGTTTGATTTGGATATGCTTAACTGGAGTGTAACTATAGCAAAGTGTTTTAATAAAAAACACAGTCATCGGTTGATTGTTTGTTTCTTCATCATTGAAGTTCTGAAAAAGTGAACCATGGCGGCCGAGCTTCGTCTCTGCTTCGTCCTTTCGGCTATTCTCGGTGGCATAGTCGTCGTGTCTTCGGCAAGAGTCGTGCGCGACACTCATGCCTACCGGTACGGCGCCATCTTCGATGCCGGCAGCAGCGGGACCAGACTCCACGTCTACCGGTATGACCAGAACCGCCTCCCGACAAAAACTGAAGATTTAACGGAACTCAGGATCTCAGGAACCAGTAGGGTAAGTGGGTATATTCACGAGTTTCCTATCCCCAGAATGCATTGCAAAAACAGGGGTCTAAACCTAGCTCATTTGCATAGGACAGGAAGGCATCGGAATGATCCTGTTGATGTCAAACAGCTTGTTTTTCAGTGTGTTTTTGAGGTCTTGGGGCACATTATGCTCAACGTTAACTGAAAAAAAAAGATTTTTTTGAGTATGTGGTATAGTGGTAACGCTATACTGATGCTGTAACGTTACAAACCACATGTTCCATGTTGGAAAGAACACAAAAATTTCATTCTCTATTTGTTGTCAGATTCGACTCATAGTAATTTAATTAATGTTGAGCATAAAATGCCCCAACACCTCAAAACACACTGATAAACAAGCTGTTTAACGTGAACAGGATCATTCCGATGCCTTCCAGTCCTATGCAAATGAGGTTTGGACCCCTGTTTTCGCATTGCATTCTGGGGATGAGAAACTCGTGAATATACGGCATGAAAGGTCGTTGTAGAGTTTTCAGTAAGCATGTATATACAAAAGTAAAGATGTAATCAGTAACTTTTCATAACGTTTTTTTATTCAGTATTATGGCAGATTCTATTTTGTAGCTGGTGTCAACGGTAGGCAGTGCCTCATTGCGGCTTTGTAAGGTACTGCAAAAGAAATCCCGATTTTGGCAGCTCATTTTATTGGACATGCAATGGTCTTGACTTTTATTTTATGTACAGGTATGGGGCCAGGGATACGTACATGCAGTGTTGGTTTGGTCCCTCTAGCAACCTTTCTTGGGAATGCAGGTGTGTTTATATTGAATTTGTTCCACTACAGTAACATCGTAATCCACTTCGTTTTGTTTTGTTTTTAGGTGCGACCAGGCATCAGCTCTTACATCTCCAACCCCGTGCTTGTGAAGCGTGACCTCACCTTACTGTTGCAAAGCGCCGCCGCGGTGGTGCCAGAGGAACTGCAGAGCAGCACGCCGGTTTACTTAAAAGCCACCGCAGGTAGAGTAGTTATGCCATCACTGTACTACGTATCATATTAGATTTATTTCATTTCAACCTTTTGAACAACTGAATCCTTCATATAACAAAAATATACTTGACGACAAAAAATTGATAGAGACGTACAGACACAGATACGACATTTTTCGGAAACATAGAAGTAAACAAATAAAACAGAACATAAAAACACCCTGCACACCACGGGTTGTCTGCTACAGCACCGGTTACCATGGTGACAGCCATCTGGTTTAGGTCATTGACCTTACGTGTTTGGAGTAAAAGAAAACAGAGCAAAAACCATGTTCCCTTCTGCATAATCTTGAGGTGTAAGTTTGATGTATAGATGAGAGGATTGAGTAACGAAATTGAAAAGAGTCGGACCCTTTTCTTGAACAGGCATGCGGCTGCTGAGGCCAGCTGACGTCGACGCCATCTTTGACCAAATCGACGACCTCTTCCTGGACTCAACCGTCAACCCGTTCAAGTTCCAGCGGGGCTGGGCCAAGGTCATCTCCGGAGAGGAGGAGGGAGTTTTCGGTTGGATCTCAGTCAACTTCCTGATGGGCGTCTTCGACTCGAACAGGTAAGCTGTAGAACTTGAGGATTTTGAATGTACAGAATCTATACGCCAAAAAGCAGTTACTCAAGCAACTGGATATGATCTGGAAACGGTAAGACGTTTCAGCTAGTATCCACTAGCTTTCGTCAGTGACTAAGAGACCAGAGGAGAAATGCAGCTTGACAAGCACAAACTTATACATAGGGCAAAATAGCAGCCATTTTCCTAGTCCATTGACTGGCTGCTTTTGCATGTTTTTCATTGTAACAAGAAAGACATAAACTTATAGTCTATTGAAACATGATGATTGAAATTGTTTAAAGTTAAAACTTTTGGTTCAACACAAAAAAAAGTCACCTAGAGCTTTCCACCAGTTACTCTGGTCTTCCTCTGTAGACAGACCCAGTGAAGATTGTCACGTGGCTTCTTTGAAGTGTGACGTCAACGCTGGGTCAAAGGTATCTTGTAGACGATGTCGGCCCCCGCCGCGGTTCAATGAAGGATGATTGAAATTAGTACGAATTTAATCTTTGCTGGCATTAACCGTCCATCATGGCAGACAATATCTACGTCACAGTCACATGAGTGCCAACACTCCTTCTGATTGGAGTTTAGTTGTTGAAGCTGATTGGTTGAACCAACAGCCTTTATGATTGGAAGGTAGTTGTTGTTAACTTGAAGCTGATTGGTTGCAGGGACACGGAGACGTACGGTGCCCTGGACATGGGAGGGGCGTCCACCCAGATCACCTTCCTCCCGGAAGGACAGATCTTCGCCAATCTCTTCCCGTTGTACATCGCGGGGAGGCGGTACGACCTCTACACCAACAGCTTCCTGAAGTTCGGCCAGGACCAGTTCAGGCTGCAGGTGCACCGACATCTGTACAACCAGGCATCAGACAAGAACGGTACGGTGGAAAACCATCGGCTAATTTTTGGTGACGCCGCAGGAGCGGAGCCGTTTAGTACAGTAGTGCGAGTTCCTCGAACGCATTTTCCAGGGAATCAGTTTCTTGGCAACATTTTTCGGAAATGGTCTTTGGCACATAGCAAGAAAGATCTCTTCTGTTTGGGACGTAGAAAAGGTGGTAGTTTGCACACATTATTACAACTGTCCATAGATGTTTCAAGTAAGCTTTCTAGTTGTAAAATAAAAATGAATAGGCATATGTCACAGATTTTAGACCATGTTTTCTAATAATCTTTTGTTTCCTACAAAATGGAATTATATGCCAGGGCCATCCTTTGGAATTATTTTCAGTAATTTCTATAACCATTGACTTTTTTTTACAGTCAACCCCTCTCTTCAGTGATGATGTAATATTGACGTTGATTTTGTGATTTTACAGCGGTTATGGACAGTCCTTGTGACCTTCAGGGTTACCTTGAACCTGTTGACCTTGGGGACAACAAAGTGGCGAACATAAAGGGTAAGTTCTGTCAGAATTTCTGTATGGTGTTTGTGAGTTAAAAACTGTTTTAGCGAACTGACGACGTCTAGGTCCAAAGATTCAGTTTCGGCAATTTTTAATTTTTATTTTAGGTACGGGAAATCCTAATCAACAGTGCCGAGCGTTGGTCAGGCAGCTGTTGGGGCTGAACCAAACGTGTTACACCGAGCCGTGCAGCATCGTCGGAGTGTACCAACCTCCCGTGGGGGACACCATTTTCTACGGTACCGCAGGCTACTACTACACCGGCAGTGGCGTCGGCGCAGCTCCCGAAGATGGTAAGCACTAAAACAACACTTTTTACCTTCGTCAAAAAGGTTAATGTGTTTTCGTACACTATATATTTGGATTGGAGATTTTCTACCAGTTATAATAACAACTTTGGATGCGATGCACGTGTCTTTATGATGTTTGGTAGACAGGTTCGTGTTGGGACGACAAAGGTCAAGGTCAATCATGGGTAATCTAGCGGCCTTGTACGGTACTGCAACAGTGTACATGGTATCATATGCTAAGACTTGCTACACTGGTCTTGATTTTTTAGTAGATCATAGATATGATGGTAATAGGTACCTGGCGTAGTTTTCAGCCCACTAGTTTTATAAAGTTGTCTGCAACAACGGGAAAGTCTTATCATGTTTACCGAAGGGAAACATTGTTTTTGTTCTGTTTCTTCCTCTTCTTCTTCTCCAAACTGTGAGCTCTGACCAATGATATGATTTGTTGACGTCTGTCACCATGGTGCACAATGTTGCAATTTCATGGTCTGCTCTGCTCCTGTCACCATATACGCGTATGTGAATGTGCTTGAGTAAGAATCAACAGAGCGGACCATGTCCGAAGGTAAACATTATGCATTTGCTTTGCAAATGTTATTTCTCTAGTTATGGTTGGGTGTGTTCAGAGGAGTAAATTGTAGCTAGAATTAGTAAGATGATTTACCGCATTTTTACTATTCAGGTGGGTTCACCAGCGTTAACAACTTCCAAACAAAGACAGACGACTTCTGCAGCCTCTCCCTCGCCCAGGCAACCAACCAATCAGGAGAGTTCGCTTACAACTACTGCATGTCGGGAAACTACATGGCGGCGTTGCTAAGCGACGGCTACAACATTGACGCAAGTGCAGTCGACAAAATCTTCGTTGCCGAGGAAATCAACGGCGTGGATATTGGTAAATATTAAGTGTTTCTGGTTTGTTTGTCTCTCTCTCTCTCTCTCTCTTTCTGTGTGTGTGTGTCCGTTTGTTTATTTGCTTGTATGTGTGTGTATGTGTCGGTTTCTTTCTTGATTTGTATGTGTCTTCGATTGCCAAAGTACACAATGCAGAGTTGTTATACATCCTCATTTCAATGTCTGTGAGATTGGAAGGCCGCAAAGCAGTATGGGTATGGCATGGATTGGAGTCCACCATCTTTGAATGCGTTTTTGTCGTAGCAAAGAGTATGTCTACAAAACTACAACATGGACATTTCAATTGACTGTGATTGGTTGATTGACTGATTGATTGATTAATTTTCAGGCTGGGCGCTAGGATCCATGATGTACGAACTGTACCTACTGGATATCGAGTTCACTGTTGGAGCTGCAAGTCACGTGACCTCTACGTCACTCGCCTTGATCTTGGCCGCCATGTCTCTGATTTTGCAGTTTTAAAAACATTACCATGAAGTATATGCCTTAATAGTTCTGACTATCCAGCAACGTGTTTTACATTATAATTATCAACTTTTAAAGTAATAAGGCATTGTTTAGTGTGTGTGCGTGAAACTTTTAAAGTACATATTAGTTCTTGTGTGTGTTTATTTACTTTGTCAGAGGGTTATATGGCCTTATATTTCCTGGTAGAGTGACTGGATGTAGAAGGCATATTTTAAAGACATGGAAGGATGTTCATGATTTTAGTAGCCAAATTACACGTACTGTTGGGAAGACGAAGGTCAAGTTCGAGAATGAGCTTAATGGCGAGTTCCTACGTCATCGCAGTGAATCTTTTGTGTTTGTTTGTTTGTTTGTTTGTTTGTTTGTTTGTGATAACTCGAGATGCTGTGGATTGATCGTAATAAAATTTAGTAGGTGGGTAGCTATAGGGTTAAAGAAAGGGAAGGTCAAGTTCAACAATGTACATCATGAGTACTGTTGGAGGGCTCCAAATTATTTTAGTACAGGAAATACTATGGTCGGGATTTTTAATTATGTTGGATAGATTTTAGAGCATAGATGAAGTAGTGTAAGTTTGAGCCCCCCTAGCGGGTACGGGTATATGGTTTGTGGTAGGTAATGGTATAGATAAAGTGAGCATTAAATGTTCTATTACACTTCTTTTGGTGTAATGTTGTCTTAAAAAAGGGACAATGGAAGAATTACTGTTTTTTTTTTATATTGGATGATTCTAGTCTGGATTCAAGAAACACATATACGAACACGCACGCAAACACATACTCTCAGAGAGACAGAAAGCCAGACGGGAAGATCAAAACAGTATTCTGTGGACACGTGCCCGTTTTCTTGAGTACTACGAGCATCCACCGGGTTAGGCCATGTTGATTTGATTATATGGATGACATCCTCCGGGAGCCCCAAAACTGATGCGCGCGTGCGAATAAAAAAAGTTTTGCAAAAAAAAGTTTTATTTCATTATGAAATCTACGTGGTCATGAGGGTTGAGCAAATGGCACAGAATATGGTTTGGCGAATAATCTAGTCTTCAAGTTCATTTCTTTACAATTTCGTCTTTTTTCGTTTGATTTTGGTATTCTACGACATTGGTATAGTTTTTATTAATTTTTTTTGTAACTTATGTTTTTGCTCATTTTGCAACTGTTTTGTACGATTTACAGTATGGTTGAAAACTTTTTTTTTGGAAACGGCCGAAAATTCATGCGCGCGCGGATGTCATCCATATAATCAAATCAACATGGCCTTACCAAACCTTTTTCGCTGCCTATAGTCTCGGATAAATAAAATGCCCCTACACTTTAAAACACACTGAAAAACAAACTGTATAACGTGAACAGGATCATTCCGATGCCTTCCAGTCCTATATCCAAATGAGGTTTAGACCCCTGTTTTCGCAATGCATTCTGGGGATGGGAAACTCGTGAATACTATACCATCAGGCTCCTTCCTGAGACGTCGCCAAAAACTGCATTGGGTGCCTTTTATTAGTTTTAAAGACAGCTCTAGTCTAGTGTGTACCGTATCTCCTCTAACTCCATATTTGTCATCATTGGTGAAAAGGTAATATAACAATCAATCAAGCGGTTGTATGCCCTCATTTTGTATCTTACATACTCAGATGAACTTTCATGCTACACAATATCTCGTCAGCTGATAATATAATAACTAGATAATTAGACGGTAAGAAATTAGATAATTAGGTAATAAGATAATTAGTGTGATTATTAGCATTGTCTTTATCCTAGCGGTCGCGACCCCAGGGCTTATAATGCGGGGTCATTGACCTAGCGGCCACTACTAAACTTGTTGTGTTGCCCTAGCGGGAATTCGCCTACACTTGTAAATCATAATAATAAATTAGTAAATTAGATAATTAGTATAATTATTAGCATTGGTTTGTGTTTAGATTTTTAACCTTGATTTTCAAAGGCCGTCAAGTCTTTAACCTAGCGTTCGCGACCCCAAGGGTTATATACATGTAATAATGCGGTGTCATGAAACTAGCGGCCACGACTGAAATTATAATAAACTAGATAATTAGTAAATTATATAATTAGGTAATTGAATAGTTAGTATGATAATTAGCATTGGTTTGTGTTTAGATTTTTAACCCTGATTTTCAAAGGCCGTCAAGTCTTTATCCTAGAGGTCGTGACCCCAAGGATTATCAATGCAGGGTCATTGACCTAGCGGCCACGACTAAACTTGTTGGGTTGCCCTAGAGGGGGAATGACCATTGTCCACACTTGTAGATAATTAGTAAATTACATAATTAGTATAATTATTAGCATTGGTTTGTGTTAAGATTTTTAACCTTGATTTTCAAATGCCGTCAAGTCTTTATCCTAGCGGTCGTGACCCCAAGGGTAATCAATGTGGGGTCATTGACCTAGCGGGCATGACCTTTGCCCACACTTTCTACACACACCAAGATGGCGGGCACGGTGAATCCAGACTTGCGGAAGGAGCGAGAAAACGCCAGTTTCGACCCAGAAAAAGTCACAAACTTCCTGTACGGCGGTCCTGGAGTGGTGAGCAGGAAGAGGGAACTAGGTGGGATTTTAAAAATATTTTGAAACAGTCACAGGACATGTATCTGGTAAACACTTAAAACAGTCATGTCCGAAAATACGTGCCCCCTATATATACCTAGTGCTAGCTAGTTATACATATACCTGGTGACACCCACAATATCCGGATGATATAAGTTCTCATCTTTTAAGCTTAAAATCGGAACATATTGGTGTCGACATACTAAGGATGACACGCAAATTTGTTCCATTATTTTTTATAGCAGAGTGGAACTTGCTGTCACCAAGTACAGAAGGGGCATAATAATTTATCATTAGATAGATGTTTAGATTATGTTTAGAGTTAGATGTTTAGAGTGAGATGTTCAAGGGTTTTATGTATACTAGTAGCAAGTCGTTCGATGTAATGTAGCCAACTGCCACCGCACCACGTGCCTCCGAAGCTGGACCAGGTGTGTTACGCCGAAGGGCGGCTATACCGGCTATACAGATACAGATACTAGTAGTAGTATCTACTGGTATTCTATCCTTGTATAAATTTATTGTTTATGACACATTTAAGTGCAACACTTTTAACCCTTAAATTATAAATTGTCCTGCTCGCAATTTTTACACGTTTTCAAATAATTTGATGTCTTAATCAGGTCATATACCCTTGAACTTAATTAGTAATTCTGAATCTCTTTAATATTGCTTGATCTTTAGTACTTGATTCAATATAAGACTTGCTGCTTTACCCGGTAATGTCAATAACGTGTTTACACTTATAAAAATTAAGTAAACCTTTTTTACAACATGTACTAGGCTGACACAGACTGTCACACGTAGGCCAGGACAAGGTACAAGTTTTGAGTCTGCAAGGGTGACGTACTAGTACATGTAGTACGTATATATAATCAATTATTTAATTAATTAATTACCAATACATCCAAGGTCATTCAAATGTAGGTCAAAAGTAACAAAAAACACAAAGGAACCTACTAGTACATGTACCTTACAGGCAATTGATTGACAAAAAAAACAAAACCTTTTTAACCTTCTACCTGCTACTAGCAATATAGTAGGTAAATGTTTGGCACCAAATTTGTTTTTTATTTAGGCCACACCAATTTAATTTGTTGCTTCTCGTATCGCCCTGTCCATTTTCCTTTTCTTCCTAGTTCTTAAAGTTTCTCAATGTAACAATGCAATTTCATTTCATTAAAAGTTCAAAATCTGTTGTTTTTATTATAAACCAGCCTGGTATGTTCACTTCATGGCTCATATTGTAACATTTCCGGCTATCATGGTGTGCCTTGGCCTGTTTTTTTTATTTTATTTTGCCCCTGTCACTTCATATTTTTTCTGAAAAATCCGAGAAACAACAAATTAAATTATATTGGTGTGGCCTTAATAAGGCAAGTTGTATTGCCATGTTTGCAATTCAGATAATAAAACTAAAAGTTACTTGGTTGGTGTGGCCTAACTTCTTGCAAAATTACAGCTGCCAATCAAGTCATTTCAAGCCTCTTTATTTCTTTCCCAGAATCCCTTGCCCTGAATGACCCCGCCTATCGACATGAGGACTTGAACTTCCTGTCCCGGGAAGAGCAGTATGAGACGCAGATGCAGAAATCCATCGCGATGATCAACAAGACCAAGAAACTGGACATCACTGATCTGATGGAGCGATACTTTTACACCAGGTTTGCCTTTCAGAAGTTTCTCATTCTTCAATTAATTGCCTTTAGGAACTCTTTAATTGATTTTTGGCGATGTCTCAGGGAGGAGCCTAATGGTATATTATTGTGTGCAATTTGCAAGAATTCTAGGAATTGTACAGGATTTTTGTCCACAGGAATGGAATGTCCACAGGAATGTCTCCCAGCTCTGTTTGCAGACCAACATCTTTGCCCACATTCCTGGAAATCCTTGGGAAAACCTGTCTGTTCTGGATGCCCTAGTTTCTGTGACCCCGGGGCTCGTTCACTATACACTCAGGGGAGGAGTGCACTGTATCTGTCTAGACTTAACAGGGTTGGAGGCTCCCTCAAAATCATAAAATCATGGCAGACTACTATGCAAACAATAACCCTAACAGCAACCACCATTGCCATGGCAATGTATGTTTTCATTGCCAGTCTTGTTTGTAAAAATGAGACGTGATCATTTGGTAAGCATTGAATATTGTGTTGTCCCCCTCTTCAGTGCTGCAATGGGATCAGATAACCAGTCCTTTGGTCTGCATGTGGGGATGTTCCTGCCCACCCTGTATGGCCAGGCTACAGAACAACAGAAGGAAAAATGGCTGAAGATGGCAGAGAACTATGCCATTCTGGGCACGTATGCTCAGACAGAGATGGGACATGGTAAGATATGTTAGAACTCATATAAGGCCACACCAATTTAATTTGTTGGTTCTCGGATTTTTGAAGAATAAATATGAAGCGACAGGGCAAAAAAAAATTTGAATACAATGTAGTGTACAGTCAAACCTGCCAAGGTGACCACCTCTTAAAGCAGGCCACCTGGCCATGGCGACCGCTTTTTCTTGGTCCCCAAAATTATCCCCATTTACACAAGCATTAAGCAACCTGTCCAAGGTGACCACCTGGCCAACGCAACTGCAACCACCCTGTGTTGGGTCTGCTCAAGGCCCAATACCTGCCCATGGTGACCACATCATTACCTTCGCCAAGAAGGTTATGTTTTCAGAGGCGTTCGTGTATGTGTGTGTGTGTGTGTGTGTCTGTCTGTCTGTCAACACGATAACTTGAGAAGGCCTTGATGGATTGTCTTGATACTTGGTAGGTGGGTAGGTCTTGATGAGACCTCAAAATGATTAGATTTTGGACCCCCTAGCGGCTTGTTATGGTACTGCAGCTGAACTTACGGTTTTGATATCTCATGATCTAGACATGTTATGGTGATGAAATTTGGGTGGTAGGTAGCTCTTGTGCTGGGGAAGAAGTGACGTGAGTTTGGGCCCCCTAGTGGCTTGCTCTGGAACTGCAGGGATATATTCTTGAAAATATTCAAAAGAGGATAACCGAATAACCGGTTGACGGATCGTTGTGATTTTTGGTATGTAGGTAGCTTACGTGATGCTTAATATAATTATGTGACAATTATGCAAATATGGATGTAATTTGCATAATTTATGGGGAAATTCTATAAATCAGCTGCATTCCATAATAAGACAATTGAAGCTTGTGACATTGGTAATTGACAACGAGAGAAACACAGGCAGATATTGATTATTACCTTCGCCAAGAAGGTTATGTTTTCAGAGGCGTTCGTGTATGTGTGTGTCTGTCTGTCTGTCTGTCTGTAAACACTATAACTTGAGAAGGCTTAAACGGACTGACTTGATATTTGGTAGGTAGGTAGGTCTTGACGAGACCTCAAAATGATTAGATTTTGGGCCGCCTGGCGGCTTGTCATGGTACTGCAGCAGAACTTCCGGGTTTGATATCTCACGATCCAGACATGCTAGGGTAACGAAATTTATGTGGTAGATAGCTCTTGTGCTGGGGATGAAGTGACATGAGTTTGATCCCCCTAGTTGCTTGCTCTAGAACTGCAGAGGGGTTTAAAGGACAAATGTTTAAAAGAGGATAACTCAAGAACCGATTGATGGATCGTCAGGGTTTTTGGTGTGTAGGTAACTTAAGTGATGTTTGACATAATAATGTGAGTATAATGCAAATAGTACCATAATTTGCATAATTCATGCGGAAATTCTATAAATCAGTTGCATCACATAATAGGACTATTCAAGCTTGTGGCATATGTAATTGAGACCAAGAGAAACACAGGCAGATATCGATTATGTAAATTAAGACTTAATTTGCATAATTAATGAGAAAATGTTATAATTCAGCAATGATAACTGCCTCGAATTCCATACTTAGGATATTTGAAAGTTAAATGAAGGTGAACATCATTAAACATCAACTCAACATCAATTCAAATAATGACCTCATTTGCATAATTTATGAGGAAATGCTAAAATGGCATTCATTGTTAAGATAAGACTGTCTTTTGTTGATATCTCACGATCTAGACATGCTAGGGTCACAAAATTTGATTGATAGGTAGAATGTGCTGGGGAGGACGTGGCGTGAGTTTGGGCTTCCTAGAGGCTTGCTCTGGAACTACAAGGACATTTGTTTAAAAGTATTTAAAAGAGAATACCTCAAAGACCGATTGACGGATAGTCATGCTTTTTGGTATGTAGGTAGCTGAAGTAATGCTTGGCATAATCATGTGACAATTATGCAAATATGGGTGTGATTTGCATAATTTATGAGGTAATTCATAAATTATATCTGTGGTCAACATAACTTAAGAATACACTATATATATATTGGATACATTGATGAGTGACAGTGAAAATGAAGGATGCTCCTACCAGTTTAGATACAGTGCACTACAGTACAGA